TCCATGGTTGTTTGTGGGACACTGCTGTGCGCAATTGTCTACAACAACAACAATAAAATTACATTTATATGGAGCCTTTCACTTGGGAGGACAGATGGAGTTTCGGACCTGAGATGAGGGTCGGGGTGGGGGAGGATGGAGGGCAGGGGGGGAAGCAGGGAGATCGAAAGTACGGTCGAAGAGGAGGGTCTTGAGGTGGGTCTTGAAGGTGGAGAGGGAGGGGGTGAGACGGAGGGACTGCGGGATGGAGTTCCAGAGGGTGGGTGCAGTGGCGGAAGGCCTGCCCGCCGATAGTGGGGCGAGGAAGGCGGGGTCCTGAAGCAGGCCAGAGCCCGCTGAGCGGAGGGAGCGAACGGGATGGTAGGGATTAGTAAGTAGGAGAGGTAGGGGGGAGCAAGACTGTGGAGGGCTTTGAAGGTGAGGACCAGGATCTTGAACTGTATCCTCTGTGTGATGGGAAGCCAGTGGCATTGGGCAAGGATGGGGGGTGATCGGGTCATGGAGCCTGGTGTGGGAGAGGACACAGGCTGCAGAGTTCTGGATTATCTGCAGCCTGTGGAGGGAGGAGTTGGGGAAGCCGACAAGCGGTAAGTTTGCATAGTCGAGCCTCGATGTATTGAAGGCATGTATGATGGTTTCGGCAGCCTGCGGTGTGAGACAGTATCAGAGCCGGGTGACGTTGTAGAGGTGGGAGAAAGCAGAGCAGGTCATGGCGTGAATGTGAGGTAGAAAGGATGGTTGAGGGTCGAACAAGACCCCAAGATTCCGGACTGGCTTAGCAAGGTGGGGTGTGCAACCAAGGATGGTGATACTGTCAGCGCCTGAGATTGAGCCAATCAGGAGAGCCTCGGTCTTGTTGACGTTCAACTGAAGAAAGTTAGCTCATCCAGGACTTGATATCTAACAGACATTCTGTCAGCACAGCAGTGGTCCTAGAGTCAAGGGTGGAGGCAGAGAGGTAGAGTTGGATGTCATCCGCATACATGTGGAAGTTGAACCCACGTCTGCAGATGAATCACCAAGAGGGAGCACATAGATGTTGAAGAGGAGGGGACCAAGGACAGAGCCCTGAGGAACGCCTCACGAGTGGGTCCTGAGCTAGAGGTCCACCATCTGGCTCCCGCATTTCGTGCACAAAATATACAGTCAATTCACTTTACAGTATATTTTGTGAAGCGCTTTGAGATGTCTCGATGATGCTATTAGGTATTATATCAAATGCAAACTTTATTACATCATTATATTATTCATATTGTTTGGCGCAGAAAACTCCAACCGATTTCAACAGACAGAAGCCATTGTTTGCAAATGGCTAACAATAGTTCAAGCAAAGAAATGAGTCGGCTCATTCGGTTCTGATAAAGGGTCATGGACCCGAAACGTTGATCAACTTTCCTTTCTCCATAGATGCTGTTTGACCTGCTGGGTGTTCCCAGTTCTCTCTGTTTTTGTTTTAGTCGGCTCATTGTTGGGTGTTATGAAAAGTGTCTCACTTGCCTTGTACGCAACACAAAAGTTACCACTTTTTCCCCATTGTTCAATTGATTGATTGACAATATTACAAAATGAGAAATGATTAATAGATGAATCACTTGCACAAATACTAAATATTATAGCTGGAATTGCCGTGCACATTAAGTGGAATTTTTCCATTATCAGTCTTGTCTCATCTCCAGTCATTGTTTGACAGTGTTGTTCATTTCCTCTTAGTTAATTTGGGACTTTTTCCTTATACCAGTTAGTCATGTGTTTTTCCACATCACTTTGTCTGTTCTGGAATTTATTTTTCTTCCTTAAGAGAAAATAAGAGCCAGGAAGCATTGTGTTATTAAAAAGTTGCTGAACTGAACAAAGCACGGGGCATTTAATAAACATTGAGTTAAAAAGTAAACGGGAAATTCACTGGAATCTCCCTCAACAACTCGTCCCGGTAAATTTTCTATTACCTTTTAGCCACTGAATTTCACTGTAATTTATAGAAATAGGTACCTTTGTCCCTCCCCTTTAACATTTTGTAAATTTCTGCACAATATTGAGCCATTTAGTTTGGAAAAATAATGATAACAGTTCTTACATTTCACATCAGGAGGATCTCTTGTGACAGGAAAATGCTCATATTCTCATGAAACAGTTTAGTGATGGAAACTGGGGTCAGGTGGGTTCCTTTGATCCCTGGAATTACAGTTGTACAAGGAATGAGAAAACTTATATTGTATGTCTTCAAAAAAATTCTAACCACCTGGGAAGAATGCTTTTCATTGAGAATGTTGCCTCATGCTTTCTATGTTCTATTAATACGATGTAATCTTGTTATTGTTATAAGTTGCATGAAATTGTAGAGTATCCATCTATCTTTGATTATTTAAACCCAGAGTATTAAAATCATATGTTGTGTATGTTTAAGGGGTGTTGAAGATTCTCACAGATATGTTTCTGCCCCTCATCGATCATGCTGATTTGGAACAAACCTTGTTCTCTCAAGTATTGCCCAAGGTAGGTCGTTTTCTGAATATCCTCAATTGCACTTTTATAGTTTATCCACAAGTCTTGTGAGCCATAAATTTTTGTTCGGTAGTATTTTATACTCCCAGATTACAGGACCAATAGTCCTTTCTCCCAGTAATACGCAGTACTGCATCCAACGTTAAGTTTTTATTACTGCAGTGTTGTGACAGATTTCAACTATTGTATGCCTTTGCATACTGCTCTGGATGTGATCAGTAGAAAGATCACAAAACAATTTGCAACACTAAGTGTAAATCATGTTGATGAGTTAAAAAGTGTTGCTGTAGATTTACATATAGTATTTATTTATTTCACACTTTATTTCCCCTCTTGATTCCTTTGTTTCAAGTGGCGCATTCTGTTCCTTAGATGAGAAATGAATGGGTGACATGCACAAATGTTCTTGAATGTATCTGTGGGAAGCACCTGAAAGCTGTGTGGTAGAATTGATCTACATTTTAGCCTTCCCGATGCTGTGCTCACTTGCTGTCTGCATAAGAATGATTGAAATGACTTTTCCCCCTGATATTCTGCCCTATGGGGTCTGACTCCCGCAGGGTGTTTCTTCACAGTGGCACAAGACTTCGGGATATCCGCTATATATGAGATGGAAACTTGTATGGCATAACTCCTGCAAATACAGTGCATTAACCAGCACATTGTCATCTGCCTGAAATACTAATTTGATACCTATGTCACTTAGTCGCCTTTCTCTGGTGAAGATTAAGGTACCAATGACTGGAAAGCTCAACTACAGTTTTCCATTCAGTGAAATAGATGATAAATATATTTAAGATTGGGATACTTTTCTTCCGGTCAGGCCATTACAATGTTCGATGAGCTGATGAACAAACTGTCTAGTCAGGCCAGAGGGTTATCCAGTCAGAACACTGACTTGCAGGCAGCATTGAAAACAACTATGCAGGTATGACTTTTCAATTTAAATGATTTATTTTCTTATATATTGTAGTATGCAACATGTTCCAGAGTGCCTTCAGAATACCACGATCGGGTTCATATGTTTTGATGTGTTCCTGTCCTTGCTCAGCATAGTTGAATATAATTGTGAAGTCCTGTAGCATTTTGGTGAGAGCACTCGCCTCACAAGTGAGAAGACCTGGGTTTAATTCCCAGGCATGGCGAAAATCTTAGGGAAGTTTTCTTACTCCACACACCTCTGTTTCCTAGCAGTAAGTAGGAATCCAGTTGATAGTCGTTTGGAGAATCGATCTCTGGGACATCTCAACAACAATACGATTGCATTTATAGAGCGCTTTTCACGTCGGGAGGACGTCCCAAGGCGCTGGACAGTTGGGTTGGGACCCAAGCATGGGGGTACTGGTCAGGGTGAGGGGAGGAAAGGGAGGGAGCGATGAGGGTGTAGAGAGTCCAGCGGGGAGGTGAAGGCACGGTTGAAGAGAAAGGTCTTGAGACTGGCCTTGAAGGAGGAAAGGGAGGAAGCAAGGCGAAGGCACTGGGGGATGGAGTTCCAGAGCCTAGGGGCTGAGAGGCTGAAAGCCCGGCCACCGATGGTAGGGCGGGGCATGTGGAGCAGACCGGAGCCAGAGGAACGGAGGGTACGGGCAGGTAAGTAGGGGGATAGTAAGTCGGAGAGGTAGGAGAGAGCAAGGCTGTGAATGGCCTTGTAGGTGAGGATGAGGATCTTGAATTCGATCCTCTGGGGAAAGCTATATGAAATGCAAGTATTATTATTAGTTCTGCAGACTTCTAACCTAATTCCCATTGTGTTCTGTACTTAGACACAGATTCAGTTGTTGGAAATTCTGATGAACTGTGGGCGTTATGTCTGTACATTTAAGGAGGCTCTACCCTTGAATAATATCCATTCACTGTCCTCTGCTATCCTGCACGTCCTGAAGAATGCCTTTGGACACTGCAAGGTACTCTGGAAATTAGCAAGTTTCTGTTCCTGTGCTATATTTATACTCAGTTTTCTTTGATGAATCAAATTTTTCCTACATTTCCTGTTAATTTAGATTACATAATCAATTTCTTGCTTTTTACACTATTTTAAAGTCTATTTGTAACTAAAACGATGTCCTGGTCATATTAGGGTACATATCTGATCTAAAGCTAAAATTGTTGCAGTGAAATCAAAGTGTCAATGTGTTAAACTGTCTGTGACTAGAATTGGTCCTTTACTGTTTAGCAAGTACTGTTTTTCTCTTTCATCTAGGAGAGTGAGACATTATATAGTAGTCGTATGCACTTGGTTTCAGATGTGCTACAGTCTTTATTTAAGGAGACGTATTCTCTTCAGAAGCAGTTCATGGAAATGCTGGATCGTGTTGTGTTGGAATCGACTACTGCTAATGACGAGGATGTTGCCCATATGACGATGGGTGTGTATGGAGGACATTTTGTGTTTGTTTGGCATTGTCTGTATTTTTCTGAAAGTTGCCTTGGCTGCTTCAGCAACAATGAGCGAGTTTATCTTTACTGCCATTAAGCAAAAATTGGATGTTTAAAGTTTGAGTGTTTACTTCTAAATGTCGTCTACTCTTCAGTGATTCACAGCGTGCTGGAAATTTGTTCAGTGGTTTCTAAGATGGACCATGCCCTACATGCCAACACATGGAAGTTCCTAATTAAGTAAGTTGATACTCTCAATTATCTATGCTTAGCAGATCAATTTGTAATACTATCATGCTTGCATTTGATATAGTGCGTTATCATGTCTTTGAGATGAGTCAAAGACCTTCATGGGATATACTGTATGGGATATTCAAGGCAGGGCGAAACCATGGGCAAGTTTCCTTACTCCGCACGCCTAATACTAATCCCTCCAAAAAAACAAACACGATAACAAATTAGTCATTTTCAATCCACGACTGTTTGTGGGACACTGCTGTGTGCAATTGGCTGCCACGTTTCGCCCACAAATATACAGTCAATTCACTTTACAGCATATTCTATGAAGCGCTTTGAGATGTCTAGAAGACGTAAAAAGCGCTATATCAAATGCAAAAAATTATTTATTATTACTGTAAAGTGTAGTGACTGGATGAGCAAGGTATCAGGCTTGAAAGGTAATTCATCCTCTTTCTCACCTATTTAATTTTAAATTAAAAACTGACATGCAGTTCATAAAGCAAGAAATATAAAGAAAAGTATCATGGATGATCATAAAAATCCTTTACCTTACTTTCCACCAGAGGAAAGAGAAGGTGATGTGAAGCTCTCCAAGTCATTGTCACCTTCATTGCAGTGGAATACTGAATCCTTCCGGGTGGAGAGAGTTGTAGAGCAATAACCATAGCACTGGGATTGCAAGACGCTAAGTAGAGTGACCATCATATGTCACTGGTACTGTAAAAATAAAGAGTGGATCCATCTACTGTTTGTCCAAGGTATTTTATCCCCCTGCTTTACAGGCCGTCAATAAGATGTTGTATCTGTGTTCCAGAATAAGTGTGAAGCACAGGGCATTGCTCGACATTAAACTGCGGCATGATGATATTGTTGCTGGTCTTTGTGAGGACATTCTTTTTTCCTTCAACTCTTGCCTGCAGTTTGCTGAACAAATGCATCAGTCAGGAGCACAGGTAAACATGGCTGTTTTCTTAACTATAAATATTGATAGGAAGCATTTGAGTGGTGAAATCTCAGTACCATGCAATTTGTCTTACCTATAGAGGAAGCAGCATAAACATAATTATCAGTTATTTTCATAATTGGAGGGTTGAACATTAGCAGCATTTAGTTTGTTCTCCAACACTGTTTGATGTTTGAAGATCATCCTTCTGTTTTAAACCATTTTCCCCATAATATCAAAAATCAGTTTGTAGTCTCCACTTAAATATACTGTTACCTCTTTTAATTGATTCTGTTGAAATGGTTGTTATGCAGGTTTGAAGATGGACATAATTTGATTTTTGCTAGAATTATTTATAATCATTCAGATAGAGAACTCACTATGTTGTCTCCCCAAATTTTCTGATTGCCTGAAACTATACAACCCGGATGCATGTCCACAAACCTTTAAGATTATTAAATATCGGCACTTGAGTCCCTGTTGTGCAAATAAATTACAGGACTAATGAATTTTAACGTGAGCCAATATCCTTGAATCTGTTTTAAGATTTAAGGCTTGAGACAAACTCGTAATTACAATTACCTCTTTTAACATGATGTTTCATTGCTGCGATTTAATGATTGGTTTAAAAAAAATTACAGCTTATAGCTTGCCAAATTTCTGTGCATCATCCAGGGGAACACAATCTCCACAGAGTACAAGCTATTCCAGAAAACCATGAAGTTGTGCCGATTCTTTGCCAACACACTCGTGCACTATTTAAAGGTAAGATAAAGGTCTCAAATCAAACTCTGAGCCTATCATCTAAAAATACTTGCAATACTTAAAATATGTATTGTTACAATTCCAGGAATTCATTGATTTTCTCTCAAAATCCTGTCACCAATTACACAAGCTTTACCTTCAGATGTACAGGTGAGGATTACAGATTGCTTTTTTTGGGGTGGCACTTTTTGCAGGCCAGGGTGTTTGCATTACGTTTAGGAGGAAATACAATGTATTTGGTCACAGATTAGCCCTTGTTTCACTTCACTACGGGACATTGGTTTGAATCTGCGTACTGTCTTGACAGTCTGTCCTAGAAAATCAGGTCTTTTATTTTCAAAATGCAGGGTTATAAAACATTGCATGAGCCTGCAATATAGTTGTTTTGTCTTTCATATTGCTGAACATTCCCTTTCCTCGGTTAGAGGTTGCCTGGCTCCTCTACCACAGGAGGTTGGAATAGATATACACATCTATTACTCTCAACATAAGTTGTGGATCTTGAACAGACTATAAGAAGTTGCAGATTATTAAAGCAAATTGTTCCACAGAGAGACAGAGAAGGAACTTGGATAGGAGTGAGAGAAATTAAAGGTCAATTGGTGGACTAGTCTGCCCAGGCTGTTCTTACACAAATCTTGCAGTAGGCTACAGTACCTGAGAGGGATAGCTTTCCCTCCTCTGTGTCTGGTTAAGGACAGAGGAAATAATTTTTTTTTTTTAAATGAGCAGGCGATACTAAATATAAATTTTAAAATGTGATCTCATGCAGATATAGAACTCTTGACGCTTGTTTTTAAACTTTTTACAGCAAATTCCCTTCTAGCCTGTATGCACCAGTTATGTCTGAAGGGCACTGGAATGAAATTGCTTGCACTGTCCTTGTGGCTTTGGATCCTCTCATTTCACAGCTTCTGCCTTTCCGGGCCTTTGTGGAAACAGTTTTAGCAGATAAACCGGGTGAGTTCAATATCAGACAGCTTTTTAAATTATAAACCTACAGGTTTAATTGCAATTTCAATATCTTATCCCTTAAAATGGCAAGATGCATTCAAAAAGTAGCTTGATGCTATGATGGGAGGACAGTAGTGTGCTTGTTCTGAAGGGATGAGATCAGATGGGCTGAAGGGCTTTCTTCATTCAAACCGATCCCTGTGATCTTGTTTGGATGGAAAGCCAGGATGGCCATTACTGTAACTAGAACTAAAATGTTGAAAATATAATTTAAACTAGGAATACAAATACAAATTATCTTTGCTCCTGTCACTTCCTCTCTGACATTTTTTGAAAGGTTTAATTTTCCTTTTCTCCACTAAATCCTCAACTCTCCTCAACATAAGTCCTATCACCAACTGCATGAGCTTTACCTTCAGATGTACAGGTGAGGGGTCTTATTCGATTGCATGGCATTACAACTGAACCCAATTCTGATCTCATCCACACATGCAACTTCCAGATATAGTGGATAGTGATTCAAAGCCGGAACCCAGGCTTATTTCTCACATGCTAACTATATTCTGCAATGCTGCTTTAGCTGACATCAACACAAACCAGGTCTTGAACCTATGGCCTTCTGATATGTATAGCCTAGCGTTGAATAGGTTGATAGTCTTTACTCACTTGGCCAACAACAATTTGCCCTTCACTCGGGCCAGCATCTCTGAGTGCTTAAACCTGAGGAACTTAATTTTTTGAGTTTTTTAATGACATTTCAGCTGAACATTATGTTTGCGAGCCCCATAATACTAGAAAAATTTAAATCGGTTACCCATAATTTATGCTGATGGAATTTTATTAAATTCTTCATTTGTGTTAAGATCCCAGTTTGGAGCTGGCTTTCCCACAGTGCTTGTTGCTGGTTAATGTCATGGACAAGCTCCCATCACAGCCCCAGGAGGTGGAGAGCATGTGGTGTGCTGGTAGCCAGTTCTCTGAGGAAACGCCAAGGTAAGCATCACTGCTGTTCATAGAGATAGAAACGGGTATAGGCTTGGCACCTTAGGCACAGTCATAAGTACAGAAGACTGCCCTTCCCTTTTCTTAAACTCTGATATGTGCATTTTTTACAGTTCTTCGCCAGTAGAAGAAGCATGTAAAATGTCCTCTCTCTAACATGTCCTTTCGTGGCAGAAATAAAAGCCATTCGCAGTATAACATAGGCTTTGTATTTACTTCAAACAGTTTTAGAATGATGACCCAATACTTGCTGGATGGTCTCGCTTCACAATCTATGAATAATGCTTGGTGTAGGATGATGCACCAAAGTTTGAGAATACAACCAAAGCCTGTTGTTGTATTGAATGCTGTCTTTACAAACCTTTAATGCATGATTTCTCACCATCACCTAAAACTCCACGCTAAATACAATTTAATTCCCTAATAAGAACTGCTTTCCCAGTCTGCCAAGGTTGTAGCGACAGGATTTGATAAATTCTTCAGTTACATTGAGTTGATAGATATATTGTTTGGGTAGAAAGGTGTAGTACGAAGACAGGAGGTGATGTATACCTAGAGGGGAAACTAATTTTAAGAGGGGAAACTAATTTTAAGAGGTCCTTAATCATTTCCATTGAGATGTGGCACTGCTGAGGCCTGAGAATAGCAAAAGGAAGCACAAAGCACATAATATAATATATAGGAGAAAATAATGCAGCATCTAATCTTGTTCATCTTTTTTGTCTGTGCTCAGGTTATCTTTGTTTCAAGCGCTGTTTTTCAACATCCAGCACTGCTATGCAGAGCTGTCATTGCCAGTTCAGTTGCCTGGAGTGATGATTAAAGGACAAGCTCAACATAACATCAGTCTGTATGAATATGTGTGCGTTCACCTGTGTTCGTTTGTCACGTTCCTTCCAGCCTCCATTTTCCCTGACTTGGTGAGTACAAACTTTGAAATAACGTAAATTGCAGGGGCAGGAGTCTACCACTAATTGAGAATTTTTGAGTTTCTCTTTCTCCTTCCCTCCCAGTAAAAAACTGGTTGCAAGGCATCGAATTCTGTAATGCATACTGATGGGGCCAATATTGGATGCTGCTACCGCTATTTATAAAGCATGCTAGAGACGTATAGTGATAGTTAAAGGCACTGTCCTCATTAACATGGTTGTATTTTCAATGTTCCTGATAAGTTTTAAAAAATTGATCTTGTTATTAACAGTTCAGGATCCCTCACATGGAGCTTGAAGCCATATTTAAAGATTCATACAGCCATTGTACACCGTTCAACAGGGTGATTTGCTATTTGTATATCTTTGCCCTACCTCATCAAATTGACGCAGCTCGACCTGAAACCTCAGTGACAGAGCCAAGATATCATCTCTCTGCACAGGACATTGATTTGAATTAATCTATGCACTAGCAGGACATGGGATAGCACGTTATTACACCAATAAAACTTTAAACCGCTTTTCAGTTAACTTGACATACTAAGGATGTTTTCTATATCTGTACGATTATACAGTGAATGTGTGCTGATTTGTTTCAGGAGTGTTCCTTGTTGGATGCTGTACTCGGTCCTCATATGTTAACTGCTCTCCTAGCCACAGATACATGGTGCTTTCTTGCACGGTATGTCCTGGAATAGATACTAAACATAATGGTATAATATAATGAAATCTACTGCAATCCTTCACTTAATCTGTTCCCTTTGGTGGCAGGTAAAAAAAAACTTAAGCATGGCACCAGTTCACAGAACTGAAAATCCACCTAATCTTAAATCTTTAAGATATTTGGTATAAGAATTTCAAGTTGTGCAGAACTATGGAAAATTCTTGAATCCAACCTTAATTTGGAAGCTGCTTTTCTGGAATTTTTAAAAAGAAACTGGCTTCTAAGTTTACGAATTTTGCACAAATCTTCGCTGTATTATATTTTAAAATGGATGTTCTTTCAGCCTAAGATAGGGTTAGAATTTTAGGTCTCAAGTGCCTTAAATTTGAAAGCTGAGTGCTCAGTATTACATACATATTACTGTATTGTTTGTACTGTATTTCTGTGAGTTCTTTGATACATAGAAATATTTATTGAAGACTTAGAATTATAGGGCAATTTGACAGAGATATTCTATTCTGTACTTGATGTATTATCTTTCTCATTCAATTGGCAGATATGGAACTGCTGAACTCTGTGCTCATCATGTCTCTCTTATAGCTCAGTTGGTAAGTAATTGAAATTCCAGTAAAATGCTCTGTAGTTCAGCAGAGGATTTATTCATTTACTTACAAAAGTACAGGTTAACTTAAGTGATTTGACAGAACAAAACTAGCAGCATGACCTCAGGAAAATCTTTTAACAGGAATGTGCATTCCCTAAAAAGAATGTCATTAAAAAAGACTGAACAAAAAAAATTATATCATACACAGATATTTCAACTCACATAACATAAAGGTTGAAGGGTAGTGTTACAACTATTAGCCAGTTTCTTTGTGCTTTGTATTCATCACTGTATTTTCAGAAGTCTTTAGGGTGGCTCTGGTATTCACCTAGGTCAGATAAGTCTATTATCATTTAATGATACAAATAGGAAATATGTAGAAGACCTTGTATTTTTACAGTGCCTATAATACTGAAGTCTCCAAGTACTTCACAGGAATTAGAATTGATTTAGAAGCAACGTATTCTGGTTCTGTACCGCATACATACTGACATTAGTGCATCTCATTTTAATTTTCAGGTTAAGTCCTGTCATGGAGAATGTTACCAGTTATCCCATCTGTCTGTGCTTCTGAGACGCTTGCTTTTCCTTATGGCAGCGGATCATCAGGTGTGTAACAAGAGCAGTTTGGATAAAGAGACCTTCAGCCCATTTGATCTCATCCTTTCAGAATAGCAACATCATTTTCCTATTACAGTATCATATTTCGTAAATTAGTCCAGGGTCCTGGGTTTATCCATCCTTGCTGGTAACACATTCCAGCTATTAGTTGTCCTCCTTGTAAAGACATACTTCCTGGTATGTAGTAGAATTACCTTTCACAAATCTGAACATTTTCGCTCTTGACCTGATGCCTTGTCATATCTGGAAATAAATTATGCTGTAATTTCTGTCATCAAATCTGTGATATAATTTACAAAATATGCACCAATTACAGCAATTCTGTTCAGTTCAATCAAAATGTCAATGTATGCTATTATAGCACAATTCAAATAGATAAAACACACTTTCATAAATAGTAAGTTGTATGTGGATTCTCAGACTTAGTGATAGAAAGATTAGTCTGTGGTTGTCTATAAGGATATTATCTGTATTGAAAACAATTTGTTGTTTTCAGTTTGTATTTTCATTCAAGTGATAGTCCTTTTTATTTCCAGATTGTATTTGTGAAAAGATTCTGTCCTAAAGAGGCAGACAATTTACTCGTATGGCAGCAAATTAGCATTAAGGCCCTGCCTCCTGACCTCCAGAAACAAGTTGCATCCGACATTGCCAGGACAGCAGTTGATCAGTGTGTGAGATGGCAGAGAGGCAAGCATGTCTTGGGAGAACTGGAACAAGTGGTAAGAATTAGCACCCACTCTGTGATAGCTGGTGTGCTACACCATGCTTGATCGAGAAGGTCTGTGGTATTGGCACATGGGTAAGATCACAGAGAAATGTATGATCTTTTTGATGGCTTTGTTAAAAATGTAATACTGCAGAAAACAATCAACCACTTTTTACTTGTTTTCCTAAATAGAATTAAATGTTTACTAGGAAAGAGCAGGAAGTTAAGAGTAGAGTAATTAGCTCCAATGCAGAAGCCAGCAACAGCATTGATTCCATGGGCTTGGGCTATAATTTGAATGATTTTGAAACAATTAATCTTCTCACCTTTTAGCAGTGCAATTATCTTTCTTGTTTGCACACATCCTACTGAAGTCAGGCAGAACTGGATTGATAAGATCTAAATGGTTGAAATTGCTGGGATATAAAACAGGGAATAAAATAGGTTCTGAATATATGAAAATTTAATCTAAGTCCCACTGTTGATTGTAAAAATATACATTCCCTTCTGCAGAGAGAGACATTATGCCCCCTCTCTTCCAAGGTAGATTGCCCTTCTGGAGAGAAGAGCAATCTACCTTGGAACCATCTCCATCTCTGATGAAATGCAAGGAGGAATCTTTCTGGTTCCTTCCCTGAAGTCACTCAGCTGGGACTGCTGAAACATAGCTGCCAATAGGGGGAGCATGGAGCGTGGGATTCCAACCTCGGACTCCCAATGGACAGGCCATTTTTGTGGTGGAACATTTAAGCAGCCACAATTTGTTCAGTTTATTTTTTCTCACTACTGGCATTTAAACATTAAGAGATATTTCTAATTTAATCTGGAGAGAACGCAGTGAATGTTTCAGTTGCTATTTCAAAGGGATTGATTGTGCTACTAAAATGCAAATGGGGTGAGCCTTTGTCATCTCTTTTATCAGAATGTTGCTCTTGCTGCCATGGTAGTTGTGTGCCACATCCATGGGGAGGCCATGGAATTAGAGCTGCAGATGTCAATCACAAGATCTCTCAGTCAGATGTGGGCAGTCCTTACTGTGGCGCAGGTGAGAATGCAACACATACCTCCAAGGTTCCATTCTGCCAAGTATTTTGACTATACAGGACCTGGTATTTCTCTCATATTTGATAAAGATTTGACTCCTAACAATTTCTAAACTTTCATTATCCAGATTTGAAACTCCCTCAACATTCAATGAGACTGATTTTCTAGTCAAACCAGCCTCACTCAGTTTAACTTTCTTAAGCTACACGACTGCATTTCCTCCTTTGCACATTAAACTCATTAGTAATTTTTCTCTTAATTACAGTTCTTCTGTAGTACGCTTTCTCAAATACCCGTTGCCTGGAGAACGATTCTGCACTACTACCTGTCCCTCTGTTATCTACCCATTGGTTCATTGCTGGTCTCTGTCAGGTACCCCTCTGGTGTACTGTTGGTATCTATTTGTACAGTACATGTCTGAGGTAGTATTCTTAGTTCCTCCAACTGTACACTTACATGAATCTAGGTCTGTAATACAAACCCTGGCTGACCTTTAGTATCAGCTAAAATCTTTGTCAAATATCATGCTGGTCCTAATAAATCACTAATGTGATCTGAAACTGTTGGTACATTCTGCTGTATACAAATCCTGCCCATGTTTGTGTGTATGTTTCTTCTATCTCTGTTTTTTAAAAGAAGTTTGACGTTGTATGTTGTGAAATAATTCTGCACTGGCTTAAAGTGTTGATCTTTGAAAGAGAATACTACATAGGATTATGGAATATTGGACCCTGTGTTCCTGTTGAACATGTTGCTGGTACAGTAGTTTGTTGGATTGTGAATACAGCTGTCCCTTTCTTTTACAGGTGCTAAGCCATCGGTGTGTTCAGAGAACATTCTCATTGCTTCTTTCCCTTGCGTCATTGCTGATTCAAACATTAGAAACTGCACAAGTTGCCCGGGTAATGCAATCATTTTTACCTCATTTAACAAAAAAATAAGGAAAGTTTGCTACATTGGCGAGGAAGATAATAATAATAATCCTTGCATTTGATATAGCACCTTATCAGGTCGTTGGGATGTCTCAAATCGCTTTGCAGAATATAAAGTGAAGTGAATTGACTGTATTTTGTGGGCGAGATATTGCCTTTGGGTCCCAGAAGGGCCTGCTGTTGGTCTGTTGGTTTTCTATATTTTCTATTTGAAATGCAAACACATCTCTAATTTTGATAATATTCTGATCTGTTTGTTCTTGTTTGTCTGTGGAATAGATGGTTTCATCTCTCAGCTCTATTCTTCCACTGCATCCTCCTGATCATATTCGTCTTGCCACACTGGACTTTCTGGGTTCACTAGGAAAGATATTCATACCGTCAGATGTTCAGGTACTTCAAACCATCTGCTGTTTCTTTGTTGACTTGGCTGTATAAAATGTTAAATGGGATTGAAAAAGCAAGTCCAGAACAATACTTTAGGATGCACCAAAACAGTAGAACAAGAAAATTAAGGTTTAGAGTTGCAAAGGTTAATTTCAGAAAAGACACCAGGAAAGGAAGTTTTTCTTTACCCAAAGACTGGAACAGGTTGTCAGGGAGGGTGGCTGAGGCCAGGATACTGGACTCGATTGGAAAAAAAACAAGGCCGCTATGGGGGCATGATAGGGTGGGTATTCTGAAAGGGTGAGATCACAAGGACCAAAGGGCCTTCTTCACCCAAACCAATCTTGTGATCTAGACTGGAATTTGCTTTTTAAAAAAATGTCCTCCTGACATGAAAGGGGCTATAGCAATGTAAAATGTTGTTTTTGTTATTTAATATACTTTGTTGGCAATTTGTGCTATTCATGTTGAGTGCTGGGAAATACAACACTCTTCCACTTTTGTCACTCTGTATATAATGCCTAAAATGTTGGTGCAGTGGCTTTAATTCTGTAATATTCTTCCAGTGCACCAAATGATCCAGATCAATGTTTATAGCAAAGTAAGTGAAACTGAGAGAAGCATAAACAATAAACCTTTCCAAATTATCATTCTTCATTCTAGTTTGGGAGATATTTTGTGACCTTAGTGGCCATTTTAAATTGAAAGGTGCCTTGCGTAATAAACAAGTGTTTTTTAATGATTGAAAGAGCTAAAAGTAACTAGATTTTACCATGTGTGATTGATTAAAATATATTTGTGTCATTTCTCAGTTTAGAGTTGACCTGGGAGGCAGCTTACTGTGTCTGGCCCTTTTATAGATGTGCTCACTGAAGCAGTCTGTAGTTAACCAAATGATATGGTGTTTGAATGCTGCAAGAGTCTGAATTTAATGTAATTTAATGCTTCAAGTACATTTGCTCAGAGTTGTTGACACTTCAATTCCTTTCTAGGGCTTTGTGCTTCCCAAGCTCCCAGGCCTCTTTGCTTCCCTTCTGGTTGATAAGTGCTGGCTGATTCACCAGCAGGCACTGCAGGGATTCACACAGTTTGCTGAGGTGAAAAATGACTTGTACTTTGGGAAGACTACATTTGCATTTGCTACTTTTTTGCGATGATTTGTGAAATGAAACTTACACTACGACTTTCTCAATCTGCTGAACGCTTGGAGTAAAGCTGCAGTATTAATACCTACTGAAAATCTGAGAGTTTTGAGAAAATAAGAATTTGCAGAGGAATCGTTTTTTTAAAAAAATTGCTTGAAAACATTGTACACAAAATGTGCTTTTTGTTGGTCTCCTCGTGTTACTGTCTTAATACTCATTGATATTTATTGTATATTATGGCAGTTCCATGGTACAGCCTGTTGTTGTATTAAAATGCCATGTAACATTAGTTGCACTTGAGCTTCTCCTTGTGACCAGTCACCAGTCTCAGTCAGACCTACATACCTCATCGGGGAAAATGGCATTTTTTTAAATTGCTTTTGAAGCTTTTTTGAGGTAATTTGCTTTTGAAGATAGTCATTTGGGGATAAGTGTTATAATATTTCAGCGATCATCAGTTTAAATATTATGTCTTGGCTGCGTTATAAAATGAGATCACTGGTTTGTTTTATATTTATATTATTGCACGGGTTTTGAACCCGTAGAATTGGTGCAAATAATTAATTTGCTTGTATCAGGAGACCAGCCATGAGGAAGTGGTCCCAAGGGGTCTGGAATCAGCAGAGACGAAGGCCAAAGTTGTGAACTTCTTGAACAAGGTACAGTAAATTGAGCTGATCAAAGGCTGTTTCTAGTGAGACTATGACTGACATTGTCAGACATTACTTATTGTTTTTCAAATTTGAGGCTTGTGTGTGTGTTTACTAACTGTTCATTCAGACTGTGAACATACAATTTGCTCACAAAACACACGGGTGCACTTTACAGTACATCCTGTGAAGCTCTGTGGGATGTCCATCCAAGATGCTTAACTCCTTTTTGACTATTGCCAAATGTGGATTATTTTTGGATCTTTAATGTTTGGGAACTGTCTCACAGTACTGACAACTTTTGGTTTTCTTTCAGGTGGTTAGTACAATTGAGAATGATGAGCTGAGGGTGGAGAGGTTGAAAAGAGAAAAGGCTGTGTTGGATACCCATTTCTCTCAACTGACTTTTTCTACAGTGAATGATTGTGCTGTGGTGCAGGTATGATTTTTAGCACAAATTGATGCCTGTTGATCCTTCATGATATGTTTTTAGAAGAATAATTAGTTCTGAGAAGTACCTTAAGTTGAGCTTGATTTTGCACTAGAAAATTGCAATACACCATCAACCCCAAGAGTATAAATTCAGTGTTTGTTTCAGAACTAAAACTACAGTAAATGTATGTAATAAATTGGCCAGAGCCCTTGGAGTAAGTCACCCAAGGAATAGTGTGAGACACAGGGAAAAGCATGAAGAGAGTTAAAATGGGTGAGCAAAACAAAACTACTAGAATATTTAAAACCTGCCCGTTTTAAATCAATTTGACTACAGTTTTCAAAAATATTGTTAATCTCCTAGTGTTAAATTCAGTGAATATTTTTCATCCCCCACATATCTCCCGCAACTTCAATGGGTTAGAGATGTTGCAAGTCCTAGTGTAAGGGTTTGATTCCTACATGGAGTATGTCAATTTCAGTGGAGACAGATTAGAAATGTAAAAATATCCATTGCTTAGCACAAGATATCTTTGGTCAAGAGCACATGCAGAGGGATTGGAGTGAGATTTCTATTTATATTCACTTGCTCGTTCATATAAATAGCTAACTAACTAAGCTAAGCCCAGAGGGAGAGAAATGACTATGTACTGAATGGTGACCATTGCTTCATTATGAAAATGTGAACATCTGCAAATATAAATAAAAGACTTGAAGGTTGTGTGTACCAAATGTAGTGTTTGTACAACACTTGTCCCTGTCATTCTATGTGTAAATAGTATTTTGCTATTTGTTAAGTGAAACGTTGGGCAAGTTTCCTTACTCCACACACCTCTGTTTACCTAGCAGTAAATAGAAACCTGGTTGTTAGTCGATTAACAGATCACTTTTCCAGGGGTAATGATCCCTTAAAAAAAAATAATTTGGTCACTCAATCTATGACTGTTTATAGGACACTGTACACAATTGGCTGCCATGTTTTGCCCACAAAACATAGTCAATTCACTTTACAGTATATTCTGTGAAGCTCTTTGAGACATCTAGAAGACGTGATAAGGCGCTATATCAAATGCAAGGATTATTATTTATTAAGGGAGCTATAAGGAATGCAAGTCGTTTGTTGTTAGGGAATGGCCAAACTCTCTGAGGAAAGAGGTTTTCCTTGCCTATGGTCTTGTGTGATACACACATGTATTCATTGTGATGCTTTAGTACCAAAACCAGGCAGTACAGATGGAATGAGATTTAGATCTTGACAGTATTACAATTTATAAGAAGTATTTTCAGAGGAATTGGCTTGTAAATCATCACCATGGTGTATAAAGAGAAGCAGAATTAAGGGATATGGCAGGCAGATGGAGTTAGATTAGATCAGCCATGATCTTATTGAATGGCAGGACAGGCTTGAGGGGCCGAATGGCCTACTCCTGCTCCTAATTCCTATGTTCCTAGAAAATCTTTACAATTGTAAAGCCGACTTATTAATGTGGATGTGTTTCATATAAACTTATCTGACTTTCATTTTTCAGCCATCTGCTAAACGTGCCCGCCAGGAACCTTGTGAGGAAGAACATTACCAGACAGTCTTGCAGACAGCTGAGCACGCCTTAAACACACTGCAGACACTCTTACAGCAAGGACCAGCCCCTGAGTGGGTGACAGCCCGTTTACAGGGTTTACAGACAACTATCACGTCTTTGAACAGTGGCAGGCAATAGGCTCTTATCAAACTGAAACACGTTTCTCACTGAAGAGAAAGAATCCATGCAGTTGGTATGTGACAAAAATGGCAAGTGTGCAAATTCGACATGTATTTACCATCCAAACCAAACAATTATACAAAATTAGCACCACATGTTACTGATTCACCAGAAGTTAATTGTTTGCATCAAATTAACCAAATAAGAAGATATGGTTCACCAGCAAATGCATCTAGTTTTTCAGATTGTTCCAAAGCTTTTCTGAGAACCTCACTTCTAAAACTTTAATTAGGAGAGTGCCTTGATGGAACTCCTTCATGGTTAGTGCAACAATTTGAGCAGATTAACTCAGAATTGGAGCTTATCCTGAAAGCTAGTGTCCCTGACCAGAGAACCAATGAAACTTATTGAAGAAGTTATTGAAGTGGTTTGAGGCACCTGGATACCTCCAATACAGAACTGAGATGTCAACAACAGTCAAAGAGTCACGTTTGCACTGAGGATGCACCATGGGAGCAGATTTGGAGCTTGTCTGCTGAGCAATGCCCCCTTGATGGGGCAATAAAGGAATATAAACTCACCCTATCTGTGGGGATACTCGGGGTGCACCAAGCTTCTCCATTTGACAAGGGAGAGTCACATAAACAAGGATACAGAAAGACTAATTTGTAGATCGGCTGAAATGAATGTTTTTCTGTATATGCTTCTGTAACAATGAAGGGCAGAAATACTCTAATATTTCAATGTTATTTTTTTCAAAGATGGGACTTGAATAATTAACTGATGTAAAATTTTACAAATTATATTTTAGAACAATTTACCAAAATAGCAGTTTCTAAACTTGTGATTAAATACTAAATTGGTTGGTTGAGTATCCAATTAGTCTTAAAGTTTAAGGTAAGCTCCCAATCAGTTTTTGTAAAGCTTGGGTGCTGTTGATGTGAAAGGCACAATTTTATATCTATATATATGCAATTTTTGTAAGATTGCAGTGAATGAAATAGTGATACTTTAAATATACATGATTAAGCAGCTTTTGGGGAGGATTAAATACAATCAATCGAACTTGGGTTTAATAACTATAATTGATACTTTAAATTAGTACCACTGTCGAGAGCGGAAATAGTATATGAAAGACGGATGAAATTTACTGAAATCAAACCTCGTCTGGAGACCTGGGCTGGATTAGCCTGCCTTTATTTAGTGTTATGTATGTACACACACGACACGTGAAGTGGACTCACTTGTTCTCCCAACACCTGGCTTACACGGCTTTTGTTTCTGCCTTTTGTAAACCAGTCAGAAATTCTTGATGACGAGGCTTTCGAATGAAGCCTTCAAAACAAACAAGCACTTTTTGTCCCAGGAGAGTGACAATAGGGCATGTTATAACATTGGAATACAGGTTGTGTATCTGTAACCCTTTTCTATCCAATCTGTACAGGCTAACAGCGGTTCATTTAACTTTCTACATTTTAGAATTCTAAACTGAATTACAACAGTTATTAATTATTACTTTTTTTGAACAAAAAGACATTTGTGAGTTACTTTTAGGGAATGGAGTGCGAGCAGGTAAATAACGCATTGATCTCATACTGGCTGTGTTAAAAAAACAAATAGGTTTCCAGAGCTATTAGTTCAGTGCTTGCAATGTTTTGAGGAAAAATTGAGTTGAATGCATAGTTATTGGCATGGCCAACAGAAAATTGCAGAAATATTTGCTAAACATTGGAGGGAAATTTGACATTTGCAGGGAATTGATTCATGCTATTGAGAGGTACATTTTACTACCAACCCATATTTTTTCACTTTATTGACAAAAACTAAACAAAGAAATAACACATTATATTGTTGCAAAAAGCAAAAATAAAGTATATCTATAGTAAAACTATTTGGAATAAAGGCAGGTAGCTAGAGTTGTGCTGCAGCATGCATTTGGAATAGAAATTGACAGATCAGTCAGTCTTACCTTTGTGATCAATTGCTTCCCTTCCTGCAACTTTGATTTCCAGATTTCACTGAGAAGCATATTTAGAAACAAAAACAATTACTGTGTCAAATACTGAAGACTGAAAGTCAAGTCCCAGCTGTAACTAACAGTCAAAGTTATTCAAGGACAAGTTTGGCTGGCTCTCAGCCAGATCATTACAATGCTGCCAGGGAAGAGCAAACACAGCATCTCGCCAAACCCCAGAAAATCTGCAATTTGACAAGAGTAGTGACAATTCCACGACCAATATATTGCTACCTTACTATGCATAAGGATATTGCGTGAAGAAGCAAAAGAAATATAAAAAGAATTATTTTGCACACGAAGGGTAAACAGTTTTCAAAAGAATCAGAATTTCCACATTAAAATCATAGGTTAGAGCCATAGAAATTTACAGAAGTGATCATTCAGTCCATTGTACATGGACTGGCTCTCCAAAAGAGCATTTAGTCCCATTCTGCGTTTTTCCATCTTTTATATGGTATGCATTACATCAGAGTAGAGCACAGCAAAACCTTAGTGTGGAGTAGCGGTTTAAGAGTATAAACACTAACAAAGAAGGCACGATCACGTAGTTCCAGGCCATGTCTTCCAACGATTGGGAGCTTTTATAACAGAAAATTATTTACCATTAGATAAACAACAAATGGATCTGGAGGATTGTTCAGACATGGAGAAAAATGCCCTCTTTTTCAATAGTGTCGCAGGATTGTCTAACACCCACTTGAACTTCAGAGCAGCTTTCTCATTCAATTAGGCTGATTCTGCATCACGTTTTTCACTTCATTCTGCATCCTGACTCAAGAGACGTGCAACCAAGCGCTCACGTTAGAACCATTTATTCACTCATTACACTTCTCAATCAGCACAGGAATTAAATAATGGCAATTACAAAACAAAGTATAGAATCACTTTAAAATCTTTAGCAATGCTTTAAACACCCAGTCATGAAAAATGTAGTAAGTGCCTAGATTTAATTAAGTATTTGCTTCATTTGGCTTTTGAGTCCCTGCCAAGACGGCTCAAAAGAAACATTTTTTATAGATATATTAAAAAAATCTTCAAACCAGTATATTGATTTCCTTTAAGATTCCTGCAGTTCAATGCTGCTCTTTCCATCTCAGTTCTGTGCTACTAGAGCGGTTACAATGCTATGTAAAATGTTGTAGAACCTGCTTTGGGGAACGGGGGGGGGGTGAGGGGAGAGACAGGTTTTGGTCCTATATGATCAACCAAGTTCTGAAGGCAACATTCCCCACTCTAATACTGCCTTTGAGCCTCTACCTTCTTATGGGACAAGGCAAATTCCACAGCAGCTAGGACATGAAAGAATTATGCACCTGTACTGGTTACTAAGCAGCAATTCACAATTTTGGGCCAACCTGCCTTCCCTCGGGGATGGAGAAGGTGAAATATAGGCCAAAAAAACACTTCATTGGCCTGAGCTGCACATCCTGCAAAACAGGGTTTGTGCTGCGGCCGGGAAACTGGTGCTGACCATCTCTTCAAAGTGGTCTCGATTGCTGCCTCTGCTTTTACAGATCTGTTCCTGTTGAAGCTGTGATGGACACCAACATTATGCAGTAAATGCAGCATTAATATTGGGTACCGACAGGTCCGATTCACACATGTTGCACCTCAGAAGGCACAAATCATTTGCCAGGAAGAGCAAATTCACCTGACTGCCTTTAATAATGGTTTGTTAAGATGCTAAAATGTACTAACTTCCAACCTTTAGAAACTATGATCTCAATGCAGGATTATCCCCCAAGTTAATAAACTCTTATTACATTCTTCCCACACTAACTAGGATAATGGCAAGGTATTGGAAGACTATTCCAAATTTTAAATAAATTAGCAATAAGGAGGGCACTTCTACGCTGTAAATTAATTCAGTAAGACAGCCCAAACATATTTCCGTTAGCTATCTTTTCAGGACAATGGGTTTTGATTCCATCTTCCCAGATGGATTTAGACATTTTTCTATCTCTCTCAACCCCCTCAACAATTTCCTGAAGATGCTGGAGTAGGATTCCACACATCTCATCCAAGTGTTTAACCTGCATGGTTCAGCGTAGTTGGTGGTGTCAAAAGGCTATTGGCCATTGGGGTATGACGGCTAAACTTGGCCTTGCCATTGCCTGATAACCACACCAGCACTCTGGTAGTGAGTTGCTGGAAACTGTTCAAGAACGCGAATCCTGATATCTCCCCCCTCCTTAGCCCAGTAGCTCTGATGCCAATGACGGCAGCCCTCACTGAGACCAGCTAACTTAGCACAGATCAGGGTGCGGATCCTGCGACTTTCTGGGTCTGATATGGCTCAGTTTCACACCAGGTGGGGAAGCTTTATATGAAGAATTCAAGAGAATTCTTACATTGAGACTTGGCATTTAAGTTACATTGTCTGGCACTTTTTGGTACTTGGTAACAGCGACGAAGTGAAATCTTGGTTATGACAGTAAACAATATCCAGTAAATGTAAAATCGGTAAATCCACCAGCATAGATTCTTTCTCGGTCGCTTTAAAATCTGTGCTTTTAAAAAAAAATGTAAAGTATTGCAAAACCACTACCTTCAAATAGGTTTCGTTTGTTTGATCCAGTTGTGCTCATTGTCCTCACTGCACATAAAAGCCAAGCTGCTTGGCAATGACCTCGATAGCTGTGATCAAGGAATTTCAGGACTTCTAGGATTTTTTTTTTCTTTTTTTTTTAAAATGGGTCATTTTGACCCTTGCATCAGACTACCAACCAGCAGCAGGCTGGTTAGTCCATGTGCTCCAAAGTACCCAGATCATAAGATGTTCAAATGGGCATTTGTTCAGTTTTTTGGGACCCATTCTTCTTTTGATTCTACCAGGTATTGTCTTCCCAGTTCAGATCATCTCCCCAACCTTCGGTTTCTGCCTGTGAAAGCAAAGCAAAGCTAGTAAGCAATTTTCCCTCCCTCTGCAGTAATCCTTGCTGCTCTATGCAAAGTTAGCTGAATATTTCACAGCTTGGCCTATTTAGGAATAAACTGTAGTATGCTTGAATGAAGCACTGGATAGGTTAACACTATTTGTCCAGCTGGAGAGTTAAAAAAAAAAGGCAAAATACAGGAGATGCTGGAAACCTGACGAAAGGTCATCGACCTGAAACGTTAACCCACTTTCCTCTCTCCGTAGATGCTGCTTGACCTGCTGAGTGTTCCCAGTGACATCTGTTTTTATATTAGTTTGAAATTTGGCTCACAGGAACTCTGAATCCAAGTCTAGCTGTCGAGCCAAACAAACAAGTCAAGCATCAACTGAGTTTCAGCACACAAGTGCTAACTGAAATACTACTGATAACTAGTGAAGAGCACAGCAGATGAGTTGTGCATTTCGCTTGGGCTGTTCAACCCTTTGTTTTGTGTATAGCTCAGGAACCACGCTTCTAATTCGAGTCTCCCAGTTTTACACAACACTAGTTTCATTTGCAGCAGTTCTTAACTGGAGTGTTCAATGATGATTCCCGATAGAATTCCAGTTGACTGGAACGCTGCTCCAGAACCAGATTGCATCAGGGCAGAGTTCCCAAGGGTTGGAGTGATGAGAGTCCTGCTACGAGAAGGGGAATTCTGCAATCGCGCAACTCTGATTCCTTATTAAGGAATGCCATTAAGAAATGCTGCAAATGACCAAGGATAAGTGGTGTCCTCATGTGTGACGAGATGAATTCTCACTGTGAGCTTACCTCAGTGGTGTCAGCTGCAGCAGCAAACTTTGACGTGAGCACGAATTGTTGTGAGCCACCTGCGTCCGCTAGGGGAGGGTTTGCAGATTCAGTTACTTTGGCAGAATCAACTGGTTCTGTCCTCTGAGTTGGGAGTAAAAAACCCACGGAGGAAAGTTTGATGTCTGGCATCATGTCAGCAAACAAGTCGAGTTCTGGGTCCCTCTCTGGCTTTTTCTTCACGCTTATGGTGAACTCCTCACCCAGTCCCTGGCTCAGGGGTACTTTTTTAATGGCGCGTTTCTGTGCGATTGGGGAAGTTCTCTCACTATCCCCTACAGTCGAGTTTTGTTGCTGCCAGGCATCCTTCCGCAAGCTGTTGTACGATACTTCAGAACAGCTTTTCGGTGCCCACGTCAGTTTCATGCCTTTGGACTGAACTTTATTCCTGGGAATGGATAAATCAGGATTCTGAGGGCTGATGGTCTGTTCCGCTTTAATTTTCTTTGGGTCCGACTTGGCTTCAATGTCATCCCAAGGTTCATCATTTGCGATTGCCTCCTCAGATTGCACATGCGCAATGATACGACCTCCTTCGTGCTCGGGCTGGAGTCCTGTGTTTATTTCGTTCTGCTCGGACTCGGACCAGTCTGGCCATTCCTCGCCAGCGACTGAGGTCATGGCTGAGCTCTGTACACTGACTCCACCCGCAAAGCCATTCATGGACACCGAGGTCATGGCTTCCGCACATTGGACCACTGGGGTTCAAATAAAAAGCACACGCTATTATCCGCAACAACTCAGTTGCACACTATACATTCTGTGAAGCGTTTTGAGACGTTTCAACATGATAAGAGCTATATCAAATCCGAGTTTTATTATTATTATTCCAGGATTGTGATTTAGGATTCATTTCAGAGGTCACCCTTTGAAGTACTGAAACTTTCATCACATGCAAGTACAAAGGTAGTAAATGGAAAAGCATGAATTACAGCCAGGTATTGGATCTGGGATCTTAAAATACACATCTAACCCTCACGAAGATTTGCTTTAAAATACATGTATATTTATGTAAAAAGAACACGCTCTAAAGGATAATACTTGCATTTGATATAGCACCTTATCACATTGTTAGACATCTCCAAACGCTTCGCAGAATATACTGTAAAATGAACTGACTTTATATTTTGTGAGTAAAACATGGCAGCCAATTATACACAGCAATAATGGATTCTGTGGTGTTAATCCCCATTTTCAGGTCACACCTGAAAACCTTACTCTTCAACTGTTCTTATGGTCACCTCCCAGCTCCCTCCGGCTCGGCATCGTGCTCTGCCACTGTCAAGCTCTCAGGGAGGCTACCCTGTGTGAGGGGCGCTACATAAGTGCAAGTTGTTGTTGTAGCTAAACCACCTTCAGGAGATTCCTCAGCACTAAGTGTTGATATGATCTTTGAAAGTGTTACCTTATTATTATGTTATAATTGTTACCTGTTTTTGTGAGTGTCTCAAACCCCACAGGTTGCTGGTTTTGAATGTATTTTGCTCCATATTTCTCCCTTGTATCTGAAGGCTTCTTCCCAGGTAGCGAGTTCTTGGGGAACAGCTTCAGCAAGTGTTTATTTGGGGAGAGAGAACTATGTGATTCGTGACCGCTGCCGACATGAACAGGGGAACCTTCAGGAAAACACCACAGGAGAAAGAGAAAGGTTACAATTTCAGCTTTTCTGAAGTTGGGTTTCAGTCAATATGAATTTTTAACCAACGATAAAAACCTTTCAAGTGCTGGTTCAATGCAAAAAATTATAAATCTCTACTTAATGCATTTGTATCATTGCTAACACGTTCTTCATCAGATACAGGTAGATGTCCTCCCAACGTGAAAGGCGCTATATAAATTCAATTTGTTGTTGTTGTAGGTTTGATTGACATTTTGTAATACTAGTGTTGTCTTGGCCCATAAAAAAGATAAGTCTAAATTGCTGCCAACTAGATATCACTAATCAGGATTGTTTCCTACCTTCTGGGGTGATCTCAGTGGATTTGGTGAAGTTGGGTGTTGTACGTTTGAAGATCTTTGCCCGTTCACCTCCGACCACTACATCTGCTCCAAGAAGCGGCACCAACACTGCAAGGCCACAGAGCGTTGCAGACACCAGTGCCTTGTTGGTATCTCTCAGCCCCAGTAACACCTAAAGAAACCCAAAATGTAGCTGTATTACATCTGTTAGCAAATTGGCCCATTTTCATTGAAAGAAACTGGAGTACATTACAGAGAAATGTTTACCAGCTGGTAACATTCTGAAACAACAAAATGCATGCTCAAGATGCATATTGTAATATGGCCTGAAGGTCTGGGTGTAGTGGAATCTGCCCATTTATAATGCAGGTCAATTTCACAGCAGTCTGAATAACTTTACAGGTGCTGTTCTGTTACAGAAACAGTTCATGGACAGCATACTCCTCTACAATAGCTGGTAACACTTTACGCACGTATATGTGTGTGTGAGGTGGTGGGGGGGTGGTATGGAGATTGTAGAAGATCATGTTACCCTATGCACCATATGGCCGAACCGAAATAACATATTCTGAACCTAACCAAAGTCACGGTTTCAATTCATGATCACACATTTGCCCAGAGGACTTTGAGAACTTTCACAGCCCTTTCAAGGACAAGTAGTGCAAGATGAAATCAATACGATATTTGGCATATCTTCACGTCAGCAGAAAGTGGCAGAAGCTAAATGACATAAATCGGGATGAGAAGACACTGCCTCAACTGACCTCATTGGAGCCTTGCCATTATCAACCTGGGTTTCAAAGGAGTACCAGTTATCCAGATCTTTTCCTAACCTGTGGAAGGATGATGTCCTGAAGATCCTCCAACGTGAAGAGGTCCACATACGTGTTCAGGTGAGACAACAGGACCATGCGCACATGTTCTTCCCGCACACTGTACAGCTTCAACAAAACAGGACTCACATGTTCTCGAAAGACATCCGGTGACAGGAGGCAACTGAATTGGCAATCACCAGATGAATCTGCAGAGGAGCACAATTCAGGCACTTTATTCATCAAGGTAACAACAACAAACAACAACAATTTACATTTGTAAGGCACCATCTGGGTCGGGAGGACATCCCAAAGCACTGGACAGTCAAGGATGTGCACCCGAGCTGGGGGTTGGGAATCTGAAGTGTGGTGGGCAGGGAGAGTGGGGGTAGTAGGGTGACCGAAGGCGCGGTTGAAGCAGATGGTCTTGAACAAGCGGACTTTTCAGCTTTCAACATGCTTTTTATTATCAAATAATTCTTTCTTCCCGAACGAGGAGAATCTTGAGTGGATTTCTTTATGAATTTGCACTCGTCAAGGTAAGAGGTGACGGAGTGAAACCCCTTTCTATTTTGGGCATGCAGCAACAACATCAAGCATTCCAAAATGAGTTAAAGCAGTCAGACAAAATATGGTTCCATCTACTATATCCCAAAAGTGAATTTAATAAGGGTTTAAATAAGGGTCCCTTCCAAGTGCTTGCGTGTGTTGGTGTGGCACCTATGAGGAGACACATACTGTTACTAAATACCTTTCTTTGGCTGGAGAAGGTGAGGAAGGAAGCTTTTAACGGCCACTGGTTCAGCAAACACCAGTGGATTTAGGAGCTGTGGTACGAGACGAGAGGCCATGAGATCTTCAGGCAGCGTCTGAAGCCGATCTAGCAGGAACCTATTAAAAAAAAGCAGATCGTCAGCAAGAGTACAACTGCTCACATTTTCCTAAAGTTATTTCCCCACCACCTGGTTAGTGGACTGACTGAAAGACACTGCTCTCTATTTTCCAATGTACAACATGATTGCACAGGTGTGGTTCAGCTACTCTTCTATAGGGAGAATGTCCCAAAGCTCTTCATAGATTATACTGTAAAGTGTGCAGAATATTATGTAGGCGAACATGGCAGTCGATTTGCCATTAATGTTCCACAAAGTGGAGGACCAATTTTAACTCGAGGATTGTTGGCCAGGACATGGAAGAAACTCCTTTTTTCAAATATTACCATAGGATCTTTAATGTTCATCAGACAAGAACTTGGTTTGATGTCTCAACTGAAGGATGGCACAGGGCTCCCCTAGCACTATATTGGAGTGTCAGCCACGACTGATTTCAAAATCCAGACATGGAGGATGAACTCTGATTCAGAGGCAAGAGTATAACCAACTGAGCCAGCTTACACCTGTAAATCAGAGGCATGAAACAAGTAGCCAGACTCCAAAAGTTTCTATATTCCTGGAACTTCTTTCATGTACACAAAAAAGACTGCTGACAGTCACTTAACAATTATATATAACATAATGTCCTGATGTTTCCTTTGCAGGAATCTTAAACCTTGAGGTTTATACAGGAATCCATATAATGACAGGAGACAGTAACAGAATACCTACTTGAAAAACTCATTCTTTTCTTCTTCAGTCTTTAAAGTCAAACTTTTCAAGAAATTCACCACTTCTAAGAAATCATTCCTGGGGATAAAAACAATAATATTGACAGTCTGATACATGCAGTAAATCATCACGTTTGAAAGTCTTATTCTTATTAAAACGCCTTTATTTTGGAAGCTATTTATCATCACTATTTTAAGTGCAGTAATTCAACCCTAATCTGAACATCAAAACAGATTTAATAACAGATCAAATATCAAACTGATCTTTTGAGAATATTCTAGGGTTCCTGAGGACCTTTATGCTCCAATTGCATAAATGAATTTGAACATTGGGAAAGAAGTTCTACAAATAATTAGCTGATTTTAAAAGAAAAAAATAATTCAAGAACATGTCTCGTATATTATCTGTGCATCAATTAACTATGAGCACTAATAAATGGAGGTCTTCATACAGCTGGACGAGACATTTAATGGAATATACAGAAAGTAAACTTGGAGCAATATTTTAAGCAGGAGGACAAGAGGACTAAAGTTCAGTTGGTGAAGGGCAAGTTTAGGACAGACACCATGAAGTATTTCTTTAAGAAAGTAATTAACATAATAGGTTAACATGACAGTGGTTGAGGCCATGTTGGCTCATTTAAGAAACAGCTCAATGCTGTAATGGGGGAGACAGTAATAATCAACCATAGCAATAATAATCCTTGCATTTGATATAGTGCTTTTCATGGCTACTGGAAGTCCCAAAGCGCTTCACAGAATATACTGTAAAGTGAATTGACTGTATATTTGTGGGCGAAACGCAGCAGCCAATTGCGCACTGCAGTGTCCCACAAACAGTCGTGGATTGAAAATGACCAATTTATTATTGTTTTTTCTTGAGGGATTATTATCAGGCGTGTGGAGTAAGGAAACTTGCCCAAGGTTTCACCCTGCCGGGAATCAAACCCAGGTCTCTCGCTTATGAGGCGAGTGCTCTAACCACTGAGCTACAGGACTCCATACAGGTGAAATAGCTCCTTTTCACATTGTTGAGATGTCTCAAAGCACTCGACAGAATATATTGTAATGTGGATTGACTGTGTATTTTGTGCACAAAACGCAGCAGGCAATTGCGCACAGCAGTGTCCGACAAACAGCAATGAATTTAGTGACCACATTTTTGGGGGTCTGAGAGGCTGAGTTAGGAATGGATTAACAGAGGTGGATTATTACCCCACTTCTGTGCTGTAACATTCTAGGATTTTGTGAAATAAATGGAAGGACTTGGGTGCGATCTTTACTGACCTAAAAAACATATGGGGCAGCAAACTCTGCAAAGACGGCCGTTCAGTAGGATTTGGGTTCAGCAGGGTCACGTTCAGGGTTTCTTGGAAATCCGCCAACAGATGTTCTGCAACTACAGAGGGCAGAGACTTCAACCACAAATCTCTATCCTGCTACAATCGACCCTGGCTACGCTCGCATGCAATACAGACACTAAAGACACTCTTCAACATCCAAACAATGTCAATGGATTGTCAGCAAAGAGGACATCACATTGCCACATATACTGCAATGAATTCTTCCTGTAAACTTTCAAAGTTGAAGTACCTCTAACTGGACCAGGACTCCATCCACTGGTGCGAATAGTGCTGCTTTGGCTTACAAACAAGAACATTCAGATCCATTTTGGAGAATGTAGTTCAATAAGGCATTTGCAATATACGGTGTAGAGTACCTTTTACCACATGTTAGCAAGGGAAAGGAAGCTATGCTATCAATCATATGACACAAGCTCGAGTTGACCACTTCAACCAAATTTCCTCCCTCAACCAAATTTACCACGGTTGATAAAGTCACCACACAATTATTTAATAGATTCTGAAGCACAAATGTCTTTGTGAAGCAATTAATATATAATAATAAGACTTGTATTTGATATAGAACCTTATCACGTCTTCCAGACGTCTCAAAGCGCTTCACAGGATATATTGTAAAGTGAATTGACTGTCATTTTTAATTGTAATATTTAATATAGATATATCTACCCTGGTAGACAATGGTCACTCATTGGCTACGTTAAAACAAGACAATTTACATTCAGATAGCACCTTTCACGGAGGGAGGATATAGAATATAAACATTTCACGTGTTGTCGCTGAAACATGCAACATGAAAACCCTTACCCACATCATTTAGCAATGGAAGGAGCTTCCCCACCATGATTCCGAATGAGTAAGCATCACGTGCATGCCCATGCTCCTCTGGCAGAATCTGAAAACCTGCAGACTAAATTGAACATAGCAATTTACTGAACTTGGCATTCACTCCTTTTTAATATAAATATTTCCCCTTCCCCCATTTGACATCATCCCCCTTCCTCCTTCCCATACTTAATTTCCTGACAGAAAAGTCAGACCCAAATTAGACAGCTATAGCAACACTAAACTGGATCACTTGGGCACTGCACCAGAGAGCACCCTGTAATAACATGTGCCTAATCATCTTTCACATGTTAAACCGAGGTCCAGTCTGCCTGTTCAGGTGGATGTTAAGGATCCCAAGGCACTAGATGAAAAGAGAAGGGAGTTTCTCCCGGTGTCCCAGTCAACAATCCCCTAAATAAACTGGTCTCTCGTTTCATGGCTGTTTGTGGGATACTGTTGGGTGTAATTATGCTGCCATGTTTGCCTACAAATATAATCACTGTATTTCACAGTAAATCCTGTGAAGTGTTTTGAGTTGTCCTTCCGACGTGATAAAGCACTATACCAAATGCAAGGATTATTATTATTTCTCCTCGACACTGTGCTTCCCGACACTTCACATCTGGTTCTGTGTGGAAAATGCAGGCACGAAGCCAGCATCCACACATGTGCTGCCATACTGTCTGTTTAGTCCAAGTACAGCACCATAGTGAATAGCTGACAAATCTTACCCAGTGAGCCAATTTGTTAGCAAAGAACAGGACTGTAAACAGAACACTTGTAAATTAATTTGTTGCAACATTCTACATTATATGACATTATTAGAACACATTTTGAAGAAAAATCCTAGGACAGTCTGGAGTTGTTATTCTGCAATGTACTGCCTGAAAGGATGGTGGAAGCAGATTCTATAATAGCTTTCAAAAGGGAATTTGATAGGTACTTAAAAAGGAAGAATTTGCAGTGGTACTAGTTGGTAGCTCTTTCAAAGAGCCAGCACAGGCACGATGAGCAGAATTACCTCCTTCTGTGCTGTAAAATTCTATGATTCTATGACAGCACTAGTGGCGTTTTTGCTTCCATTCTACCTGGTGACCGCTGTCCTAAGTCCATATGAATGAATGTGACGAGAGTAGGACTTGGCTCAGGTGCAACTTATATCTTGAGTCAGATGCCACTTGGGCTTGTGAAATACCAGTAGAAAGTAAGGAAAAGTAATTAAGTTGCCCCGAGGAGAATAGGGAAGAAAGGAGGTAAAAAACTGGCATGGGAAGAAACTGCAAAACAAATCCCATATTTTACTCACTTTTTTTAAAAAAAAGTTATTAATGGGCTTCAATTAAATTAAAGATGCAAGGCTCCCATACAAATAAAGTTTCTAGAATGAATGCAAACCTCCCCTTTAAAAGAAGTTTTAAACAAATATTGTTACTCAGGAAGTGCGAACATACCTGTTCTTCAGGTGAAATGCCACTTTGTTCTCTCAATAACTTAATGCTGGAGAGGAACTGCAAAAACAAGCAGCAAGTATTAAAAAAGTCTGTCCACAATGTGCAGCAATTAAACAGAAACTGGAGGACTGTTTAGCAACCAGCATTCTCATTAAAACAAACCATATTTTGGTTCATTGCAAAAATAGTAATCGGTGCAGCAGCAGATATCACCAGAATGTTTCTTCAGTTTTGTCATTTGTGCTCAGTTTGGGTTAGTAACTCCATTTCTCAATCCCCTTCGTTGAGTTCACCGGTATTTAAAGTTCATATAAAGAGTAAGTCAATTATCTCCCCACTCCCTTAGTCAATAAAATGCTTCAAAATATTTAGGGGCTGTCAAATCAAAAAAGTCTGCACCTATACCTGACGTAACAGGACATCCTACTGTTTGACTACATAAGAGGAAATAATCTATTTTTCCCCTAAATTAACACAAGTTATATACTGCATTTCATGTCAGGAAGACATGCTTATTTGCAGAAGGGTTGAATCCATCAGTGAAGTAATAGCTGCTGTGGTAGCTGTAGGTACTGAGATTGCCATTAACCAGTTAGGTAAAACTTGGAGATAGTTTTCACATTGGCAATCCTTTAAAAGAAAGGAATCTCATCAATAACCCCTCTTAAAGTAAACACATACTTTAAACGATGAATTCTCATTTGGTCAGCAAAACAACAGATAAAGACTAACACAGATTTCTTCTATGACTGAACTGTAAAACTAAAGTTGAAACCTATTAAGTGCCAGTAATGCAATGAAGAACAATAGACAAATATCCATCAGAAATGACAGTCATATATAGCTTATTTATGTAACAAAAACAAAGGAATAAGGAGGGGTGTTAAGTGCTGAATACAAATGCTAATGAGATAATTGGGAAGGTGGTGGTATACTTCTGGAGGGATGACAAAAAGCAAATTTCAAGGTAAGTCTTACGGTACACATACTGGTCTTACCTCAGGTGTGGCCTGAGAGAACTGGCACATCGTCTCCATTCCTCCCAGCTTCCAGTGGCCATCCTCACTCACAAACACAGAGGAGATGCACACATTATTGTGGCTCAGCTTTCCCTGTGACACAAAACACACCAAAATGTGTTCTTAATAGTATTTCATGCTGAAAAATGCACTGCTAGATGGTTCTCTCCAAGCGTTACCCATCTACAGTAAAATGATTTCCACTACTTACACAAATGATGGTTTGTGTCTAACCCACCCAGCTACATTATTGTAGAGCTTCAGACTTTGGGAAGGGGGAAGGGAGATAGATTTCTGAAATACTGCCAGCGAGATGACACACCAATCCATTAAAATTAAGTGTAAGTACAGAGAAGGAAGTCGTATTGCAAAATATCTTGTAGCTGCTTCAGCAAACTGGTCTTTCACTAACAAAGTCAAGTGACACTTTTCAACAGCTTTCCTGTGGCTAGTTGAATTGCAACTTGGTTGTCTTTTGCACTTACTCGATCATGGAGGAAGAGGAGTGCCTGAAGAATATCGAAGATTCCCGCACACATTTCATCTGCCGAGACATCATCGAGCACCATCTCCAGGGGCTGCACCCGCTCAGTCACTAGATGGATTCCATCAACTTCCACCGTGCAGGATAGGAACCTCAACAGGCATGGGTGGCGCAAGGTTTTCAGGTGCTGAAATATGATAGGTTTTAGCTCACTGCCAAACTAGCCTTCATACTTGCCCAGTTTAACAGCCAGATTCAAATTTAGTCAATACCTGTCTCTTCTGCAGATCGTTTGACCCACTCACTGACACTATCAGAGCTGCTGGACTACATTTGACAGAAAGCAAACTTGTAGACACAGCAGACTACATAGTGTTGAGTTTGAAAGTATTGTTAATAATGCAGTTACCATTCTGTTGAAACCAGCTTATTCTGTTGCCTAATTTATATATTAGGACCTGTGAACCTTGTACTTTATAGTCAATGCTTGTTTACTTAATAAGACAGGAAAGTTGCATTAGATCAATAAATAGTTACAATACTACCAACAATATTGACTGTTACACTCATGTCCATAGTAATGTTGGAGTGGAGTCTTGTAGTTCAGTGGTTAGAGCACTCGCCTTGCAAGTGAGAGCAGCTGGGTTTGATTCCAGGGAGGGGCAATACGTTCCTTACCCCTCATGCCTGTTTACCTAGGAGTAAGTAGGAACCTGGATGTTATTCGATTGGTGGATTGCTTTCTTGGGGTAATAAGCCCTTTTAAAAGAAATTGGTCACTCAATCCACAACAGTTTGTGGATCACTGCTGTGTGCAATTTGGCTGACCACCAAATATACAGTCAATTCACTTTACAATATATTTTGTGAAGTACTTTGAGAAGTCTCAAAGATGTGATAAGACGCTATATCAAATGGAAGGATTATTTTTACTATTATGTTACTGTAATGACAATGTCAAAGTTCATAAATTCATAAGCTTCATAAGCAGTAGACAAACAATCTACTTGATTCAAACTAAACTAAAAGCAAGTGTTGTCTCTGGAATTGGCACCCTGATAATCACAGGCATCAAATTAAGGAATCAAAAGACGTCTTTAGCCATTGGGTTTCTTGTATCGATAACATATTGTTTTTTCAATTTTTTTTCCTCTCTTTTACATTCTAATATTAGCAGAAACAATGGCTTGGTTCATCGTGACTGACCAATTGTGATGGAAAATATTTGTTGTTTTTCTTCTCTTTTTGTTTATTCTAATATTATAATAATAATAATAATCCTTGCATTTGATATAGCGCTTTTCACGTCGGGAGGACGTCCCAAAGCGCTTCACAGAATATACTGTAAAGTGAATTGACTGTATATTTGTGGGCGAACGCGGCAGCCAATTGCGCACAGCAGTGTCCCACAAACAGTCGTAGATTGGAAATTGACCAATTTATTATTGTTTGGGGTTTTTGGAGGGATTATTATTAGGCGTGTGGAGTAACGAAACTTGCCCAAGGTTTCGCCCTCTGCCTGGAATTGAACTCAGGTCTCTCACTTGCAAAGTGAGTGCTCTAACCACTGAGCTACAGGACTCCACGAGTTTGGTTTGGTCAATGGTTTGGTTCACAGTCTGAACACCATATCTGAGCAAATTATAAATTAGAAAAACCTCTTTTAGAATTATCCTTTTATTAAAAAAAAGAACAAAACTGCACATCCTCACCCATCTAATGGTTACTTTAAGGCTGGTTTAAACAAGCTGAGACCATTATTGAGCATGGTACCCATAAACTGATTCATACTAAAACCATGTAGGACTTTCACATCAACCACCAACAAAACAGCTGCAGCTGCAATAAACACACTCCCCACTTCTGAGCTAATTTAACTCTTCACGGCACCCACTTGAACTACAATAATATTTTAAGCAGTAATCTTTCTGATTCCAAACTAGTCACAATGGCATTTCTGCGCAGAGCATCCTGCCTAGCTGTTAACCAAAAGTACCACTTTTTTTGAACAAACACAGCACAATAGTCATATACTTTCCACAATTCCATGTTGCGCTTTTGAGTTTATAGTAGTTAGACACGATGGATCTTGTATAAGTCAATGCAATTGGGTGATGCTGCTCAAAGCAGCCCAAATATTTGTGTTATGAACTGGGTGCCTCCTATTGCATTCTGAAAATAAATTGAGTGGGAGCTGATGGAATGTAATCTTTAGGTCCGTCACTCTCAAAACAATATAATTACTATCCTAAAATCTTCTGACACACAAATGGATGCAGCTGTACTGATAAACAATATTTTGCTCTAGATATATTACAAGTGTCTATGATTCAATTGACAGGGGGTGGGGCGGAGACTAACATAAATGATGGAAGCCCCATCAAACAAAAAGTAACTTCAAATAAATAAAAAATCATTTCATAGCATTTTGGGACACGATTAGTCAGCCTGTATTCTGCTCCAACTCTGCTAAAACTTGCACTATTGCATTAAGCATAAACAAACTGCTCGATAATATTCCTTGCATTTGATATAGCGCCTTATCATGCAGTTGAGATGTCTCAAAGCGCTTCATAGAATATATTGTAAAATGGATTGACTGTAGATTTTGTGGGCAAAGCACAGCAGCCAATTGCACACAGCAGTGTCCCACAAACAGTCGTGGATTGAATTTTTGGAGGGATTATTACCCCCAGGAAACAATCCAACAATCAACTAACAATCGGTTTCCTATTTGCTGCTTGGTAATGAAAGGCGTGTGGAGTAAGGAAACTTGCCTACGGTTTTGCTTCACTCTGGAATCAAACCCAGGTGATTTGGTTCGCGAGATAAGCCTGTCAGCTACAGAGCTACATGATTCCAATTTAAAATGGATCCCATGACTTTATTAAAACAATTCAACTTCATTGCTTTTTAAGTGTTTTGTTCCAAATCGGTCAGCAATGCAATATGCTCATATTTTAGACTGTAACTTTTAAAACTTGATTATCGCTTTTTAAGAATACTTTTATTCTCTTTTTTCCAGGAAGGGAGTAGAATAAAGACAAATATTAAGACTTCTCAGTTCAGCAAAATAAACAAACTCCAAGAACATCCTGTTGGACTGGTTTTACGAGCAGCATTGTGTTTAAATTATGTTCAAGTTCAAACAAAGCTAGGTGCCAGTTTTATGGCTGGTCTTTGGTACCCATAATCTAGGTCAGTTTAAAATTGAACAGTTCCCTGTGATGCCACAGCCTGTATTGTATTGAGAAGTTTAGGGAAGTGCTCTATTTTAAAAGCAGAAACATGCTCCTTGTAATAACAACACCATGTCATACCAGAGCATTAGTTAACCAATCAAGCGAGCCTGAGTGGGTTTTCAATTTAAACTACTCTTACCAAGCAAAATTTACAATTGCAGCCTGTCAGTAACAGAGATGTGTAGAGTGGAAATTATGGGGGAAGGGGAACGTGTGGCTCAGGGGATGTGGAGGTCACTGGGGGCATGTGAATTTGGGGGAGTTTGTGGGAGGGAAGAGGTTGGGGCACTGAGGTATGTGGGTTGAGGGGGTTTTGGGGTTAAGGGTGTGTGTGGTGGTCGTGCAGTCAGCATCTCTGCCCTACGCTCTGGAACTCTATCCCGCAATCCCTACACCTCACCCCCTCTGTGGCCTCCTTCAAGTCCCGTCTGAAGAGTTCCCTCTTCAACTGTGCCTTCGGCCGGCCTCCCACCCGCCATACCTGCTCAAGTCCCCAAAACCCTGACTGTCCAGCGCCCCGGGACGTGTATGTGTGCGTGTGGTAGGAGGGGAGGTTAGGGGTATGGGTTTGGTGGTATGGGGTGTAGGATGGGTGTGATAGGGGATTGCGTGTGTGTGTGGGGGGTGGGTAGTTTAAGTGTGCTTGTGGTCGGGGGGTTTGTAGTGTTAGTTTGTGTGTGTGGGGGGGGGTTACGTGTGTGTGTGTGGGGGGGGGGTTTAAGTGTGTGTGTTTGTGGTGGGGGGTTTGTAGTGATAATTTGTGTGTGTGTGTGTGGGGGGTTTAAGTGTGTGTGTTTGTGTGTGGGGGGGGGGGGTTGTAGTGTTAGTTCATGTGTGTGTGTGGTGTAGTGTTAGTTCATGTGTGTGTGTGGGTTGTAGTGTTAGTTCATGTGTGTGTGTGTGTGTGTGGGGTGTAGTGTTAGTTCATGTGTGTGTGTGTGGGGTGTAGTGTTAGTTCATGTGTGTGTGTGTGGGGTGTAGTGTTAGTTCATGTGTGTGTGTGGGGTGTAGTGTTAGTTCATGTGTGTGTGGGGTGTAGTGTTAGTTCATGTGTGTGTGTGTGGGGTGTAGTGTTAGTTCATGTGTGTGTGTGTGTGGGGTGTAGTGTTAGTTCATGTGTGTGTGTGTGTGGGGTGTAGTGTTAGTTCATGTGTGTGTGTGTGGGGGGTGTAGTGTTAGTTCATATGTGTGTGTGTGTGTGGTGTAGTGTTAGTTTGTGTGTGTGTGTGGGGTGTAGTGTTAGTTCATGTGTGTGTGTGTGTGGGGTGTATTGTTAGTTCATGTGTGTGTGTGTGTGGGGTGTAGTGTTAGTTCATGTGTGTGTGTGTGTGTGGGTTGTAGTGTTAGTTCATGTGTGTGTGTGTGGTGTAGTGTTAGTTTGTGTGTGTGTGTGTGGGGTGTAGTGTTAGTTTGTGTGTGTGTGTGTGTGTGTGGGGGGCACTCATTCTCCCCCATCCAATCACCTTGGCGGCCTTGTTGACGGCGTCCTCGTTTCCCCGCTGATACACGAACACGGAGGCCCGCTTCTCGCCCTCCAGCACGGCGGGGTACACGCTGAGGCCGGCGGGCAGGGTGAGCGGCGGCTCCTCCAGCCGACAGCTTCTCACCGCGCTGCTCTCCGACCCCATGGCCTCCCGGACGGACGGACGGACGGACGAACGGTCAGAGAGAGAGAGAGAGAGAGAAGCCCGACACCAAGTGTCCCTGACACCGGAACCAGCGACTCCGAGCCTGTGATCCGGAAATACGTCATCCTAACCCTATCCGCCAATCACAGCCCGCTTGCCGCGCATGCGCCGCACCATCATAATAATAATAATGATGATAATAATAATACTAATCCTTGCGTTTGATGGGAGTGCGGTTATCACGTTTTCGAAACGTCTCAAAGAGCTTCACGGGATACACTGTAAAACTGAATTAACCGTATTAACATTTTGTGCACCGCAGTGTCCCACAAAGCCGTCGTGGATTGAGTGACCAAATTATTCTTTTTTTAAGGGATTATTACACCCGCAAAAAGGATCTGCCGATCGAACAACAAGGATTGTGTGTGTGTGTGTGTGTGTGGAGTAAGGAAACTTGCCTAAGGTTTCGCCCTGATCCGCCCGGGAATCAAACTCGGGTACTCTCGCTGGAGAGGTGAATTCCCTAACCAGTGAGCTACAGGACTCCGCAACAGGACGTGTTGGTGGTGGTGGTATTGTTGAACCAAAGCCTTACGACAGCTATCTTAGGACAACCTCCCTTCCCTCCATCTTCACCCTAGCCCTCAGCCGCTCTCACATCAGTGTCAAGATCATTCATCTTGACACTGATGTTCAACAGTCACATTGGAAGCTGTCTAGCTCGTTCCAGCAGTTTACTAGATCAGGGCGCACTCCCCACTCTTGCTCCTCCCTACCTCTGTGACCCGCTAACACCTTACTAACCTGTCCACACTCTCTGCTCGGTGGACACTGGCCTGTTCCATTTTCCCCGCCCTGCCTTTTACTCTATGGATGTTTGTAGGATTCTGCTGTGCACAAATTTGGCCGCTGCGTTTGCCCCCAAATTCACAATTGCACCACTTTACAGTATATTTCCGTGAAGCGCTTTAAGATGTCTCAACAACATGATAAGGAACTTTTATCAAATGCCAGGATTAAAGTATTATTATAAATTGATTCTGCCTCTATCAGTGTATTGCAGATTTTTACAACCCCGGGTAAGGAAATGTTTTCTGACATCACTTCTAACCAGCATAGCTCTAATTGTAAGGTTAGACCACTTTTCTTTGTCGAATTCAAGATCCTCATCCTCACCTACAAGGCCATTCACAGCCTTGCTCCCTCCTACCTCTCCGACCTACTATCCCCCTACTTACCTGCCCGTACCCTCCATTCCTCTGGCTCCGGTCTGCTCCACATCCCCCGCCCCAACCGCCCTACCATCGGTGGCCGGGCCTTCAGCCTCTCAGCCCCAAGGCTCTGGAACTCTATCCCCCAGTGCCTTCGCCGCCTCCTCCCTTTCCTCCTTCAAGGCCGGTCTCAAGACCTTTCTCTTTGACCGTGCCTTCAGCTCCCCTCTCGACTCTCTACCCCCTCCTCGTTTCCTCCCTTCCCTCCCCTCATCCTGACCATTTCCCCCCAATGCTCGGGTCCAGACCCAACTGTACAGCGCCTTGGGACATCCTCCTGACATGAAAGATGCTCTATAAATGAAATGTTGTTGTTGTTTATGTTTTAAGTGCTTTAAAAATGTTACTTTATCAAAAGTTTGCAGTCCAGTGCGTGTATCTTTTACTTATAGCCGCAAAAACCATGTGACTGAAACCATATTTAGTTCAATATTGTATGTATTGCATGACCTTTCTCAGATCTATTTTTCTACAGCAGCCATGCATGCTGGTATGCAGCATTGACTTGCCAAAAGGAGAATTCAATACAAGCATGATCTTGCCTTCTTGCCTCTTTCACCTATTGTCCAGTTACAATTAATTTTCTAATGATCACAATCTACATTACACAGTCTCTTAGCCTATGTAATATCACTCTGTGAAACTACATCAGCTATTACTGTATATTAAAAAAATCTACTCAGACACTTCTGGCTTTCAAGGTACACACTTACAAAGGATCAAACCATGTACTGAGATGTGATAAAAGCAGTGACATACTTACAAATGTAATGAAATGGTTATCAATTTAACAGTAAAATGAAGCCTTTCTATATATTAATGTAGACACACAGTGAAGCTAATATTTGATTATAATAACACAATCACCTTGATTTGAAACAGCACCTTATCACATCGTCAAAATGTTTCAAAGGGCTTCACAGGACACAACTGTTAAGTGGAGTGGCTGTGTATAATAAAAGTATGTGGCACAGTGACAACTCGCTCTGACACATGAAGGGCGCTATATAAATGCAAGTTGTTGTATTTTGTGGGTGACCTTTTGCTGTAGGAGCAATCTCTTCTACGGACAGACAAACGGCTCTAGCCAGCAGCCTGACAGTTCCTGGTTGCTTGGCAAACTAGGGGATTGGGATTATCCCATTCCTTACAAAACAAAATGAGTCATTCCAGACCTGTATGCGGTACAGACATCACATACAATATTTCCAATAACTCCCTCCCCATGACTATCTATTTCAGCGGATTCCAGTTATGCCAGTGCTCTGTGTGTGCAAAAAAAATTGTAAAAATTGTCTGAGTTCCAAATGGACTGACCTTGACAGCACTGAAAACATATATAAAAAAGAATTGAGGTTGGTAGAGACATGGTGGGAATCAGGGATCAGGGAAGCTGCTATAGGTGCATTGCTGAAGGGATGAGACTGCAAAGAGCGATGCTGTGGTGTTGGTGGGGAGGAAGAGGGGAGGGTGGAATGGAATGGTCCCAAGGTCCAGTGCCTTGGGACGTCCTCCGGACGTGAAAGGCAAACCCTGGGTACAACCTGATGAGAAAACACCGTCAACAGGCGGGGAAAGACCCAGGGCCACGCTTTGGATGCAACCGGGTTTGTCACCGCTCCATCAGGATCTCTCGGACCTCCTAACCCCACATCGACCCGTCCGTTTCCTCCAATGGGTCAGTTTCCTCCGGCTTCAGCTCCCCCGCGCTTCTCGCTCCACCATTGTTGGTCGGGCAGTCACCCCCTCTCTTGCCTCCTTCAAGTCCCGTTCTAAAGACCTTTTCAACCGTGCCTTCGGGACAACCTCCCACACACCCCCCACCCCCCCCCCCCCCCGCTGCCCTCCACCCCGTCTGAGCCCAACTCCCAGTTGTGGGGGGGGGGTCCAAAACCCCTTTGACTTGTCCAGCGCCCTGGGACGTCTTTCCGAGGTGAAGGGCGTTAGGCAAGTGTGACTTGTCTTCTTCGTCGCCGTTGCGGTGGTTGACATGTCGAGCGCCCGCACTCGGGAGGGGGGAATGGGGGGGGGGGGGACTCCGCGGGCTCTGTGCGCATGACTGGGGGGGGGGGGGGGGGAGAGAGAGAGAGAGAATGTGTGTGTGTTTGGGGGGGGGTCTGAACACGCATGCGCGCAGAGCACAGCCAGCCAGAGGGGCGGGCAGGCGCGCGTGCGCAGTGGCCGGCCCCTGGCGCGAGCCCAACCGTCGGGGCTCGAGCTCAACTGTCAGTGCGCGAGCAGCAGCCGTTTGTTTCTCCGGCTTTTTGGAAAGAGGCGCATTAAGAGAGACAGACTGCGAGAGGCAGAGAGAGAGAGAGAGAGAAAGAAAGAAAGAAAGAAAGAGAGAGAGAGAGAAAAGGAAGGAGATAGATAGATAGAAAGAGAGAGAGGGAGAGGGAGGGGAACCCGGTCTCACAGCAACAGGTCACGGCACTGGGAGAGCAGGTGAGAGCGGGGGAATGGTGGGGTAACACACACACACACGCACAGCTTTCTCCCCCACCGTCAATATTGTGCGGGTTTCACGCCCGATTCGGGCGGGTTTTATTGTTTTCGGTGGTGCGAGGCTTTTGAGCGAGGAGGCATTAATTAAACATTGACTTGAGACCTGCGAGACGTGTGTGTTTTTTTTCCAAAAAAAAAGCAGAAGACCTTTTTCTCTGACAACAGTTTCCGAAGGAGAGGCACGAGCCGAAATCGGCCACTCGGCTGCTTGGGCGCCAGGAGGCGACGCGTAATATTGGGCTACTTCTGGGGCTGGTTGTTGAGGGGACTTTGGGCGACACACGTAATTTTTAATTTTTAATTTTTAATTTAACCACAGAATGCACAGTCAACTCACCTTGCGATGCATTGCACGAAGCGCTTTGAGACGTCTCAACGACTTGACGCGGTGAGGGGCTATGTCAAGTGCAAGGATTATTATTATTATTATTCATTTCAGTCAATACCTCGGTGGTGTTGGTGGTGTTGGTGGTGGGGTGGAGGGGGGAGGAGTGTGTGTGACAGATACCCCGCTGTCAACGCGAGCTGTCACTGCGCCCACGTGCTTCTATTTATCATCATTATTCTTAGGAGGAGGAAGAGGTCGGAACTAAATTGTTTGTGTGTTTTCTTTCCAGGGTAAGGAGGCTGGTTTTCGTCGGCCTGTATTTGGTTGCAGACGGCGCATTTTGCGGTCTGCACTTGCTCCCGGGTGCCTGCCTTCCCTTGCCCTCGCTCTTCTCTTTTCCTCTTTAAAATGTCAGAAGATGATGCGATTCGCTGCAGCTTGAATGTCTTGCTGGCATGGAGGAGGGGGAAAAGAAGGGAGGGGGGAAAGGAGCGGGTTGCATCCAGCGAGTGGCTCTGTCTCTTTCTGCCTGTCTGTCGGTGGTGTTTTCTCGTCAGGTTGTACCCAGGGTTTGCCAGAAATTAAAATATGTTTGAAGCCCAAAGTTCACCAAGTAGGACCCCAAAAGAGGCCCAATAATATGCATTCCTCTCAACATGAAAGGCGCTATACAAATGTATTCCCTGCTTGGCTAGCAGACTGGCCAATTTAGGTTAGTTCTTTTGAAGCGGTAAGAAAAGATCTTGGGGATTGGGGGGGGGGGGGGGGGCGAGAGAAACACGTTTTGCATGTTTAACTTTTTAAAATTTTAAAAATTAGGCACCCACCCAAAGCACGCACTGTGGAATACAAACGCACCCTAATTTGGCGTAAACCCACAGAATCTGACAATATTGATATTCTCCAGGGGTGGTGGGGGGGTTCCCATGGCGATCAGAGCAGTTTATTTCTCCCTTCACCTCATTCATATGCAGATGTATTTGCATGATTATGAGCCACACAGTTGTGGCCCAGCACTAGGAATTATTGTGAGGTGCCTTTTTTTTAAAAAAGCAATACCAAGTCTTTTGTTATCTGGACTTGTCAGACCCTTTGTCTTTTATTTCTTAAAAGGAAGCCATTTATTTTGATTAATTGCAAACCGAACAACATCCAGGGTGAAAAAATATGGCTCTATTTAGTCGATTTGCAGCAAGAAGCAATGCCACTCTGTACTCTTAAATGGCAAGCTGCGTGTTTAAGCTGGTTAAGCTCAAGCAGTTATCCTAATACGCTCTCTGGGTTCCCAAAGACTTGGCTCTCGCTGCCCTGCATCTAGTACTCTCCGGAATTAGATAAACAGGGTGCATCCCTCTGGGGGCGAGAGGGTGCATTCCATTCCAGACACACAGAAATTTCCATGCGTAGATAGTGATGTGGAATTCTCAAGTCTGGTTGGATACTCTTAATCGCGGTGATAGGTTTCTTCATGTGTCAGACACCCAGCTGACCAATCAAACATCACTTTGTATTTGACTTGTGCAATTGGATATTTTGTTTTTTAACTGTCAAGTGTTCTTACCCCTGAAGGAGCCACAGCTGAGAACCACTTTACCCTCCCTGACACATGAGAGCTTCCAAAGGGATTTTTTAAAATAGTGATCAGAAATAGGAATCTTTCTGATTATCCTGTTCTTAACCTGGGCATTATGTAGCTCAGTGGTTAGAGCACTCGCCTTGCAAGCGAGACACAATTGGGTTCAATTCCAAGCAGGGCGAAACCTTCGGCAAGTTTCCTTACTCCACACGCCTAATAATAATTCCTCCAAAACAAAACAATAATAAATTGGTCATTTTCATCTATGACTGTTTGTGGGACACTGCTGTGCACAATTGGCTGCCGCGTTTCGCCCACAAATATACAGTCAATTCACTTTACAGCATATTCTGTGAAGCGCTTTGAGACGTCGAGAAGACGTGAAAAGCGCTATATCAAATGCAAGGATTATTATTATATAAATCAAGTACAGTGGCCTTAGTACCATTGTGGCTGAGATCAGTTAACTCAGCACAGTGTAGTACCTACCATACCTGGACCTTTCCTGGCCGGTATGATTCCTCTACTCACTGAATAAACCTGCTGAGCCATTGGAAGAGCTAACACTTTTTAGATTTACAATATATATAACCTGTGTGCCTTCTCTCATTCTCAGATAGGAAGGTTGTTGTGGAGGTGAACGATATTCAAGTTTGTTTGCGGTACTTGAAACAGTACAGTACTAATACGACAATGGGGAATACTGCCAGTGACCGCTTGGGAGCAGATCGCCATGGAAGTCATAAATCACACCGTTCCGAAAGTGTAGCAAACTCGCAATCATCTAAAGAGAATGAACAGCCTAAAATCTTGGTGGACAGCACGGATGATCCCAACATATTTCACATGCAAGAGTCAAAGGTACAAACACTTCTGCTTCTTAATTGTAGCCGAGAATACGTAAACAAAATATTTTGTTTTACTCTCTATATTTCAAATATTTTTGTCCCTCTTGGGTCATTTTATCTGCATTTTGATATTTTAGCTTATTACTGATAATAATTTGTGTCCTGGCAGCCTGACACGGATGAGAGTGTAAAATCATCAAAGCAAGCTCGTCCCACTGTTATCCGCTGGACAGGTGGAGGAAAAGAAGTTTCCATATCTGGATCCTTCAATAATTGGCATAACAAGATTCCACTTATTAAAAGGTAAAAATGTGCAGTTTAGTCTGATAATTCACTTAAAATCAAGTACAGACCACATCTTTAGAATGTTGTTCAAGAGAGATTTACATTATTGAAGCTTTCTCACATTACACGTAGAATCTGGTTTAGGATCAACATATATATTCATGTAGTCATGTCTTACTAGTAGACAACTGGTGAGAATAAGGTGGGGCACCAATGTGAAGCCTTCCACAGTTGAATAATTTATTGATGCCCACCACTGAGGTAGGCAGATGAAGATTGGCTGCCTGCGTGAGGGGATTCTGGCACTGTTGGAACTGTTCCCCAGCAAGAGTCAATGTCTTCACAGTTCGAGTATGTAGGTAGAAACTTGGCAAAAAAAAGGGTGGTGACAGTTTGAATGTTTACAGTATCTACTCAGTATTTTATATTTGGATTTTGTGCACGAGTGTGTGTGCGTGAATGACAATAGGATCAGACTTGCTGCGTTGTGTTTTCTCTTCCTTACCCCTCGGAGATGGAATCCACTGACACATTAAAAATATCTGTTGGGCTCTGTACTAAAGGATTGTTGGCTTTTGTTGATTTAGACCTATTATTAGCTGACACTATTGGGGAGAATGGGTAATAAGAAGCATGGCTGAGAGTCAATCCATAGTCAATATAATAAGCTTTCCAAAGCAGGAGAAATGTAACTTGACAGAATTGAAATTTAGTGCTAATTTTACATTACTCAGAAAATAATTTAGGTTTATGTACTTTATTTATATGAAATAAATACATTTGCTGTCCTTTGTGGAGTGCTTGTGACCACATACCCCACAGCTCCAGAAGGGAATGTTTAGGTGGGAAGCTTCTGCATTATATTTTCATGGAGAAGCATGTTTAATGATTCCTCCTACCTCATCACAACCCCAATCTGCTGTATCACTGTATCTAGTGACATTGTCAGATTTTGATGCAACTCGTTCAATTGAGAGGGTGTGACCTATGGTCTCAATAATGAAAAGTGCTTACTGTCACTGTTTCAAACTTGCGGCCGTTTATCCTGCTAGGACTACCTACCCATTAGGGCTTTGGCTTACATGACTAAAGTGTTTACATATGTAGACTCGTAAACTACTAGTTTGATTTTGAGATAGAAAATCAACAAGTCTTTAAAGATGGTACAAAGGCTAACTTAAAATACTACTGTATCTGGATGTTTTTCATTTGCAGTGAAACTTAGCAGGGGAGTGCGTCATTGTCAGAGTGTGCCTGTTCTTCAGATAAGATGTTAAAACAAGATCTCTTCTGCCTATTCAAGTGGACACTAAACATCCCATGCCATTATTCAAAAAAGAAAGGAATCCTTCCTGGTGTCGTGGCCAACAATTTCCCAAATACAAAATTGAGTCATCCTGTGCTTCAAACTTAAAATAAACTTTTAGGATAACTATGTATATTTTATTACAATTATTTATATCAATATGTTCACTTCATCTGCTTAGCAAGCTCCAGCCTGCTTAACGTCCCCTGCTCGTCCCATCCCACCATCGGCGGGCAGGCCTTTAGTCTCGTTGCCTCCATCCTTTGGAATTCCATCCCACAGTCTCTTCGCCTTGCTCCCTCGAGGCACGTCTCAAGATTCTCCTCTTCAAATGCACCTTTGGTTACCCTCCCTGCCTTCCACCCCTCCTGATCCCGAACACCTGCTCGGGTCCAAATACCTAACTGTTCAGAGCCCTGAGACGTCCTCCTGATGTGAAAGGCGCGATACAAATGTAATTTGTTGTTGTGTATTCTGTCAGTTTGATGACAAACAACTCTTAACATAGATGGGATAACTTGAAAATTCTATCTCTTATAGTCATAATGACTTTGTGGCTATCCTGGATCTGCCAGAGGGAGAACATCAGTACAAGTTCTTTGTAGACGGGCAGTGGGCACATGATGTATCAGAGGTAACCACTGTATTCTCCTTCGTCTTGTTTGTTTTAATATGTCTCTAAATGGTGGGGTCAGCCTAGCTCAGTCGGTTGCACTCTTGCCTCTTACACACACCCCCCCACCATCCTGCTTCCTGCTAACTTGTTCCCGCCATGAATTACCCTCTGGGTAAAGGAATATTTCCTGGTGTTTCCTGAAATTTCCTGAAAAATAAATTCCAAGAATTTCTGGCAAAGTAGAAAAAGTCACATTTTAATTTAGTTCATACTTTTGGAAGAATAGAATGACTTCTATGCTCTTTACTTGTGCTCATCAGTAATAGTAATATGTTAGTAATAAACACGGAATGGGGGTATATGTTTTTCACTGAGGTGGAAGGTTTGAGCATATTGGCCACTTCAGTGATGATAAGCAGTTACTGCTGGGAAATGGGAAGGGGTAGATGAATCTAGGATAAATTTAATTTAAATGAGGTGTCATCTTTTGTTGAATGTCTTTATCTCAGCCAGTGACTACCAGCCAGCTTGGGACAATCAACAATGTCATTCAAGTAAAGAAATCTGACTTTGAAGTGTTTGATGCCCTTAAGTTGGACTCGCTGGAGTGTTCAGATACATCAGGTGAGGGATATGGAGCTGTGGATGGTATGATCTTTTAGCGTGAGAAGTGATGTTTTATTATTAATAATGAAAAGTCACCAAGAGAAATATATATTTGGGTGCAGGTGGGTGAAATTCTATTTAACCTTACTGTGCCCTGAATAAATCATGATATCATTAAGTTCTTGTGCATTTAACAAGCAATGTTTGGGTGCTTTTGATAATTATGATGGGATGGGGAAACAATAATCAAAGTTTTGACACATACAAAAAACTTAGGACAAATTTGATTTATTAAAATACGACATGAAGTTGTCCAGCTTCAGGCATTTCTTAGTTCCTAAGAACTGAGTCATACAGACTGGAAATCAAGACACATCCTGACAATGATAAATAGGAACCTAGCTATTGGTAAGGATGGACACAAATATGTAGGACAGAAAATAGCTAGGAACAGCAGCACAGAAACATGTCCTGCATCTAATTTATATGGATTTTCTCTTCTATTTTGTTCTAATGAACACTCATTAATTGTACTGATAATGTTTTGGGTTTTTAGACTTATCGAGCTCCCCTCCAGGACTGTACCATCAGGAGTTGTATGTGTTGAGACCTGAAGAGCGTTTCAAAGCACCTCCCATTTTACCTCCTCATCTGCTCCAGGTCATCCTCAATAAGGACACACACATTTCAGTAAGTTCATCGACGACAAGATGTCATGCTGACATGACCAGAATCTCAATTCTGCCATTCCTGGATCAATTTTGACTGTATTTAAAAAGACATTCATCAGGTGTTTAAAAAGGGAGAAAATAGGTGGACGTATCTTTATTTTTCCATCAAATCATATATTCTGTGTCAATATAAAATCAAGATACATTCCTAGTCGCATTTGAGTAACTATAGGTGCTTTCATTTTTAATTTGCTCTTTATTTGGTCCAAAATACGAATATTCACAAATTGAATTTCCTGCATTAATTGCAACATGAGTTACAGCTCACAACTGAGATTCAGAAAGAAACTTTGGTGACTTATGAATTGGCTTTGTGTGTTTAAAAAATGGCCAACTTACAGGACATCAGGCTGTAACTGACATCACTTTCTATGGGCTGCGCATGTGTACAGAAAGCTGCTGGCCTCATAATACATAAGCTAATCTATTCGTCTTATTAGGTTTTAGTGCAGTCAAGATGCAAATACAAACCTATTGGTAAGCGTAGGTTAGGTATCCATAACCAATCCTACAAGAATAGGTTAGATTGTGTATTGTCATTTCTTGTACATGTGCAAAGCAAAGGAACATCAGCAATAAACTGATGTGACCTGGAAGGTTTTAGCACAGGACCAGGCATTGCTACACAGGACATCTGCCTTATAATCAAACTTGTATTATAACAGGGTTCTAATAGGAATTCTACACTGAATTGAACTTGGGGTTCAATTTTAGCTAAACTGGCCTATGAGCTGAAGTACAAGAATTACAAATTTGGTATTCATTATTTGTTATTTTAATGAGTAGTTTGTAGAATTTTGTTGTGGATCAATTGTGTGTCCAATTATGGCAGGTGTTTATCTATTGTAAGCAATAAATGTGAAACTACTAAATACGCACTCTTGTTGTCTTTTATCCAGTGTGATCCGGCCTTGTTACCTGAACCCAACCATGTAATGCTAAACCATCTATACGCACTCTCCATAAAGGTTAGTTTTTCATTTGTATCAAATTCTATGCAACTTGCTTTTCAGATAAATTTCCCAAGCTCCAATTTTTATTTGTGAATAAAAATAAACTGCATAGTAAAAATCTCTTCTTGGTTGATTGATGATAGTTAGCTGCAGAATCCTTGTTAGATTCATTGTTTTAACGTGCCTATGCTTTTCTGCCCTAGGATGGTGTGATGGTTCTTAGTGCCACCCATCGTTACAAGAGGAAATATGTCACTACATTACTCTACAAGCCAATCTGATCTATCAACCTCTGTCTATTCAGCATGCTCAAATGATGAATGCTCCAATGGTTGGCAGTTCAGTGATGGAGCTTCACTAGAATTTTAGTAGCTATATTGGTTGCCTTCTACATATCGCTACAAGCACTTTACCAGAACTGAGGTGCACGGCTGACACTGAATGTTATAATACCAGCTAGAACTATGCAGATTGCTCACTGTGTAGGCGCATTTTTTGGAACACTTGAAATGTAAAATCAAGGGATTTTCTCCATAACAGAGCTGTTTTGCAAAGAAATGTTTACATTTGAGAGTTTAAAGGGTTTTTATACAGTTAAACACCTAAATGTAGCTTGCTGAGTGTTTGATATGTAAAATACACTTTACAGGGCGCTCAATTTTTTTTGAAAAAGACACACTGTTTGCAAACTCAATCCTTGTATTGTTTTTGCATGCGGCTTGTTACACGAGGTGTTTTAACGATACAGGCAGTTTTCTTTTAGTTTATTGCTGTGACTCAGCTCACAAGGAACAAAATGTTTCAAGACTACAGAACTGCAGCATTTCAAATAATAGGTATGACCTGTGATCAGTTTTGCAGGCAAATGTGTTGAAAATGCTTTTAATGAGCAAACAGGAAGAGAGCAAAATGTTGCTGGTACATGTTTTAAATGAAAATGAATTGTAGGTTAGCTATTGCTATAAGCCATTGACACAAAGCTTGGGTAGAGGATTTGGCTTATGAATACACCATGTTAAAATATCACTTTTGAATAAGGTTTCAATTCTGCTTCAAATTCTGATAGTCTTTTCAGGTTTGTGAAAGACCATTTGAAGTGTATCATGCCAGTGGAATGTTTGAGGGTCAACAAGTAATTTTCCTAGGGGTTGCCAAGCTGTTCTGGCCAAATTACATTTGTTTCTGCCATTAGTAAACAAAACTTTTGGAAAATAACCACAGAACTAATAAACTAATATTTATCATTCAATTCAATTGAAAGTTCAATTGAAAGCAAAGCAGCCATTTTACCCTATGATAGTGCCATTTAAGTTTTGATGTCTTAATTTATACAGCAAAATGATCCAATAGCCCAAATTCTAAATGAACAAACGTTTAAAAGAGTTCCCATGGTTCAATCCAGCACTGGTTTGGGATTGGGAATTATTACATTCTAGACTTGGGTTACCAACTTGTGAAGATGGAATTGTAGACCAATTGTTTAGCCTGCTAGCAGGTACTAGCAGCAGAAGATTGAGTATAATTGTGCAATATTAAGCTGATTTCTGTATTTGACACTAGCTTGTCACAGTACATCCACAAAACAATTGACATGGACTTGTTACCTTTTTTAAAAAATAGCTGATTTGTGTCAATTTGCGTGTGCTAGTATTTGTTGCATCAAAGTTGTCTTTCAGGGAGCAGAATAACAAATGATTCAAAACTTTCTTAGGGCTATGTGAATGGTTTCAGGAAGCTTGACTGGCACTTCTTTGTAATGGGATGCAAACATTCCCTCCTGATATGTTTCCATTGGAGAATTCATGACATGTTTGCTCCCAAGTGTTTGCATGAATATTTAAGCCTTTATAGTGTCTGGAGTGTTTTAATGTACAAAGAGATGTGTGTACTTAAGATTGTAACACAAATAAATGTCTCAACTGACAAAAAATATGGATCTCAATTCTAGTATTAAAACCTACTTCTGACTTCCTCGCTCTCCTCTCCCCCCACATTATATTTCAAAATTAAAATAGATCTCTCATTTAATTATCATTCTCTCTGACAAAGTAATGGTGGATGGAGTTGAAGTGTATTTTATGCAGGTATAAAAAAATTTAATATTTTGAGTCCAATGATTTAGTATCAATGTATTTTCTACTACTGTTGGCCTCAAGGATGGTTAACTACCTGGTGGTTTGTTGCTCCAGGACCTTTGAATAATTGTGCAATTATTTTCTAATGTAAATCATCATCTATTATTCCCTATGAAACTGCTAACCGTGGAATATTTGAGTCCCTCTAGAGGTTATTTGGTTTACTGGAAACCAATACCTCATCGACTGGCTCAAAAACATTATTCGATTTCCCTCCCTAAACTGTAGCACCCCCCAGTGTCCGTACACCAACTAACAGTTCCAACCTGAGATTGCATTGTATTGATTCAACTATGGAAAACCTTGTTGAGCCATCAGGGAGCTGTAGCTGCTTCGTGGAAAGAAATTACAGGACTAATGCTAGTACTTAATGCTATCCTGTTCTGAACAGCTACAGCAGAAATCAAACACACAGTGAACGATTACCATCTTTATTTTTGTGGACCAAGGAAAGAGAAAAACATTTTGTGTGACATACTTAATCCACAACATTTGTTTTAACAGAATGACTTTCCTAAAATACAGGGAACACAACAAAATTGTGCCACATAAGACTGCACTCTGAGCACATTACCCTGTCCATCGTACAAACAAAGATATACTCACACACACTGGAAAATATGTACAGCCTGGAGAATAAACACTAAGTATTGATCAGTATGTACACTTTATACAGTATACAGCACTCCCATAGGGATACTTATTGCTTCATATTGCTTTCAATAATCTGGAACCTGAATTTCTTTAAACGTTAATTTTAAAGTGGCCTACAGATCACTGAAACAAGTTTCAACACAGGCACCCTGCAGCTTATGCCAAATAGCAGTGACTACTGATCATTTCATCAAACCAAAAATGAGAATTGCCTACCCCCCAATTCCATTTCTTATATTAAGAGTTCCTGGGAATATCCTCCTATTTATTTGATCCCTGGCTTCCTTTTTTTTCATTGCACATAACCATGCTCAGCAAAAATTAAATAAAAGTCAAAAGCTTTGGCACCACAAATAACATCTGATTACTGTATAGGGTTTGTATTTCTTCCCAGAGTCATAATTCTCTAGGTTTTTCTGTGTGCTCATTTCAGAGTCTATGACCGAATACATTATTTTCAATTATGTTTGAGATTTTTTTCCTGTTTAAATTAAACAATTATAACCAGATTCTGACCATATTTACAGTAATTAGAAAATGGGGCACATTAAATTCCACAATGTATATCCTGAATGGTATATATATTAAAGGACTCTTGTGTCCTTTTATATGTATACAAATATACAGTACAGATGCACAGCAGTAAATGTACCTGTTTGTGCATTGGCTACATACAATGAATTGCAGTGTTTTATAGCCCGGTACAAATATATATACACATGCACACACAAATAAAGTTACTGCCTTGTACAGCTGAGACAAAAACAAAGGCAGTGCTAAAGTTTGCTGCTTTCAACAGCCTACAATAGATAAAAGACAGTCACCCAACCTCTGCCTTAACGGTACTATACCATTGCCCAGCATCAGTGAAAGAGAACGGTCCATATATTATGCTTGATATTTCCAGTGAAGTTCTTAAATATGTCAAATACATCACATCTTACTTCCAGCGTGTGATGAAGCTAATGCTGCGGAAACAGACTTATTGCACGTACCCTTTTTTTGACTGTTTGGTGATTATTTTCTTTACTTCTCAGTAGTTTATATTCTTGGGACATATTCTTCCAGTTACTTCCAGGACACAATGTCTATATTAAAATTATACATTGGACATCAGTACTAACAGGAAATCCGATAAAATCTTATTAGGCTCATTTATTTTCTAGTCCTGCCACAAGTCTTTTGTTCACACAAAACACATGCTTCTCATCGATATTAATGGGTTCTCGTTGGGTCTGGTAATAGCCAAAATACAACTTATTTAAACTTTATCACACTGCATCTTAAAAGAGACTGCAAAGTTCAGGACGCTTGTTAAGAGTCCTAGACACTTGGACAGAGATTTAATACGGAGGCTGATAAAATGCACTTAGCGGCATGCAGAATATGAAGATTTCAGAATGTTTAGCAATGGGTCTCCACTACAAATGCCAGACCCTCATTCCTATTTGTATGCAGAACACACAAGATTCAATCATTCTTTTTTTTAATAGGATCATCAGAAGTCACTATCTTATGTTCAGAGCGTGCAGAACAGTATTCTTTCTGCAACAAACAAAGGAGGGTGCTATCTACGTTTGCTTTTAAAGGCAATTCTGCTAATGTATTCTTGTAAGGATAGGATTTCAAATATCTTTCCATAGAGTTTTGTTTTGGAAGAAAGAGAGACTTTAGTAGGTCGCTATGTTTCCTACTTGAAACGGTTTTGGGCTATATCTTTGATCCTTCCCAGACAGTGAATTTTGACCCAAACTCCTCGCTGCAACTTCCGGGTACTTGGGAATCACGAAGCCCCAGGCTCCAGGACTGCAACCGAATGGGATTTCTGCTGAAAACCGGGAAGAAGTTAGAAATTAGTATGGAAAGAAAATTAAGACAGAGCAACTTGTGAATACGATTTGCATGTAATGGTCGTGAAACAAAGTTTTCCGGCAGCCACAAGTTTCTAACGTTGGCTTAATGAGCAGGCTCTCTAAATTTTACTAGCAGCATTCCCTTACAAAATACAGGCAATGCGCAGGGTTTATTCATTTCAAACCCAACTTTGCAAACCAGAACGTTTCCATCCAAGCCATGATCAAGAGGCAACTCCATTCCAAATTCAACTTGAAAGAGCTTTAATACACAAACAATAAATATTACCCAACAATTCTCACTTGGCGTCATTGTGTCTCGAAGCATCTAATTTTTCCTTGCTGGTGGCTTGTTACCATGTCTCTTGCTCCTTCACTTTGTGCAGGAAAACCAACACTTGCTTCATATTAAGGAATTGGGGATATAACACTCTATTTTCAACATTCAACAGTAATTCTTGTAACTGCTAGGGCTTATTCTTTTACTGTTTTATATCCAATACATTATTCCTTAATGTGGAGATACCTCCCTGGCTTTCTCTGTGCGTTGCTACATTCAGGAATAGGCAAGGTGATGAGATAATCCTTAGAGTTTGCCCTCAACAATGTATTGCCGGAAAATCAGGTGACAATACTATAATATAATACAAAGTGCATGGGGAAAAGGGAGAAGGGAAAGAGGATAATAAAATGTTTTAAAAAATCTATGTAACAAATAACAGGATCTCATAAGTGTAACTTAATATTTTCAGTTCCAGTGATATTTAGAATCATTTTGAGCCACGCTTTTATCAATTGGTTCAAATATTGGTTTCTAATCACACAGAGTTGGTGTTGTTTAATTACAAAGTAGGATTTGAAATATTAATCTCTTTAAAAACATGTTTAAGAGAAATACCACACCGAGCATACAAATTGAGTTCTTTGTCACTATTTGCACATTTGCCTATAAATAAACAGCTTCGATATATGAAGCATCGACAGATATAAATGAGAATAAACTCTCTGCCTGTTCTTTGGGTAAATATAAAGATGCAATAATCTTATTCTAAAAGAGAAGCAAGCTTTTGCATGTATCCAATCTGACAATCTTCCAGATTAACGGGCCTTTCACCTCATGTGTGGGATCTTATTCATGCAAATTGCTGCAGCATTTGCCTATTAAAAAAATCTACTAAACTTGGCAGTAATTACTAATGAAGTGTTTTGAGAGATTTTGAAGTGACAAGGCACTATGAACATACAAGTGGAGTTCTTCATCACACCATTAAGGTGTGAATTTTGGGCAGATTAACATGAGCAATGTTGTCTGATTCAGACGATGGCAGGCAGCAGTGGTGTCTCATGCAGTGGCTATGTCACACAGTGTTAGTGGTCAGTGCAGAGACACAAGCAGAAGGAGGGCTGCCCTTCAATGACACATGCTGAGACCCGGGCACCATTTACCAACCTTTGCTGGGGCTCGGGCAGATATTTACACCAGCGGTGCTACAATCGTTCATCTGCACAGACTCATAAAAGACAGAGGGTAGACAGGAAAGGGAGTCAGAAAGTAGAAATAACAGTGATGATATGAAAGAATGTAACTGGGGATTCAAACCAGCCCACAATCAGGACTCCATTGAATCAATGGTTTCTCTCAAGTGAAATAGTGATTATTAGCCTCATATTGCACTCCACATGGATCTAACAGCAAGATTAACTTCTACCCCTTCCTCTTGCTTGGGGAAAGGTGGCTCATTTTCTCAGCCCTTCTGTACAATGGCAAGAGGCGATACTGAAAACTAACCATACAGTAAAACAGCATTATTTTGAAAGCAATACTGAAATTACAAAGTTCGCTTATATGTCCCAGAGTCCAGGAGCGTAATACTCTCGCCTCACAGGTGGGAGGACCCAGGTTCTTGCCTAAGGTTTTTTTTAAAAAATTGCCCTGCCCGGGAATCGAACCCGAGTTCTCTCGTCTGTAAGGTGAGCAAGCTATTATTGAGTTTAAGAATTTTCCACGTTTCCTTGCCATCTTATATTTTAAGACAAAATAGTCTTATAGGCCGTGACTGGGTGGAATTTTGTACCTCTGGAGCATAGTTTCAAGGACGCATCTTTGTAATGGGCTAATGATCGTTCCCATGTACGGAGACAGCTCCCAACTCGCAATCGATTGTGAGAAACTTACCTCCAGATTACTTCTTGCTTTCTTCAGCACATCATGTGTTCTGGTCACTGAAACAAAAACAACAAACGGGTGGAATGACACTGGGCACTTTCAAAGATTCCACCTGAACAGTCAATGACTGACACCATGTACAGGAACCTGCTGCCAAAATCCACAACCAGTGCATGGAATCCACATGAGCAGAGATGTGGAGCAGCACAAATTTGAGATCCCGGGCAGTGCACTGGGACTGGGCATTGACTGAGACCGGGCACTGAGACTGGGCACTGAGACTGGGCACTGCACTAGCTCTTCAACATGTTGTGCCAACAAATGCACTGAGGCATGGATCTCTGAGTTTGGCTTCAATATGCATCCCTCCTCCTCATCCAATGATACTAAAAGGTGCTCCCACACCAGCTGGCTCCAGAAGCCCGAGAGCAGATCCTCTCAGGACAGGGACATAGCAAGCAGACAGCAAGGGGGAGTAAAACCTCCATCTATCAGACACCCGTTTCTGGATTCGCTCTCTCTATATATACACAATACACTGCTGCCACGTACACTGGTTGACAATGAACTGCTCCATTCCATCCTTCACTTGGTTGGTGGCCTTCAGACGACTGATGGCGTTGTGAAGCAGGTCCTCCTGCTCCGCTATCTTACTTCTCAGCCTGAAGATTTCCTCTTTCATCGACTGCTCCTGTGATAATTACAGAAACGTGTCAGACAGGGTAATGGAGGGAAAACCATGATCCACATAGAAGATAATTAACAACTGTAACCAGGAACAGTAGTTGAGGCTAGAATTCATTCAAGAAACAGCTTGATGCCGTAATGGTGGGTATCCTGTAAGGATGAGATCTTGTGATCATACTCTAATTTGGGGTCTCAGTACAGTAACAATAATAACAAAAATAATCCTTGTATTTGATATAGCGCTTTATCACATTATCGAGAAGTCTCAAAACGCTTCACAGAATATACTGTAAAGTGGATTGACTGTATATTTTGTAAGCGAAACATGGCAGCCAATTGCACACGATGATGTCCCATGAACAAGTGAGCACTGGGTCAATGGAGTGGAGCCACTGTCACCAGCTAATCCATGGAGTACAGCTACCTCTGCTGCTGGGACCACAGGTTTCATATGTGTCAATACAACTACCCAGGGTTTAATAATGCACATTGTACAAAGGACTTTCTCTCCATCACCTTCCATCACGCACAGAAGTATCAGCCAGTGAGCTCAAGGTCCCAATGTTAGGTTTGAACTCACAACCTTCTGACCCAGAGGCGAGTGTTACAAACTGAGCCAGGCTGGGAGAAAACGATAAACTGAGATAAAAGCCAGTCAGTCACATGCAGTATAGCATAATAATAATCCTTATCATATCATTGGAATGTCTCTTTTTTAAGGGATTAATACCCCCAGATTGCAATCTGCCAATCAACTAACAATTGGGTACCTACTTATCGCTAAGGAAAGTTGGCTAACGTTTCGCCCTGCTGGGGGATCGAACCCAGGTCCTCTCGCTTGCAAGACGAGTGCTCTAATCAATATGCTACAGGACTCCTGTGTCATATTGTAACATAAGTGACTGTGCAATGCAATACAACGTTTCGCCCTGCTGGGGGATCGAACCCAGGTCCTCTCGCTTGCAAGACGAGTGCTCTAATCAATATGCTACAGGACTCCTGTGCCATATTGTAACATAAGTGACTGTGCAATGCAATACTTGTATTCAGTTGTCCCTGAGCATTGAGATTGGAACACTGAGGTCTTCCTTCCCACAAACCTTTTTGCTGCTCTGAGCTGCCACGTTTGGATTTGGCAGCGCTGCCCTCCAGAACATCTTTAGCAGTGAGCAGGCCTCGTCCAGAATCTGCCGCAGGCTGTTAGTGCTGGAGAAGAGCTGCTTCACAGTCTGATGATCCAAATTCTATCAGGGTAAAACAAGACATTCGTTCAATTTTATCCTGAAACATATTTTATAATATATCTATGGCTGTATAAATAATATTATAGCAATGACCATGCTGGGAAAAACTAACAATAACTTGGGGAGTGATAGTCTCATGGGTAAGGTGTCCTCCTGCAATTAGAGCTGCCACTGTACAATATCCTGCTGCTATTACCTTTGACCCATTGATTTCCAGAAAGGCAGCATTGACACAGGATTGCACAATGGACTCCATGCTCTGAACCAACATTCTTCCCTCCAGAATCTGCTGCTGGAGCGCATTGTAGTCATCAACGTGTCCAATCATGTGACGTCCGTTCTTCTTGGCAAAGGAGCCATCTGGGGGCACTTCGTCCATCGCAGGCGGGCAGCTCTGGTTCTTCACATCACTGAGATAACCATCTAAATCCAGAGAAAACACAAAGATCAGCTCAAAAGCTCAATGTGGTAGCCAGTGTTTCCCTTTCCATCTGTCCCACAATGGAGAAAGGTTATATTTTGGTAAGATCATGAAGCTCTCCATCCATCCATCCCTCCCTCCCTGTGCATCAGCACCTGGCCTTCACTCACAACCATTTTACAGTCAATTCGCTTTACAGTATATTCTGTGAAACGCTTTGAAGCATCTCAATAACGTGATAAGGCACTGTATTAAATGCAAGTATTATTTTTTTTTGATCAATACTGCCCCTACTGGGGTTGCTGCAAAGATAGATGGACTTGTACAAAGAATCACCAGGAAATGTAATTAAGGCTCTGAGGGTTCAAACTCACCATTGTGCTTCTGATACGTTCCTTCCTCAGTACTGAAGTCGGTCACAGAGGAGGAGGACCTGGAGTGCAACTTGAATGGGGATAACATCCCAATATCTCGGACAGGCGGTGAAGGCACGCAGTCTGCAAAACAATTTAAAAATGGGACGTAAAATCTGAATTCTAGATCAGACACTTGACACAGGAGGTAAATTACAAGAAAGGCGCGAAAAGGAAAGTTTTTTTTGACCCAGAACTGAAGGACAGACAGATTAGAGGGAGCACAGCGATTTGAGGGGTCAGTAATGCTTGAGGGGAATGGGTGTTAAGGAGCTCGAGGATTGGGGGAGTTAAGGGAACAGGGAGTTTAAAATCAACAGCCAGATTCGAAGAAACATACAGAGATGAACGGGCAGGGGATAGGCAATAGGCTCACTTTTGCAGTACTCAAAACTAAACCTGACAAAACCTTGGGAGTCTGATTGGGTCTGCTGGATGGAGTGGGATTCCTGAATATTTTATACCCGGTTTGAGTACTGGACGGGGCGAAACCATAGGCAAGTTTCCTTAGTCCACACGCCTTAGTTTACCTCGCAATAATAGGAAACCAAATTGTTAGTTGACTGGCGGATTGCTTTCTGCGGGTAATGATCCTCCAGCAAAAATGTGGTTGTTCAATCCATGACTGTTTGTGGGACACTGCTGTGTACAATTGGCTGCTGCATTTCACCCAGAAAATATACACTTAATCCATTTTACAATACATTCTGTGAAGAGCTTTATATCAAATACAAGTATAAACACAGAAGTCGTTGGGAACACGCAGCAGGTCAGGCGGCATCCATGGAGAGAGGAAAATGAGTCTAACATTTCAGGTCTGTGACCTTTCGTCAGAACTGAACATATCAAAGGCAAGGATTATTATGAAATATTCTGAATCCCTCCACTTAATCCACCAAGTTTTTTCATGGCCTCACCTTGGAAGGCCTGTTTTCTCCTGCCGTCTTCCCTTTGAGACGAGATCAAATGACTGATATTGATGCTGCACTGACGCTGTTCATCCAGTTGCTGCTCCAGCTGTTTCCGCAAGGAACTGTTGGCATGGATACTCTGCTCCAGCTGAATACGAAGGCTTCGGATTCCTACCAGGAACTCACTGATATCAAAAGCGCAGGGATTGCCAAACTGATTCTGAACATCTTCAGGACAAAAAAAATAGTTGTTTATGTCAAAGGCAATATCTGTGCCCCAACTCGATCAGCATTTATTTCTACATGTTTGGCACTCTCAGTACTCGGCAGCTAAACCCACACGATCCACCGTGGCTGATGTTAATCTTGTTGCAGGATTAATGGATGGGATACGTGCTCTGGGCAGGATAACCAACCACGTTGAGCTTCCCATTTCCGTAAATTCAGAGCTTCCCGCCAGTAAGCGTTAGGGATGAGACCAGATTTGGTTTATGATCTACACAGAAACAGGAGTAGGCCATTCAGCCTCTCTAGCCTGTTACTCGATTCTTTGAGATCATGGCTAATCTATACCTTAAGTCCAATTACCCACCCTTACCCTGTATCCCTTAATACCCTGACCTAACAAATAGCTATCCACCTTAGTCATGAAGATGTGAATGGATCCAACATCCACAGCCTTTTGGAGTCTGAATCCGAATGAATCAGAAAACCAAACAACTTTCCCCTCTTAAAAACCCACCAAAGAATGTCAGTAACTAGAATAGTTATGTATGGGATGCACATACATGCTTGCACACACACATGCCTTACTCATACATATTGACCCCTCCTTCTCTTTTAGATCACAGCTGAGGACCTTCCTCTTCGACCGTGCTTACAGTGACCTCCTCCCTCCCCTCAGCTCTGCATCAGGCTCCGCTACTGTTAAGCGCTCCGAGACGCTGCCCCGGGTGAAGGGCATTATATAAATGCAAGTTGTTGTTACCTGTGAATGATTTCCTCTTGCCCTGGCCATACAGGCTCTCATACAACTGAACCTCCGACTGGAGTGAATGGATGAGCTGGCAGTTTTCGTTCAGCTGCTGGTGTAGCATGTTGACTTCCTGCAGGAGTCTGGGGAGGGAGGTTTAAGTGAACATGTCACGACAGGGGAAACGTAGAGCAGCCAGTGTCTGCCACAAAAAACCTATCACTGTCAAATAAAGGGGAGCCATTTGAACAAAACTCAAAAGTAATACATTTGTACCCAATGCCCACCCAGAAACCCTGTTCTAACCCAACTCCACCACTTAATCTCTGGAAATAGCAGCATTGAAACCTAGTTGACGTTTAAAAGCAGATCAGGTGTTGGTGAATAGTATCAATGAGCATCTTAAAAGGAGCTGCATAAAGTGAATCCAGCTCCTTGCAATACTGATGGGGGCTCCTTTGTACTGTATGCATTGGATCTAGAAATCCCAGTGGCTTACTGTACACATCTGATAGACCACAGTCTGTAGACAGGCACCTGTTGTTGTGGCTTTGGGTGCAGCGCTGCTCCTCTCTCAGCTGCACGAGGTCCTGCTGCCGGTCCCTGACCTCAGCCTGGAGTCTTTTATTCTCTTCACTCCACTGTTCCATTTCCGCTTCTGTCAGTTTCAACCTGGCCCTGGTCGTGAGCAGCACCTCCTTCAGCTGTTCCAGCTCCTTCTTGTGCTCTGCGAAGCCAACGGACAAATGTATTTTATGAACCACTGAGAACTTGCATTTTTATAGTTTAATGCTGATGTCAAAAGGTCAAGGAGCACTCATACTTAAATTACTATTGTGTGCAATGATTATTTTTGTAGGAAATCACTGTGCCCCTTCCCTCCACAGGTTGCAGATCATCCAGAACTCTGCAGCTCATGTCCTCTCCCACACCAAGCTCCGTGACCCCATCACTCCCACCGCCTGGTTCCACTGGCTCCCCATCCCTCAGAGGGTAGAATTCAAAATTCTCATCTCACATTCAAGGCCCTCCACGACCTTGCCCCCTCCTACATATCTGACCTGCTAACCCCCTATCAAGCTGTCCTTCAAGGCACGACTCAAGACCCAAACTGAGAATTCCATGCATCCCACCTACGCATGGAGATGCCAGAGACAGATTGTTGGAATGGAATGCACACCCTCTCCCCGGAGGGACGCATCTTGTTTACCTAATTCTGGAAAGTATTAGGTGCACTTTGGCAGTAGTCAAGGCTTGGGGACCCCAGAGTGTGAGAATGTTCCACATTTGTGAGCAAACATGGCAGCTACCAACAGTCATGAAATGAATGAGGGGCACCAGGAAAAACTCCCTTCGTTTTCCCAACAGTGTCATGGGATATTTTATGTCAACAGGTCCTGGACCGTCAGCCTGGAATGAGACCTCAAGCCATGACATGGGCCTTGAACCCACAACCTTCTGACCCTGAAGCGAGTGCTATCACCCAAACCAAGTTGACACCTGAGACATCTGGTTATCGTTCTATCATCTGGTCATTTCTGGGTGTCCCACTTCTGTTGTGCATGACATAAAGAAGAGCTGCAGTTGTGTCGTGTGGTACCTCTGGGGATGAGAGCCAGTCGGGCCTCGATTGTCAGGTTCTCATCCCTCAGCTTCCGGTTCTCCTCCGTCAGCTGGGTCATCGTCTCCAGCCCTTGGATGTAGATACTGGTTGGGGCACCAGCTGGAAGAAAAGGGACAGTGACCACTTCAGAGACCAGGGATATTAAAATATTCCTTGTGCCTATAACTTCAAAACATCCCGAGGTACTTCACAGTGGCAAGTACGATGGCTGTGTATTTGGAGGCAAATGCAGCTGTCATTTGCATATTGCAAAGTCCAACAAACAGTCATGAAATGCACGACCATTTGTCTGGGCGATCGTCAACCATGACACCAGGACAAATGTCCTTCTCTCTACTGATAGTGTCATGGCATCTTTAATGTCCACCTGAACAGGCAGATGGGACCTCAGTTTAACATCTGAAATGTTTAAAATACAGTCATTGAATTTTACAGTAAATCCTCTGAATCCTGCTTCACCGAATATATTGTAAAGTGAATTCACTGTGTATTTTGTGGGCAAAACCATAGACAAGTTAGGGCTCTTCAGTCTTGAAAGGAGACATCTGAGAGGACCTTATAGAGGTGTGCATGATTTTAAATAATATAATATGAAATAGTTTAATTTAAATATAATAAATAAAAGAATTTAAAATAGTGAAATCTAGACCCGGATGGATTTTCTATCCCCAAAATGTCCATCAGTATTTCTAAGCCTGGTTGTCAGACCAGAAACAGATGTCTGTGGGGGAGAGTGAGTTCATTACCGCTCTCTTTGGCTGCCGCAGCCAAACGGACTTCCAGCTGCTGTCTCAGACGATCGTTGGTGCAGATGGATTCCTCCAAACGCTGACGTAAGCTCCGGATCTCCCGAAGGTGTTCCTCCAGCAAATCTGTACCTAAAGTCAACAGTAATCAGAGAGTTAGCTGCTGTAAGAGCGAAGGGTGACTGCAAAACACTGTAACGCTGTTTTACTTAAGAACTCAACACCAGCAGGTCAAAGCCCTCAATGTATTTTTAAAGGTTACATGAGTCTTAATAATTCAATTCATTCCTGCAGCTAGAATTGTCAACACCTGAGTGGAGCCCAGGCCTGGAACCCCAGGGCCAAGGCGACTCTTGACTTGTATCTCACCCTGACCAAGAGAGTCGCCCTTCATCTAGCCCTTGACAATCATTTTACAGCAGGGAGCTCTGTACCCGGACTAACTGGGACCAGCCTGCATTGCAGATAAATAATAATAATCTGAACGCAAAACATTGCAGATGCTTGAAATCTGAAAAGACAGGGGATGATGGGTTAAGGAGGTGTTAGTGATGCAAAACATCTGTGTGTGTGGGGGGTGGGGGGTTGCAACAAAGTAGGGGAGTAGAGGTGTTAATACTGCAGAACAAAGGGAGAGAAAGATTTCAACAAAATAGGCGGACCAGAGCGAGAAAAGGTGTGTCTGGGACCAAGATGATGTGGCAATGGTCACAGAGGAGGGGGAAGGAGAAGGTGAGCTGTAGCTCAGTGGGTAGAGCACTCGCCTTGCAACAGAGAGACCTGGGTTCAATTCCAGGCGTAGCAAGACTCTTGGGCAAGTTTCCTTACTCCACACACCTAATAATAATCCCTCCAAAACAAAACAATAATAAATTGGTCATTTTCAATCCACGACTGTTTGTGGCTGCCGCGTTTCGCCCACAAGTATACAGTCAATGCACTTTACAGTCTATTCTGTGAAGCGCTTTGAGACGTCAAGAAGACATGAAAAGCGCTATATCAAATGTAAGGATTATTATTATGGTCTGAATTTGTTGAAATCAATATTGAGAAATCAATATTGACCATCACAGAGCCAGTCCTATTTTCTAATATTTCTCCTGCTGCTTTTACTTGGGAGTTTATTTCACACACCCAATACTCTACGGGTAAACCTGCTCCAATCTCTTTTCTTGACAGTGGTTGAAGTCTGTACTGATTTCCACCAGATCTCTGTCTTTGTTTAGTCACTTACACTGCTTGTTTTTCCATTGCCCATCCCTCTTGTTGCTTTAAAGAGCTGAATGAAAGAATGAATGAAAATCTCTCTCCTATGAAGAGCAAACAAAAGAAAGAGCAACTCCTCATAATATGGAATTTGAAGTCGTCCTCTCTACTCTGCTTTCGAGCTTTCATACGAACATATGAATTGTTAGACGAAAAAAGATCAAGGTCCATCTAGTCCACTTCTACCATTCAGGTATCACATACTACAATAATGGACATGTTGATAGTAATTCATTTTGTATGGATTAGTCTACCATCAAAGTTGCCTAATTCTTCCAAACATACTACACTTGCCAAAGCATCAATGCCCCCTGTGGAATTGTCAGAACCACATGCAACAAGAAGGGGCAACATATACTGGTTTGATAGTTTTGACTGGTCACATCTTGAGTTAAGCCAATATTCCCCAAACTTCAAGCACATATACACATTTCAATTATTATTTTGTTTCAACCCAGCGATCAAAAACAGCACTTTTCCTCCCTCGTCTCTAACCCAGAGACCAAATGTAGTGCTCTAACTGCTGTCCTAGTTGAGATCAGCTGAACATAGCATGGCCTGAGATTCAAACCTTCGAGCTGATGTGCAAAGCCTCTAGTGCTTCATTGAAGCAAGTTCAGGGCTGTAAAGGTCCATGTCAAGGCAGCAACCAGGAAGTATTTCTTTATCCAGAGGTAAATAATGACCAAAATAGGGTTATCAGGTTGAGTGAGGTCATGACAATCGACGATCATGACATTTATCAAGCAGCTCGATGCTGTAATGAATGAATGAAAGGCGTTTTCTAGAAGGATGAGATTAAATAGGCTGAAGGGCTCAGTCTTCACCTGAACCTCTCTTGTGATCTTGTGAAGTGTAAACTCAATTGGACCGGCAAAACAAAAAATACCTATTATTCCTGCTCATGTACCTGTCAGGTTGCTTCCTGACTGGTACCCAGACGAACCAGAGGAAATGTCTCCCAACATGGTGGGTCGGCGAGCCGTTTCCCACATAGCACTGCTGTCCAAGTAACTGTTGGCCGCTCTCAGGATGTCCTTCAGCTCCCCGCTGCCGGCCAGCTCCTGGCGAGGGGCGCTGTGGCACTGCGAGACATAGCCGGCTGCGTCTAACTGCAGGGACGAGCTGGTGCTTGCACCGGAAAAGCTCAGGTCCGTGGGCACAGCCTTCACCGAGTGCTCGGAGAGTCCAACCCCTGAAAAGGAGGAAGAAGCAGAGAGGAACAAAGAGAAACAGCGGATATTCAGTTTTTAGGTGCCGCTAGGAGGACAAGGTGAACATTCACCGGTTAGTACTGAACGTTAGAAAAGTGAGGTCAATATTACAGCATCAAAAAACCCATCCTGCTTATATCTCCATTCGCTGGGTCAGCTGTTTCCTAATAAAACATGTATTTTGTGCCAATTTTCTTCCCTTTTCCCATTATTTACTGCTTCCCGATCTAGGGTTGCTAGCTGCTCTCTGATACATCTCGCAAGAGTCCATTCTTCATTTGTGATTGGCAATAGCAGAGGCTGCACTAACAGATGTACCACAAAGATGTATGTCTTTGTGCTTACAGTGTTTTGCCCACTAACCTGAACTTCTAACAGCTAAAGCAGACAATGAGCATTATTTTTCCAGCAGTCAGGAATGTTAGGTTTACCACGTGGGTGATATTAAAGCAAAAATGCGATGGACAACAGAGCATGGACACTAACACAATGGTTAGTACAGCTTCTGGTCAGCAGACCATTCAATTCAACAGGTTACCATATCCTGTTCTCACCCTGTGCCCTAACATGAGCATGTTTCCCCTGAATTGCACAGTGCAGGTTACCAAGATCAGACGGTCACAGATTCAATTCCCTGGATGGTAGATTGAGCTGACCTCAGCTGGTTCTATAATTTGCCCTCAGTGGCCCTGTACAACAGCAATGATGGCGTTTTATCTCTTCAAGCAAAAATGTTGGGTGTCACCATTGGTGGCGGTAACAGCTTAGTCCACTCCCGAGCCATTACACAAACCGCTCATTGCCTCTTCCTGCTCCAAGGAACTGCAACGGAGTCTAGCAAAGAACTTTCTGCCGAGAAGAGGCCTCCATCGTTCAATGTGATTCACACAGTGAAAGCTTCCATGCTTCATGCAGCACAATACCCAAGCAGTGCAGAGTCAACCATGGCCCGAAGGAGCAGACCCTTAGGCTTTTACTGACCTAAGTACACAGTCGGTAAGCTGGAAGTTTGCATTAAAGGTAGTTGAGATGTCTCAAAGGCAGTGAAAGCAAACATCACATACAGGCAGCCTTGTGCTAACTGCTTAAGCTTCATGCCATGCTGAGCCAGAAAGATTTAAGGTGCACCCGGAAAATTGGAAGCCAAGATTATAAGAATCCCATCCTGTGATATAATCAATATTGTATCACAGAGCATTTCCTAGTCAATGTCTGGACATGGGTCTGTCTATCCTCTTCCCCTCTTTACTCAAAACGGTTGGCCTTGAATCCTCACACAGCCAGCACTGGAGTTGCCAGTTAACCTGTTTTTCAATTGAGTTTAGCCAGCGCCCTGGGAATCAACACTGAAACTCTGCGGAGACCAAATCCAAGGGTGATTACAAGCTTTGGGACCAGCTATTATGGAGACATGGGTGTGAGGGTGGAGTTGGGTGCTCACACACATGGTCAGACATGATCGGGTAGAATTTTCTATCATATGTTTACAAACACCAGTTATAGCACACCACACCAAACAGCAAAGCCTGATATTTCTGAAATAGGATTCCTTAATGAGGAATGAGAATTGCTGGCGGGTGGGGGGGAGTTACGAAGGAGTAGTTCCAGCGGGTAAATGGCAATTTTAGCCAAGAAATACCGCAAAAAGACCCAAATGTAAAGACAGATGTGAGGCACAATCCTGAAGATGAAAAATTATGAATCTGGACAGTGATTTAATCGACTGTTATGTATTATTGTTAGACAGTGCTGTAGGCTGATGCCAATTGCGCTACAGTTTACACCTTCTCTCTTCAAACTGATTCATTATAATAATAACTTAAATTTCTGTGAATTTATTTCATGTAAAATAAAGATCTGGATGTGCTTTACAAAATAAAATTGATTAGAAATGAAAGTGAACATTGTTCTATAGGCAAACAGGTTCGCTAATCTATGCCAGAATGTCTATCAATAACAATGAGATGAGCAGCTAATTCAATTGAATTTGGGAGTAAAATTATGAGATGGAAATATTATTATTAAATAATAATTATTATTATTATATATTAGGAAAATCAAGAGACTTCACATTTCTTTGAAATGGCAATGACAGGGCATTTAGATCCTTAACTTCCACCTGAAGCACAAGGCAGATGGGAATATAAACTAACAATACAATCAGCAAACAGGAGATGGATCTAGGAAATGTCACATTGTCTGAAATCCCTTTTCAATGTGCCTGCCCCTGCATTCCCTCCACCACACACTGATATCCGTTCCAGTCATTGAAACGTCATTCGTAACAGAATATATTTGAGAGCTGTCTGCGTACGTACAGTGGGTGTTATTTGAATGGACAATTAAAGCAGAGAAATATGAATTAATGTCCCGATACAGTCTCCACCACCACCACCGCACCATTTTGTGTCATGCTGTCTCCACACATGCTCAGTAATGCAGCCCAACTCCGGGTAGGATAGCCGGGAAAAACTCTCACTTGTTCCCAATTGTCTTTGCAACATGTGAAGTTCTTGCTGGACCTCAGCCAGGGAGAATCTCGGTGCTCCAGCGTAAGCAGGATCAAAGAGTGGAGGCTGGGAGTCAATGGGCAGGCCTCTGACTTGACCATACCAGTTAGCACAATACGAGGCCTGAAAGGCATCAAGGCCTGGTAGCGCACTGCTGGAGAAGAGGCCTAGAGACGGACAGGAGGAAACCAAAGTAGAAGCGACATAAAGAATTGCACAAATAATAATAGCATAACTTCAAAATAAAAACACAGTAAATGCTGGAACATTTTCGGAAGCAAATAGGATTTAAAAAAAACTTTTGCAGACTCATGGCTTGGTTTGATCATGGCTTGATGGTTTGGAACCTGTGAGCCCAGCTGTGGACCTGTTTTACAGCTGATGGACAGAAATGATCTGGCTTTTGAAGCACTGAGGAGGAGAAAGCTTGGGACATCCACAGACTATTGATCAGTGTTCAATGTCAATAGATGTTCAATGCGTGTGCTCATTGCTCTTCCCTCCGTTTTCATCCCAGTCCCTTCACCTCGATCCCTCCCTCTTGGGGCCACTCACGTGTGAGACGAGTGCATTAACCACTATGCAACGAGACTAAAGTTTCATCTAGCTTGAAAACAACAACGGGCTTTGTTCTCCTGTGACCTCTGGCTTAGGACAGTTAGATTCACATGTCCGAATTCACGTGACACCTCATCTCCGACCATCACAAGATCAAACAAATGTGGAAGACCAGAATACATCCCATCTGTCTATCCGGCTGATCCTACTTTCAAGCAGGAACAGAAGAAGGCATTCATGCATCGAGGTTCTTCCTCTATTTTCTTATGGTTTGTCTGATCTTTTAAACCCATTTAACTGCATTTTCTTCTTGTGTTTTTATAGTCTAATTTTCCAAGTATCTAAATAACCTATTTCAGACACTCCTAACCTCCTTTCACTGTAAAATTAATAATAGTATTCCTTGCATTTGATATAGGGCCTTACCACATCGTTGAGATGTCTCAAAGCGCTTTACAAAATACACAATAAAGTGTAGCTGTGTATTTTATGGGCGAAACCCGGCAGCCAATTGCGCGTAACAGTGTCCCAAAGACAGTCATGGATTGAGTGAAGGGAGGAATTAATATTCCCGGAAAGTGATCCGCCAATCGATTAACAACCGGCTTAAAATCTATCCGATTCCCTCTTGAACCTGCCCAAACTATTTCAAACTACATGGGCAGACTGTTCCTTATATATCATCATCTGAACTTTACACTGTTTCAATTCTGGTGTCCCGTCACTAGGTATCCCTAGCACATAAGTGGCACTTTGTGGGCGGAGATGCAGCTTTGGGACAATATTGTAATGAAGAGGAATGGGGAGCATCAGAGACCAAAGAAATGTGACACCTTCAGCTCCTCAGTCACTACATATATATATATATGCGAAGAAATAAAACAGCTAAAATCTCCTGATTATTCATTAGTCTGTGTACTCACACCAACTGTACCTTTTTGTGCTGGAGCTGTATCTGTGGCAGGTTGCTGTGAAGATGGCATGCTGGGTTTGCTGTTTGGATGGGCGCCACATGGTGAAGTATTGACAGATGGGAAAGGTGAATGTTGGGATGGATTTTCACTATGACTTTGATTATCTGGGAAGAGCAAAGCTTTGCTGTAGTGAGAGGTCTCAAATGACACAGGTGTGCACGCACACTCAAGAAAATATGCATACCATGCACACGATATACATGAACACTGACGCATGCACAGAAACACACACAAAAGTTACACTTTACAAGGTCATCTCAAGATCACAAGCTCAGTTCAGATGAAGAAGCCCACTTGATATCAGTCTTCTGGAATATCCACTCTCCCATTCTCAGGATGGGGTTGGGAGTCTAGATTAGGATGGAGTTCAAGGCTGGATCAGTATGGGGTTGGAGTCTGGAATTGGGCTGGGAGACAGGATTAAAGTCCCTTCAACTTGCTCCTTGCCTCACCCTCCCTTCAAGATTTGATTCAAGATCTTCCTTTTTGACCGTATTTTTGGCCATCTTCCCTCCCCTTTCCACACCCCCCGTCCCCCCCCCATCTTCCTCGCCCCCCCACCCCTAGCTGCAAACACTGGACTGTCCAGCTCTCTGAGGTTTCCACTCAACATGAAAGATGCTATATAAATGTAAATGTGTTGTTCTTGAAGGGGATTGGTTCAGAATGGGGTTGGACTCTGGGAGTGGTTGCTTTGTGGCTGAATCCATTTTTGGTCAGTCTGGTGTCTAACACATGTGGAAATCCTTCCATCATGCTTAAGTCCCAGACCAAATTACTGAGTGTTCCATGGAAGTATTCTCACCAGATACAGAACTTGGCTCTGACTCCAAGAGGGTCCTTTTACATGTTCAAAGAACTGAGACAAACCCATTTTTACTTAGGACCTTCATTCAACTGATCCAGGAAGTGCCCATTCCATCACTTCCGAATGGTCTGGATTGATCCAGAGATGAAAAGAGCAGATAAGATAACTCACCGGGCGCCCACTGCTATTAACTGGGTCACTTTTTGTTTTGGTTTCCTGAACAAGGCAGGCCCGAAATTCAACTTAGTGGAAGACCATTTCGTCTTAAAATGTAAGATTGTGCACAATTGTGGAAAATTCTTTAATTGAGTCTTGATTTGGAAGCTGGTTTTCCACTGTTCTTAAAAAGGAACTAGCTTTGTTTTGCAGGGAAAGAAATCCGCCATCCATCCTTACCTGGTCTGGCAGACACGTGAATCCAGTCTGCGCAATGTGGTCGACTCGACATCGTGTAAATTCGCCTAAGAAGCCACTTAGTCAGGGCATCCACCCCAAACCTCAAAATTAATTTTAAAAAATTCTTGCAATTTTACACAAACTCATATTTATAGGGAATCAGGTTTTATATCTGCGAGAACTAGACAGAAGTTTGGGGCCCTGAGATTTTCCAGCAATGATGAATGATGTCAACTTGTACACTGGACCCCACTTTGTAACTTTCTTCTCTCTCTCTCTCTCGGTCAGGCAACCACAACAACATCTGGCATTTATATAGCAACCTCCCATCCCATGCAGGGTAGTGTCCCAAAAGCGCTTGAGAGCGGCGGAGCACGATGCTGAGCCGGGGGGAGGAGGAGGTGACCGTAGGAATGGTTGAAGAGGAAGGTCTTCAGGCATGACCTGAAGATTAGGAAGGAGGTAAGTGCGTACCTGTCATAACCTTGGCCTCATGCTCTGCGCTCCGCTGCTCGTCCTGGGAGTAGTCACTGGCCGACTCCAGCTCTTCCCGGTATGCATCCAGTTCATCGTTGGTGGAGACCTGGTCATCTGAGACGAAGGAGGCTCTGTCAGAGGGCTCCGATTCCGAGAGGGTCCGGCTGCTGCAGGGTGTCTCAGAGCGGGTCTGGAGCTTGGCGTGCAGCGACTCGATAGTCTTGTTCTTGTGTTGAAGCTCTTTGCTCAATCTGTGGAGAGAAGAGGCAGAGGGGGAGGGGTGTGTCATTCACAGTGTTGGGCTTCTGTGAGGTCATGGGCTCACGTTAGAGGGTCTTTTAGACACAGGTTTTTAATTGTACAATCGCCTGAGTCGCACATCTGCCCAAGTCCCGTTCAAGAGTTTATATTCTATGCAAGTTTGACATAATTCACAGTTTACATAAGTCATATTAAATGCATGGCCCAATTGATACGACTTAGGTGGGGGTTTCTGTATCACTAAGTGTCGTTCCTAATTCATCCACTCCCCAGAGACCCTGTCTAAGCACAGCAGCTTCCCTAAGACCCAGGATCTCCAGCCTCCTGCTCACTTACATGGATGGCCCAGCACAAACCCATTACAGCATCACTAATGATCCGAACCTCACATCTGAACCTGTGCTGGTTACTAAGAAAACAGACACCCATGGAAACATTCATCATTGCCTCCAATTTTTTTTTGAAAATCAGGTTTATTACAGAACAGAACAGGGTGTCCACATATCATAGACGCTTAAATACATTTGAGCTCTGATCGCCAGTTCCCTCCAGTTCCCTCCACTCTAACCTTCCTTGTTTACAAATCCTCAGAACACGTGCAACTATCGGAAGAATCAGAAGCTTGTTGTTGATTATATAATTTGGTGACTCAATCGACAACTGTTTGTGGGACACTGCTGTGCGCAATTGGCTGTCGCGTTTCAGCCGCAAAATATACAGTCAATCACTGAACAACAACTTGTATTTTTTTGCACTTTACAGTATATTCTGTGAAGCGCTTTGAGACATCTCAACGACGTGATAAGGCGCTATATCAAATGCAAGGAGTATTATTCGTATTATTGATGTTGGTTATATGGCTTGCTGACTCCCCTTCAAATAAAAGAGCGTCTTTAGAAATTCCACCTAAAATCTACCTCTTTGACCATGCCTACTGTGGCCTTCCCTTCCCCTTCTCTCTTGCATGGCACCTGACACCATTTTTGAGAAGTGCTCCAAGTTATTCTACATGAAGGTTTTCCATACAAATGTTGTATTGTAGCTTAACACTCCATGCAGTGCTGGGGATGCCCTACAACGTTGGAGGTGCTGTCCTTCGGATAAAACTTGAAACCAAGGTCCTGTGTGCCTGGTCAGGTGGATGTTAAAGATCCCCTGGCACTACTTGAAAAGCAAGGGTACAGTAGTTACTCCCAATAGTTAATCCCCAAAATAAAATTGATCCACATTTCATAGCTATTTGTGGAACAATGCTGTGTGCAAAATCGGGAGCTGCATCCGCTTACAAAATATACATCACAGTTTACAGTAAATCCTATCCTGTGAACCACTTTGAGATGTCCTCCTGCATGAAAGGCACTGTATCAAAACAAGAATCATAGACTCATAAAATCCTACAGCACAGAGGGAGGTCAGTCAGACCATTGTGTCTTTGCCAGCTCTTTGAAAGAGCTATCAAATTAGTCCCACTCACCCGCTCTTTCTCAATTTTTTCTTTTCAAGGCTATAATAATAATAATCCTTGCATTTGATATAGCACTTTTCACATTTTCTAAATATCTCAAAGCGTTTCACAGGATATACTGTAAAGTGAATTGACTTTATATTTTCTGGGCGAAACACGGCAGCCAATTGCACACAGTAGTGTCCCACAAACAGTTGTGGATCGAGTAACCAAATTATTATTGTTTTTTGAAAGATTATTATCCCTGGAAAAGCAATCTGCCAATCGTTCCTATTTACTCTAGGTAAACAGAGGTATGTGGAGTAAGGAAACTTGCCCAACATTTCGCCCTATATCTAATTATATCCAATCCTTTTTGAAAGTTATTGTTGAATCTGCTTCCACCACCCTTTCAGGCAGTGATTTCCAGATCGTAACAACTCGCTGCGTAAAACATTTTCTCCTTGTCTCCACTCTGGTTATTTTGACAATTATCTTAAATCTGTGTCTTCTGGTTACCGACCTACCCGCCAGTGGAAACAGTTTCTCCTTATTTACTCTGCCAAAATCTCTCATAATTTTGAACACTGTAAAGATTATTATTCATTTTTATGATTATGATCATTATCAAGTAGGTGGTGGATGAGGGATCTGAAAAGCTTGTACAGATCCTAAACGTCTTACTTGTCAAGTTCTTCTTTGGTGCTTGCAGCGAGAGTTTGCTGCTGCTGTGTGAGGTCTCTCAGCTGCCTGTGTAGTAAGCTTCGCTCCTTCTCCATCTGTTTGCGAAGGAAAATCAACTCTCGCTCCAGGCTACGGGCACCACAGAGGGAGAAGGAGAAGAGGGAGTCTCTGTAGATGGGGCTGCTCTTTGACAACATTGCCAGCCAAAGTGGGGCCATCCCCCAGTTCGGTGGGTCTAGAATTGGTTGCCGCGAGTCATCATTGAAAAGGGGAGAGCCGAAAAAATCTATATATCAATCAGGAATACTCTGCAAAAGTCCCGTGTAAATAGAGAGATCCCAAGAAGTGGTCGACAAGTCTCCGGAATTCACCTTCCTGACACTACGCTGGCACGAAATTCCAGTTAATAGTGAGTTTAACAGAGACAGATAGCAATCGATGCCAACAATTCTCTGGCTGCTCTTAGCGGTGAAGTCAGTCTCTTGAGTCCAGCTCGTAATTCCTTCCCGTGACAGCTCTGCTTTCCTGCTTTGGTTCTTTCCCTGCCTCATCCAGAATATTGGTTGGGAGCATCCCCACTTCCCTCCCCCACGCACTCACGTATGCATGCCCCTCCCTCCCTCCCTGCTTTTCGTCCTCCCCTTCCTCCTCCCTCCACCACCCCCGCCAGCAGCTTCAACACATACATCAAAGCACAGCTCCGCACACCGCACACTGCACACTGCCAAAAAAATAGTTAAAGGTCAGCTGTTTGCCCATTAGCAAATTCCAGAACATTCGCCCAAACAGTGGCAGTGTTAACCTGCAAATATTCCCTGAGCAGAGAAAGGGAGCAACTGAGCCGGCAAGAATCAAAGTTAAAACTGCTCAGTGTCTGCAACTGCTGACACTTCAACAGAGGCCAGATGGGTCGGGGAGTGAAATCTTCCCTTGACAAACAACACCCCCCCCCCCCATCCACCTCGACTCCCCCCAGGATAACCCACATGAATCTGGAATTGGGAATAATCCCAATCGTGTCGTTTCCCTACAGGCAGCGATGACGATAATAATAAAAGCAATTTTTTTTTATCAGGCTCGAACCAGTGCTGGCCAGGATGGAAGAATAATTATTATCATGATTAATGATCTTATTATCCTAATATAATTATCATTAATAATGATAATAATGCCAAAAGAAGCACTAGAGGAAAACAGCTGACTGAAAGGCCGTTGTGGTCAGAGTTCCGAAGTTATTACCTCAGTCGTTGAATGCACAGCCGACAAAACAGACAGTCTGGTCTGCTAACTGGCGCCAGCTTTTGCTCTGAGCATGTTGACAGGAAGTGAGCCCCTCTCATCGCGGAGGGGAAAACAGCACACGCCTCACTACAGTCATTGCTTTAATTATAAGCCCTGAATGAGGAGGGAGGAGGCACTCTGCTGTTCCCTGATTACTGCAACAGCGTAACGTTCCCTTTCCAGATTTATTGTGTTTTCACCAGTTTTATTTTCTTATGGAGCTGGAGGAACCAGCGTATTTTGTTTCAGGTCAGCCAGTTGTGTCAAACACACGCAAAAAAAAAGGTTCCATGCTTAAGAGTATCCAAGCCAAACTACCGAGGGTTTCCGACTGCCCACAGCATGAATGTTGGCGATCGTCAAGGCTTGGAGACCCCAGAGTGTGCGTCAGGGTACTGCTGGAGTTTAACCAGCAAAAAAAAAACATGTATAGCTTGTCATTGCAGAGTACTGTTAAGCTTCTTGCAGTTTATCCAGCCATGACCAACCAACCTGTTACCTGTGCTTGCAGGGTTATCAGGAACAAGGTGGGGAGCATCCTAGCCTCCAGAAACTGGTCTGCTCCTCCAAGTCTTGCCAATGAGCCAGGCTGCCATCAACAATGCCTTGGACAAGCCAAGACCGTGGCATCGAAATTCAGACTCATGGATTTTGACTTTGACTTCGGGGTAACGGTTTTCCAATAAAGAAGCTGGTGATGTCTCTCTAACCAGCAGTCATAGGAAACTCTGCCCACGCACTTCCCTGAGCACATTATTGAGAACAGGGCTAAGGGCTCCAACTCCATCCAGCCCATCCAACTTGATAAATACAACAACAACTTGCATTTATATAGCGACCTTCACACAAGGTAGTGTCCTGGAGTGCAATAAATATCACACAGATCTCATATTTGACCTCATAATTTCTAATGAGTTCAAGGCACGACCCAATCTCTGAGCTCACTATAGGGCAGTACTCCTTGTGGTTGTCTAAATCTGGTCCCTGTGGTTAGTGTTGTCCCACTGCACCGCTGCTCTCACCACCCTATGATAAGCAAGTTGTACAGAAGGAACTGTGCCTCACAACAACCATTACTTGTCCAGTTAAAAATAGAGATTGTGTTTTCACACGCTTGCCAGTATTTAAATTTCTTCAAAATCAGGTTACTTCCCTTACCCACCCCCACACTACTGTCTTGCCCCTCTCTGATCTACTCCCCTTGCCCCCCCAAACCCCTCCCTAACCAACAATGTCTCACAGAGCTTCACAGTTATTTTTTGTCCAGTGCACTGACTTTGTATTTTGTAGGCAAACGGGGCAGACAATTTTCATACAGCAACAATGATAACAATAATAATAGCAATTGAAATAATAATAGTATTAAGCAATGTCCCACAAACAGATGTGGAATGACCAAATCATATTTTTTTAAGTGGTGGAGGAATGATCAGAGATGGTTCTGCTTATTTTTAAACATAATGTTCTCACTTCAGAAAGCAGCAGCAATTGAAATCAGTTAGTGTAAGGGTTAAAGCAGCACATGGAGGAATCGATCCTCACCTGGACTACCTACAAGCACTGAAGCTGCCATTTTAGGTCCCCTTCAGCACACAGCTGCTGTGCGTGTGTGTGTGCGCGCGCGCTGTGTGTATGTATCCCCCAACCCCCTATTCCCTCCCCGTGCCAGATTTCACAGTGCTAGAGCATGACATGTGCAACATAAGTCCCAACAGATGGAGCAGAGGCCCAAGATTCATCCAATGCTGTTTACAAGCTAATTCAATCATTTCTCTTCCTTTCCCCAAAGCTTTCTCTGAGCCCCCAAGGAAATGAGTTGTTTTGTCTGTTCAGCCACTGCGACTGCCTTAGGGTATTTGCGTTTAAAGAATTTCATCTACTCTTAGTCCAACTGTTAATCCAGCCCCTCAACCATCCAGCTCCCAATGCCATCACTTTCTCCCCAACTGATGACTGCAGAGTCTAAAGGCAAAGAAATTCCACCCAGCACCAGATTTACTCTACGATATAGCTGTTCCGAGGGTCCACAATTTTGCCAAATTCTTAAACACAGTCTTAATTTTGAAGCCATTTTTCTTTTTTAAACACTTTAAGATTTCTTAATTACAAAACCCTTGGAAGGGCTACTTACTGTAACAGGAAGTATGCCAGACACCTCACTCTGACTCAAACAATTGGGGACTTTGGGGTCTCTGACTTCCAGATACTTTGACTTAAAATCCAAAGAGAAACAACTTCAAGTTTCCCAATGCCTGTATATATTTTTGAAGGGATTATTACCCCTGGAAAGTGATCTGCCAATCGACTAACAACCGGGTTTCTACTTACTGCTGGATAAACAGAAGCGCGTGGAGTAGGGTTTTGCCTTGCCCTGGAATCGAACTCGGATCCTCTCGCTTGCTAAGTGAGTGCTCTAACCAATTCGCTACAGGACTCCACATTTGATTCCGTGCAAGCCTGCCATTCACTTTACATGCTTGGATCCTGACCCCTGACTGTCCAGCACCTTGGGACGTCCTCCTGACATGAAAGATGCTCTATAAATGTATTGTACTTGCCCTCGTACTGCGCTTTTGATAAAGTCTTTTACCTCAGTGTAGGCTGATACTCTAGTGCAGTGCAGTGGGGAGCACTGCCTTAACGGAGGTGCCATCCTTGAGGCGAGACCATGGTCCCATCTGCCTGTTCAGATTGACATTACCATTGGCACCATTCACAAAGGGAAGGAGTTTCTTCCGGTGTCTAAGCCAACAATCCGCCAGATAAAATCGGTCAGTCACTTAATGGCTGTTTACGGGACATTCACTGTGCACAAATTGACTGCCCTGTGTCGCTTACAAAATACACGGTCACCACACTGGAGAGCGATTAACTATGAAAGAAGTGCTGCAAGTCATTTTGACTTGACAGTTTATCTATAGGATGAGGTGCGTTGACATAAACCTGCGGGTTCAGCAAGCTCCAAACACCAATTACAGGCTGGCACAGTGCTCTGCTACAGGATGTTCTGTCTGCAGGAATCAAACTTCAAAGCTGTATTCCACTGTGCTGCCGATCAGCTTGCTGGTCACCTGCTGTCGTGAGCTCTCTCTTCAGAGCCCAGCAATCCTCCAGATCAATCAGTTGTTCACTCCATGGCTGTTTCTAGGGCCTTGCTAGTGCAAATTGGGTGCTATGGTTGTTCACACACAAAACAAATACTCACCATATACAGGTAGTTCACTACATACTTTCCGGAATTAGGTAAGCAGGATGGGCCCCTCCAGGGAGAGAGTGTGCCATTCCATTACGACAATCTATCTCTGTATTTAGATGTTCAGAGAATCTGTCACCTTGTTCAGTGCGACATCTTATGTGACATGGATGGAGCGAGGAGGCAAAATGCATCTCTGACAGCTAGTTTCAGCTCCTCGGTAGTCTCGTATTGCTGTTTTGCAACAGTGAGTAAGAGGACTTTGTCAACACCCTGCACAACAGCAATTATGTGGTTCGGACCTTTCGATGTGATAAGACGCTGAAAAATGCAAGCTCTTTCTTTTCTAATTTCACAGGCCCCATTTTTAAATACAGTAAAGTTCAGTGTGACGACCAGGTGAGTCCAGAACATCTCAGTTCTCTTCATTAAGTCTATGCGTCCTCTCTCTCTTCCCTCTGTCTATTTGCCTCCTCTCTGTCTGCCTCCTCTCTCCCTCAAACTGCCTGCCTCTTCTCTCCCCATTTGCCTCTTCTCTGTCTATCTCGTCTCTCAAGTCATCCTCTCTTGATCTCTCTCGTACTCTGCCCTCTCTGAATCTGCCTATTCTCCCTGCCTCCTCTCTTTCTCTCTGACTCTCTCACTCTGCCTTCTCTCTATCTAACACTGCCTTTTCTCTCATTCTCTGTCTCCACTACTAGCCATGTGTCTTGTCGATTGGATTACAGAGATTAACAGGATGAGGTACAAGGCTTGTAGGCAGTCAGGGGGAAACTGTCTCTAGCACAGCACCTGCTCTCTGGCCTGATTTAACAAATAGTTTTCTTTCACCTCTGGGCAACTGTCAGGAACATTTCACAGTGTTTGTAACTGATTTCAGCATCAGGGCAAACACTGACAAAAAAAGAACAATGTAGAGAGTAAATCCCTTCTAAGATTTAATGTTTAACAACAGCACTGATACACCAGGTGGTGAGGGAATCACAAAACATCTCATCATATTATCCTCTTTCCCTCACTCCGCCTACCTATCTTATCTATCTCACTTTTTCTTTGAATAAGCCAAGCTGACATTTCTGGCTTCAAAACTTATTCTACTCTCCTCCCGATGGGGCTGACTTGACTGAGATCTAACTCCATGGATACTGGTTGCCCTCGATACCTTACCCATGTGGTTATCATTCATGCATGAATGTTGGCAGAGGGCTGACCAGCATATGTACCAATGGATTGAAATTACTAACAGAGTGTCCTATGGTGATATACCATCATAAGAGGGGAGAGCAGAAAGGAAATCTCCCTATTAAATTCCGTTAGCTGCCAACATCACCAAATGCTGCCTTAACGCCGACTGCAATATTAGCCCACAGGAGTTTAATATATGGCTCGCAGCCCATCCTCGATGGCTCAGTCTGGTAAAGCCATGCACACTGAAAGTTGCTGGTTGAATAGCTGCCGACATTCATGCATGAATGATGGAACGCCTGAGCCCGGTGCCCATGGAGCTAGATCTAAGTCAGCCCCTCTAGGAAAAGTAGTCGAGCCAAAAGCAAAGTTTCTGTACTTTACAGTCTTATGTAATTCTCTTACCTGACCACCAGCACCTCTTGATCTCCTTTGTTACTGAGATTTGAGATGTCTCCTACAAATGAAGGAAGAAATTACTGGTAAGTGTTTGTTTGGCGAAAATGCTGAAAAATTGAGCATTAATAATAATAATAATGAGCCACAAAGTCTCCATCCCATATTTCCTGCACTTCGGGAAAATAAAGAGGACAAACTTACGGCCTGTTAGTTTGTGCACAACTTTCTCTGCCATTTGGCAGCCCTGGGAGAGCTGGTCGCGGAAACTCTGTCCCATGTAGTAATCAATGTCGTTGGCTCGGAGCAGCTCTTCGAACGACTTGGTGGTGTCGCTCAGGTGTTGCTTGAGGATCTGACCGATGCTCTTACCTTCACGCATCTTCTGGCGGAGGTGGGAAAGCTCCCGGGCCTGCGCCTGGATCAGGCTGTCGTACTTCCTGGAAGGCGAAAAACAAGATAAATTCAGTGGAAAGAAAACCCTGAAGGGGGCGAGAAAGAAGAGCATAACTATAAGATAATAATAATAATAATCCTTGCATTTTAATACAAAACTTTGAGACATGTCAAAGCACTGTACAGAATATACTATGAACATACTGTGTATGTTGTGGGTAAAACACAGCAGTCTCCCACAAACTGTCGTGGATAGAGTGGCCACTTTTTTTTCACTGAAATCTGACGTGTCTCCTTCAAGTGAGAGAGATTACTCATTGGCATTTTTTCTCCCTGCCCTCCCCTCACTCCCACCTCCCAAATGGAAGGGAGAAATGATAGCCGAGTATAGGAGAGCGGAATACAGGATGGAGGTTCTTGTGGGGTGAAAACACCAGCACGTACTGTCTAGTTGGGCTGAATAGCCTGTTTCTATGCTGTATCACTTTGTGTAACTCAACCTCTCAATTGGAAATGAGCTAAAGAATTTTCAAAATCCTGCATGGTTTTAAATTTAAAGGGGATGGTCTTAAATCTTAAGGGGGAGGGGAGGATGGAGGGGGGAAGAGTCTAGAACATAAAAACACCTCAAAACATAATATTCACTGGCAATTTCAGTGACTGCCATATGTGAACAACAACGTTCCACAGACAACCAAAACATGAATGACCAATTTTATCTGGGGAATTGTTGGCCCCAGAAGAAACAGCGGAAGAAACTCTTATCCCTTTTTGAGTAGCGTCATGGGATCTTTAATGTCCACCTGAACAGAAAGGGGGACCTTGATTTAACGTCTCAACCTAAGGAAGTGCACTTCCAACAAACGCAGCTCTCCTGAGGCTCTGCACTGCAGTGTCAGCCTAGACTTTGTGAGTCCAAAGTCCCGGCATGGAGTTTGAACACACAACCTTCTTAATCAAAGGCCAGAATGCTAGCAACAACAATAATAACAAAATTACATTTGTATAGCGCCTTTCACATTGGGAGGACATCCCAAGGTCCTGTATAGTCAAGAGTTTGGACCAGAGTTGGGGGTTGGGATCAGGAGGGGTGGAGGATAAGTAGTAGTGTGGGTAGGAGGGTGACAGAAAGCGCGGTTGAAGAGAAGAATCTTGAGATAGGCTTTGAAGGAGGCAAGGAAGGGGACAAGAGAAAGGGAACGTGGAACAGAATTCCATAGGGTGGGGGCGTAAAAGTTAAAGGCCCGACCGCCGAAGGCTTTGAAGGCGAGGACAAGGATTTTGAACTCTATCCTCTGGGGTATGGGGGAAGCCAGTGGTCGGTTGAGGATGGGTGTGATGGGGTCATGGAGCCTGTTGTGGGAAAAGGGCATGAGCTACAGAGTTCTGAATGATCTTCAGCTTGTGGAGGGAAGAGTTGAGAAGACCCGACAAGCAGGGAGTCAGCAGAGCAAACCTTCTTAATCAGATGCCAGAATGCTAGCAACCTAAAGGGAAGGGGTGGAGGGGAATAAAAGAAAATGTCCTGAGTATTTACCCTGGCCAAGTGGTGTTTTTAGCTGAAGGACCCATGAGTTTGGCGCTCTTCAGCTGAGCCTCCAGTGAGGTGACTCTCTGAATCAGCTGCTTGATCTCAGTGCTGGGCTGGGCCGTGACCTGGAAGTGCTCGGCTGAGTCTGTCTGCCAGAGATCCTCGTCGTTGGGCTGGGTGGCCGCAAAGTGGGGGTGTTCCCCGTGGGGGCGCTCCACGCTGGAGGCGTAGTCGCTGGTGGTGGAGATGGAGCGAACCCGGCACTGCAGGTTGTGGATGATCTTGTCCGACTTGCTCAGCTGCGCCTTCAGGCTCTGCACGTGCTGCTGCAACAGAGCCACGTCGCTGCATCTGCCGAAGTCCTCGACCGACAGCCCCTTCCTCAGGCAGGACTTGACCCGAGGCTCGGAAGGGGACCCGGGGTTGGGATCCGAGGCCGAGTATTGAAGCTCCATGTGGGCTGGGTACAAAAGCTCCTGGAAGTCGGACTCCCCGTATTCTGTCGGGAAAGAGCACACGGCAGGAAATTATTTTCTTGCAATACACCCATGCCATAGGAACAGGAGTAGGCCATTCAGCCCCTCGAGCCTGTTCCGCCATTCTATTGGATCAGGACTGATCCATACCTCAACTCCAATTGCCCCATATCCACGTGCTCTCTTGAACTGCTACCTTGGGGTATTGCAATGTATTATTATTCTCAGTTCACTTTCTCACTGCAGGTTGGCATCTTGGGTGGTAAACATAGATAGCAGCGAATCAAATGTTAACTCTGTGACTGCTGATAAGCGCTCTGGGACGCTAACCCGCATGAAGGGAGCTATACAAATGTAAGTTGTTGTTGTTATTGTTGATATACATTTGGCTCAGAAAGCTGCTTCCAAGCAATGCCCTGGCTCCACTGGCAGTTCTGTAGTCTAACCCAGAGGCAGGATATATGTCATCTTTCGCATCGTCCACCCCTCACCTACTCCCCTGAAGTACATCCATAAACCTGGGTTTAACATCTCATCCCTGGCATTGCAGAGCGCCCCCTAGTGATGCACTGGATTGCCAGGCATCAGTGTTTGCTCAGGTCCTGACGGGGAACTGGAACCCACGGACTTCTGAGAGCTATCAAGTGATCCAGTGTCAGCAACAGTAATTTGGTCACTCAATCGATGACTGTTTGTGGGACACTGCTATGCGCAATTGTCTACCACATTTTGCCCATAAAATATATACTTTCAATTCACTTTACAGTATATTCTGTGAAGCGCTTTGAGACGTCTACATCAAATGCAAGGATTATTATGATTATTATTAACACTCAATACAGCTTTGCATTTGGCGGACTCACTCCCTGAACGTTTTTGCTGTTTGGCCTTGGTCCTCCTACCACGGCCCCATGTTACTCTCAGTGCGGGAAAGGTCAGAGCTTCGCTCTTCACAATCACGTTTCCAGTTCCTTTATTTCACCCACACACAACTGCGCTTCCGTTGATTTATATTTTTGAAAAGAAAAAAAGGCTGAGCTTTATTTATTAATTGAAAAATACACAGATTTTGATTTGCTGGACCTGCTCGCTGTCTGCGGCTCATGTCACAAAGCATGGCATGTGCTGCTGGTGATATCACGCTTTGACATCAAGTCATTCATTTTTCACATTTTTATTGGCTGGTTGTTAAGTATATTTAACCTATTATCTATCTGAACTTAGACTGTAACACTGCACTGATAGCTTAGAAAGAGGGGGTTACTGGAGGGAACTGGAGAGCGCAGTGGATCAGCACGTTTGTCTTCATCCTCTAGCAATTGGTTTCAAATCCAGCTACTGGACGGAATGGAGGTTGGCTCTCCACTGGTTTCAAAGGACTCGTGAAATAAATTGGGACCAGCCCAGTCCCGTGTACAGTGGAATGTACTTGTAAACACTGGGAGTGCAACATACCTGTACACTGACTGTAACATTCCTGTACACCGACTGTAACATGCCTGTATACAGTGTAAGATACCTGTACACACAATGTAATATTACGTCTTTTATCACCCAGTGAAATGACAAAATAATGTGTTATCAGCAATGTCCTTATGACATCACACAGCGCGTCAGGAGAAATATGTGAAGTGACTTTAGGATGAGCAGCCCCAGGTCATGATCAACAATGTGTGGTGACTGACTGACACTGGGGTAAATGTCTCACCATTATAATCCAGCTTCGTTTTATTCCCGGACTGTAGTCCTATTGTCGGCATAAATGGAGTCTCCTTTGAGCTGACCTGCTTTTAAGTTGTTTGGCCACTGAATTTTGAATCAAGTTAACCTGCTGTGGCGGTCTTGAGAACCAAACCAAACTTAACACAGGCCTACGAATTTCCTGTTCTGTTGCCCCAGTAATAAATGAGGCGTCGCTGGTGCTTCAGAGCCATCACCATCGTGGACTGAAGTAGGTCATTGCACCTCCGGTCATTGTTCTGCTGGAGGCTAAAATACCTGGAGGCTCTGGTTAGAGAGCTGTGCTGTCAATGGTTCGTGCAGCTTACCAACAAAGTTCAGTGCTTGATCCCCTCTAGCTTGCCCTTAGCTGCACGTAACCCTGCTGAGCACTGGTTACATGTAGTGCTTCTGATAGTGCGGGTGTCCGACTGAGCTACCTGTTCTAAGTATTTTTCGCCCACAAAATACACAATCAATTCATTTTACAACATATTCTGTGAAGTGCTTCGAGACGTCTCAGCAAGGTGATGAGGCTTATTATTATTAATGCAAGGCTTATTATTATTGTTAAATCCAGGGCTGGTCAGTCTCGCCGTTACCTGGGCTGCTGGCTTCCTCTCGGTCTGCCTCATTTTCACTTCTCCCGCATGTCTCATAGCCCAGGTCTTGCAGGTCCACTTGCACCTGTTTGTTATCTTGCTCCACTAGTGATTCAGCTGGAGCAGATGGCAAAGGAGCAGCGATCAGTACAACATTACAGGCCACACGCACTTGCAAAACCAAACACTGGGATCAAAATGACCATCTTCTTGACCATGTTCCGTTCCTTACTTAATGAACATTGTTAAATACTTCTCAGCATGAGGGGAGAGGGTACATTTTTTGGGGGGATCAGCCTGGTTTCTGTGAGGAAACCCATCATTGTGCTTAAGATTATCCAAACCAAGCTGAGAATTCCATGCATCCCACCTATATATGGAAATCCCAGAGATAGATTGTTGGAATGGAATACACACTCTCTCCCTGGAGGGACACATTCTGTTTACCTAATTCCGTAAAGTATTAGGCGCAAGTTGGCAAGAGCCAAGGCTCGGGGAGTGTGTGTTGGGGTACTGCTGGAGATGAACCAGCTAAAACCACACAGCTTCCCATTGAGAGCACTGCTTGGCAAGCTTTCCGGCTACTTGTCCAGCTAGGACCACTGTACCCATTAGGGCTTTGGCTTGCAGGGATAACAGGAGCTGAGTGGGAGAATTCCATGCCCTTAGTGACTGGTCTGCCCTTCCAAGTTCTGCCAATGAGCCAGGCTGGCTGTGCTGTCATCAGCAGTGCCCTGGAATACTACGGACTAGACTGGCTCAGTAACCGGAGTGCTGTACGTACCAAGCAGAACGCGGCAGTGGTTGAGCTGATCGTCCTGGGCTTTGACAGTGGCCTCGGTCATCATCAGCTTCTCTTGCAGCTCCCTGTTCTGGAGCCGGCACTCGGCTAGCTCGGCACGGAGCTGGCTGGATTGGTGCCGGAGGTCGGTATCGGTGTGTTGCCACTGGCTGATCCTTGATGTACCCGCAGCTACCTGAAAAGAGAGAGGGATCAGTTAGCAACAATTACACAAAGGCCACCCTGTGTGTGTCAATAAGGTTTTTCGACTTGAAAATGTTTTCAAGTAGATCAGCTGAAGATCGCCCACCAGCCTTTCATTCGGTGCTTCCTGCAGTGAGAGTGTTTACAGGATGTATCAGAACCTCATGACTGTCATCAGCTACGGAATGGGAACGGCAAAGAGAACAAGCCTTGTGTTCAACCTGGCACCAGGGTGGGAGCTCTGAATTCAGTTGGCTTGTTGCTACCAAATAAATGTTGTCCTTGGAAAATGTTGTATTTTCATATGTTGCTTTGTTTCCCCACAAACACTAAACGTGAGCCAAGCAAATCATTCACCAAAGGTTTTACATCCACACTCTGGTCTCAATCTTGGTGAGTGTGGAAGTGCAGAGGGATACACTTGTACGTGCGCGCGTGCGTACACAGGGATTGTGTATGTGTGCATATTAAGGTATATGTGTACGTATGCTGGGTATGTATGTGTTTGTGTGTGGGAAGGGGAGCAGATGTGTGTACAAGATATATGTTTGTGTATGTATAAGCAGGATTTATGTGTGTGTGTGTGTACAAGGTGTATGTGCATAAGCAGAATTTTTGTGGCTTGGTGTGCAGGGACATGAGTGCACACAAGAAATTTAACAAGATTGTTGTTTGACATAAGGTGATTGCACGTGAGAGTGCTTTCTCTCTGGATTGGGTTAGGTGAACTGACCTAAACTCAAAGCACATTAAGTTTCTAGTTCAGTTACAACTGAGGTGCATTCTCAACGGCTGCGATAATAACTTTGTAAAATAACAACAGTTTCACTCACACCCACCTCTTGGCTAGAAACCTTGAGCTCCGGTGTCTGTTCTCTACACTGCGATAGGAAATTTCCGAGGTCCAAAGAATGGGGTCTGGCCCGCTTGGCGCTTCCATCACGCAGTTGGACGCTGACTCTCGCTCGCTGGCTCTGAGCTAAGCTGAGCTCTGCTTTCAAACGCTCAATTTCCTTGGCCATGTTTACAATCAGCTCTGGGTTGAAGGTTCCCTCGGTGCTGAGTGAAGAGTTCAGCTCCAGCTGCTGTTTCAGCAGGCCACTGATAGTCTCTGCATTCCCCAGCTTGACTTTGAGCTTTCTGATCTCTCGCTGGCCCCACTCGTTCAGCTTCTCTTTGCTTTCCTCCTTCCACCACTCCCGGCCTGTCAGGTCCTCTCCCTCTCCATCTTTCAGTTCTGCGATCTCCAAGTGCAGGCCAAGCAAGGCGCTTCTGTCAGCGAAGGAAGTTACAATAAAAATAATCCTTGCACTTAATATTACGTCGTTGAGACATCTCAAAGCACTTCACAGACTATACTGTTATGTGAATTAACTGTATATTTTGTGGGTGAAACGCAGCAGCCAATTGCGCACAGCAGTGTCTCCCACAAACAGCCATGGATTGAGTGACCAATTTTTTTAAAAAGGGATTATTGCCTCCGGAAAGCAATCAGCCAGTTCCTATTTACTGCTGGGTAAACAGAGGTGTGTGGAGTAAAGAAACTTGCCTAAGATTTCGCCCGCCCAGGAATCGAACCCGCTTGCGAAGCGAGAGTAATAACCATCATATTACGGGACTCCAATGGAAATTCCTAGCTCAACTATGGAACTGAAATCCTTGAATGTAGCAAACAGGTCATTCCGCTCACTGGTGTTTTCCTCCATGTGTGTCACTAGTCTAATCCCATTTCCACCACTCGATTGTGATAAAACACAAGCATGTAATTTGCCTTACCTCATCTGGGGCACTGAGGTGTAGCCAGACTCTGCAGTCTGCGCCTTTATCTGCGATAGCTCTCCCTCCAGCAGTGTCTTCTGCTCTGCCAGGTGCTGGATCTCCAGCATGGCCTCCTCCAGGTCTCTCCGCAGCCCTTGCGGGTCCCCAGCCAGGCTGCTCCCGGACCCTGTGACCTGCTGCTCGGGGCCAGTCTCCATTATGGCTTTCTGCAAAAAACGACAGTCAGTCCGCACAGGGTGAGAGGTAGCCGGTCACCGATAAACCGGAAATCACATCCCGGTTTACATCAAAGCTGAGTCTGCTCCAGGCCGCACACAAAGTTCAAATCGTGAGGGGTTTCGATGGAATAAATAGAGAGAAACTGTTTCATCTAGCTGGTGGGTTAGTAACTAGAAAACACAAGATTTAAGATAATTGAACCAGAGGAGAATCTGTTACAATCTGGAATGCTCTGCCTGAAAGGGTGTTGGAAGCAGATTCAATAATGACTTTCAAAAGGGAATTGGACAGGTATTTGCAGGGCTACGGGATAATAGCGGGGGAGTGGGACTAGCTGGATAGCTCTTTCAAAGAGTTGGCACAGGCACAATGGGACGAATGGGCTTCTTCTGCGCTGTAAGATTCTACGAAATGCAGCAGGGGTCACTGTTTGTGACCAGGAGATCAGAACCTGGCAAATGGATTTTTTTTAAAAAAATTACTCAAAATATCCCGTAAGCAAAATGAACGATATTTCAGAAAAAACATACAAAAGTATGAATTCGAAACGCTTTAAGATAAAACTCTTCCAGGACAATGTAAAAGGCAGTTCAGATTCACTCACCGCTCAACTAATTTTCTGGCTCCACACAAATGATATGTTTATCTCCTCATAGCTCCACCTTGTGGCAGTGTGGAAGATGTCTACCCCCTCCTTGAGACACTTACTCGGCTCTGGTAGTGGGCTGCTCCCTACCCTCTTCTTCCACTAGGATGGTGTCAGTCTTTGGGGACATCACTATCATTACAGATGGGGAGGGAGTACGGTAGGATGGGCGGGGAAGGGGAGATGAAGGGGTAACAATAATAATCTTTGCATTTGATATAGTGCCTTATCATGTCAGTGAGAAACCTCAAAGCGCTTCACATAATATATTGACTGTTTATTTTGTGGGCGAAACACGGCAGCCAATTGCGCACAGCAGTGTTCCACAAACAGTCGTGGATTGAATGGACTTTTTTGAGCGATTATTATTCCTGGAAAGCAATCCTCCAAACGACTAACAACTGGGTTCCTACTTTCTACTAAGTAAACAGAGACATGTGAAACAAGGAAACTTGTCTAAGGTTTCATCCTGTCCAGGAATCAAACCTGGGTCCTCTCGCTTGCGAGGCGAGTGGACTAACCACTACACTATGGGTAATGTGGAAGCTCACTGCATTGCTCTTACCTGGTGGCTACACTCCACAAGTACTGGGTGGTAATTTGATGCACCAGGCTGAAAGCCATCTCCAAAGTGACTGTTATCAACTCCCTCCAGATGCAGCTCTAGAATTTAGATTGAGACACACCATTACTACATCAGAATAATAATCCTTATATTTCATATAGCACATTATTGCAGCAAAACATCTCACAGCACTTCAAAGTGTAGTGAATATGTATTTTGTAGGCGAACGTTACAGCCAATTTTCACAATAATGTCCACAAACAGCCATAAAGTGAAGGACCAATTTTTTAGCTGATGGATTCTTGGCCAGGACACGGGGAAAAACTCCCTGCTCTTTTCAAATAGTGTCATAGGAACTTTAACATCCACCTAAACAGGCAGATGGGACCTCGGTTAACGTCTCACCCAAAGGACGGCACCTCTGATAATGTAGCAGCACTGCACTGGAGTGTGAGCTAAGACTATGTGATTCAAGGTCCCAATGTGGGGCTTGAACCCACAACCTTCTGACTCACAGGCAAGAGTGCTACCATTGAGCCAGGCAGCCATGACCAATGAGCAAGTTTCACCCTACAATACAAAGAACACAACAGAGTTCAAACATCCCAAAGCCATATTCTCTATATCAAGCTCAACTTCCTGACATTTTTTGAGGGGATGTTCTAAAGTGCGATTTGATAGCCAGAAACTGCGCTGGCCAGATGTGTCAAATAATACAGCGAATTTGTTTTACGATTATACAGTGGTAGCATGCAAATGTAACAAGAGTTAAAATAATAAATACAGAGCAGTTTTTAAAATAATATTTGGACCTTTTTAGTTGATTGATTCCTTCAGGAGTTTTTATGAACATAATAAATAAAATAGTGGTGCCATTGTGGGATGGTGGACTCCTACTCTCAATCAGTCTTTTGTGTCAAGACTACAGTATTAAGTCTTTGTTCGCTTTCCAGCTCCCTGCGGTTGAATCAAACCAGCAAACACCCAGATTCTTCATTGACGGAGAGTGGGTAGACAGTGGGCAGGGAAGGAATGATTCCCTGTACCCCACTTCTGTCAAAGTGTTGGAATTTCTTACTGGGCTGTACTGTAAAGACAGCCTTCGAGCATTAACAACAACAAGATTCCATTTATAGAACGCCTTTCACGTCAGGAGGACGTCCCAAGGCGCTGTACAGTTGGGTCAGGACCCGAGCAGGGGAGAAATGGTCAGGGTGAGGGGAGGGGAGGGAGGGAGCGAGGAGGGGGTAGAGAGTCGAGAGGGGAGCTGAAGGCACGGTCAAAGAGAAAGGTCTTGAGACTGGCCTTTAAGGAGGAAAGGGAGGAAGCAAGGCGAAGGCCCTGGGGGAAAGAGTTCCAAAGCCTAGGGGCTGAGAGGCTGAAGGCCCGGCCATCGATGGTAGGGCGGTTGGGGCGGGGGATGTGGAGCAGACCGGAGCCAGAGGAACGGAGGGTATGGGCAGGTAGGTAGGGGGATAGTAGGTCAGAGAGGTAGGAGGGAGCAAGGCCTTGAATGGCCTTGTAGGTGAGGATGAGGATCTTGAAATCGAAACAGTCCAAGACAACCACATTACAGCATTACCCCCTCAGTCATTTCCTGTGGAGCTGAACTGCTCAACAGGCCAGTCATAAAGAAGCAATTAAGCGTTGCTAATAGAATGGAATGGAATGTTTTCAACTCTGTCTGTCTGAATAGTAAATTCTTCAGCCAAGTAAATGATCTCTGTGGCCCCTTTTTCCGCTTTCTTCCCCTTCTCCTCTCCCAGTGACCCTGGGCTCTTCCCTCCCCTGTCCTCCAAACACGTGTATTTTCCAATGTGGATAATAATAATAATAATCATTGCATTTGAAATAACGCCTCATCCTATATTTGAGACGTCTCAAAGCACTTCACAGAATATACTGTAAAGTAGACTGACTGTATATTTTGTGGGCGAAACCCGGCAGTCAATTGCACACAGCAATGTCCCACAATCAGTTGTGGATTTAGTGACTAATTTATTATCTACAGAAAGCAATCCATCAATCGACTAACAACCAGATTCCTACTTACTGCTTGGTAAAGAGAGGCATGTGGAGTAAGGAAACTTGCCTAAGGTTTCAACACACCCAGGAATCGAACCCGGTTTGCGAGGTGAGCATGCTAACCACTACCCTACGGGACTCCATAGGATCCCTGAGCAATAATCAGAAGCAGGGAACCCTGGTTGATTCCTTTGCACCCGCGCCCCACCACCCAAACGCACTCTCCCTCACTCCCTTCCTTACCTCAGGGACACCGAAGTGGACCTTTATGAGCATCAGAGCAGTAAACTCCTGGTATGTCACTGGAAACAGTTAAAATAGTTTGAACATAGCCTAAAAACAATGGATAGGTGAAGAGCTCGATAAGAAGAGGCTGAGATAGCCTGTGGAACCACAAGCAGGGAGAAAAAGGAATTGCATGCTTTCTTCAAGAGCTGGAAGAAAATTGTATGGAAACCATGGCAAGAGATGAAAACACATTCTCTATGTGAGAACCAGACTAGGCTGTTTTAACCATCCTAAGAACTTTTCAATGTCATCTTATTGAAGGGTTCTTAGGACTAAAACAACCTGTTTCTTGGATGGCAGGAAAGACCCTGTCTTACTACTTAGCAAGACTTTGCCTCTTTAATAGAGAGAAGACACTACCCCTTTAATAGGTAGTGGGCCAGCCACTGCCTCTTATATAGATACCCACCAGTGTTACTCAGAGGCAGACATGATAAAAGACAATAATGGGGAAGTCGAACACTGAATGTCCTGGATGGGAGGGCTTGGGGAAGATTCCCAACGCATCGTGCTGCACAATGGCTGCAATTCCCCAACACTGCATTATCTGAGGTGCTATTCTTAGGGTGAGTCGCTAAACCTGATGTCGCTTTTACGTTTTCAGATGGACATAAAGGAATCCATATCACCACCTCTAAGGATGGAATAAGATTGGGGATGGGAATTGCACCTAATGATGGATGTAAAGTGTGGTTGAACAGACATGGAATATCATTATAATTTATAATTATATAACGTTGCAAGTTGGGGACAGGCAAGAGGATTTTCCCAATTTCTTCGGGTACCAAGCCAATGTGTTAAGTGGTTTGGGATGCTCTTCCAAGGTTAATATTTTTAAAAAAAATTTTAAGGGATTATTACCTCCGGAAAAGCAACCTGCCAATCGACTAACAATCGTTTTTCTAATTAGTGCTAGGTAACTAGAAGTGTGTGGAGTAAGGAAACTTGCCTAACATTTCGCCCTGCTCGGTAATCAAACCCAGATCCTCTCGCTTGCGAGTAGTCTAACCAATACGCTACAGGACTCCACATCAGTTACCTAATTTAACCCATTCTCCTATTCACTCCCCATATTTGTTAATATTTCTACTCAAGAAACCATTCAATTTCCTTTTGGAAGAGTTTATTGATTCTGCATTTGTGGCAGAGAATTCCACATCCTCACCATTCTCGGAGTAAAGAGATTTTTTTTTAATTCCACTCCACCCCCCCATACCCCACCTCCACTTAATTCCTTTGTTGATGGAGAAGAATCTAGTTCAGAAATACTTTGAGATGATATTTTATTGTGAATAAATTTGACATTGGAACAGACAGGTATAATATGGTTATGCAAGTTATCTGATACATTACAAAAGGCAGAGCAAGTGTGAACAGGGCGTATTTGTATTGCACAGTTTGATCTATAGCAGCATCTCCATCTTCTCAATACCATTGTCAATCTCTCCTGACCTGAACAGCAAACAGACTGGGAGACCTCTATAACCCTCAGAATACTGGATACGATGGGAGAATTTGTACAGAGCCAGAGAGCATTGCCCTTGTAGAAACTAATCCCACTGCTGTGCATGGGTTGGGCGTCATTGAGTGCTGGAGACGGGGATGTTTTTTTTCCTTCTACCAGAGCAGAGGACAATGTCCCCGTGGAACCCTTAATGCGAGGGGAAGGGTTACTCAACTCGGGAGTGATGTACGTGACTTATTTCCAGTTATCCGGACAAATCCATTTCTTAACTAAGAAATACCGCAAAAAGGAACATCTGTTTCCAGGAATTTTCCCAATAATAGAAAAAATATCCACAAAGCCCTTCACCAACCCAAAAGTGACTGCAACGGCCCACAAGCAGGGAAAGACAGCTCTGCAGAACTTTTATCCAATTTACACTGTAATATGGCAGCTTTGTTTGATGGGTGGGTAAAGGCATCTAGTTCATGAGCATATGAGGAGAGTCCATGGTAGGAAGGAGAGTCTCCACAGCACTAAGACCTGAGGGACCACTGTGAGAGTGAATGGATTGGGAGCAAGGGACACACGAGCAGTTGTGACCTGGCAGCCATGTTATGCGTGAATCGAAAGCTGTCCACAGCCATGTCAGAGCTGCCTGCAAGTCTCCTACTACCTGACGGAACCTGCTTGGTCTTTACCTTTCAACATTCTCTCCTAAAGACATTGAGTTGTCTACAGCTCCAGAGGCACAAGCTGGCCCATGGTAAATGGGCCAAGATGCCATGCTTTGCGAGCGAGCCTTGACAGTGAACACCAGAGGCCTATGTGGCAAGGAGAGTTGTTGTATCTAAGGCTGTCTTTTCCCTTACATCCACCCCAGAGGGAATGACCTCTCCTCAGGCCAGAGACAGAGGCCAATAGCAAACTAACCACAGATCAGAGATTGATCCTGGGGCATTCCTAGGTCTTTATTGTAAGTAGCAGATTCAACAACCAAGACAGCCAAGGAGCTGGAGAACTTTTATCACAAAATCATTAGCTGGTCCCTGACCCCTTGCATGCAGCAGTTAAGATGCAGACTGAAACATCCTTTACAACACTGGACTTCCTACACGAGGATGTGGCAAACCTTGTTGCTGCCCATGATTTCTATGTCTGTCCTCCTGACAAAACACCAACTCAAACTTATAATAATATAGAATCAGGAATAGGCCATTCAGAATGCTGGGCCCATTCCACACCCTAATGAGACACCCCAGGCCCCAAATTCCACCGAGCCCCAGCCTGCGAGACCACATGGTCTTAAAATGTAAGATTGCGCAGAATTGTAAAGAGAATCTGAAATTCAGTCTAAATTTGAAAGCCAGCTTCCAAAGAACTGTGAGAATCCAACTTCTGATTTAAGGCTGAATTTAAGAATATTCCACAATTCTGCAAATTTATAAATAGTCATACAAACACTACCAAACTATTCCCAAACTTCTAAAGCGATGTGAAGAGTGCGGGATGCACTAGTACTGTAGTACTGCTTGAAAATGTCCATTACAACTCTATANTTTTTTGAATAATGATTTGAGTACACAATGCAACATCTTACCTGATGTCCAACTGGTTGCATAAAATATCCAGTTTGACAGTCTCGTGCTTACATACACACTCCCCAGGGTGGGTGGGGAGAGAATAAACCGGATACATACATAATGCACCAGTCACTTAGTATGTTTAGGATGCCACAGCACATTGGCCTGTGTTACTGTGGCAGGAATGTCTTTCATCACTTTGATGATTCAGGCCACCCATTGGGCAGAGGTTCTAGCCAAAGGGTAGGCAGACCGGTCCCCGCAGGAGTGTCAAAGTTAACACCCTCATTCCCCTTCCCTCTCCTGCACAAGAGAAACTGAAGCCTAAGAGCATGTCAGCTGTTGGACATTGGAGCAAAGCGTGGCAGAGAAAGGGACAGAAAAAAATCATATAAATGATAATACTTTTGCTTATATGGCACTCATCAAGTAACAATAAATATCGCAGATGTAGCTGATTAGAAATGAAGTGAGTGTTCTCATGCAGGCAAATGTGGCAACTAATCTGCACTAGCAACGTCCAAAACAAGCAATGAGATGAGCAGCTAATTCACTTGAAGAGTCTAGTGACAGCATCTTCCCTGGAGCTACCTTTAGCCAGGTAATAAATTACTTACAATTCTTCAACTGTTATTGGAAACCAGGGATTTTTTTTTCGGGGGGGACAAGGGTTAATAACAACAATTAAGTGTGTGTGGGAGAAGGGGTTTTGAAGGAGGACGGGGAAGGAGGAATGGAGGCATTTACACAAGTGTCAATGTGAAGGAAAGACAGGGAAATATTTTCATTTGTGGTTAACAGAAGCAAGGGAAAATCAAAAATAACAAAAAAATGGAATGGGTCATTTGTTCTTCATGGATTTGTCCACCACATTGAGGTCTGCCAACTTTTTTAAAATAAAATGCAAGGAAGGAAGACAAGACAACAAAGCTAGACACACATAAGATACGGTACAATCAAAATCTGTTCCAAGTCCAAGTCCGTTTGGTTAAGCGGTTAAAATAAAAAAGACATTTTTGTCCTAGGAAGGTCCTCCAAATCCCTGACTGTCCAGTGCCTTGGGACGTCCTCCCGACGTGAAAGGCGCTATACACAAATATAATTTGTCGTTGTTCTTGTACTTTCCCACTCAGACAGCTCTGTGTGTTAACCGCCTTCCCATGCTCCATTGCGGCAGCAATGCTACGTGGCTCGGGTGCCACTGGCAGAGAAGACTGCCTCCTCCCGCAGACTTCCCAGCCTGTCTTTTCCCCCACCTCCAGAATCTGCCGGCGTCCCAGGATCCCTCGCCAGCCTGCCGACCCGCTCCCGGCTCGTCCCGAGAACCTCTTCCAGCCGTTCACGGAGCGCCTGCACGGCCGTCAACTCCGTCTCCAGCGTCCTTTCCCTGCTGGAGCTAAGCGGAGAAGTGAGTTTCGAGATGGGGTGGGGGGCAACTACTGGGAGCCGATTCCGACTCGCGTGCAAGACCTGATAGAAGCTCAATGAGGCAGTGAAATAGTCTGAGGCAAGGGTGGAATATCAGTGGGGGTGGGTGGGTTGTTTTCCTGGAGGTGAACTGACTCAGAGGAGACAAGCCAGTTCCACTGTACTCCACGGCACTCCCAATGGTTGATCAGCCTGTCTGGAGATGAACGTGTCCTGTAGTGTATGACCTAGGCTACCTGGCTTGGGTACCCTTGCAACTTGCCTTTAAGTGAGTGCAAACAATCGCTTGTTGAATACACTGAATACAGATGGTGTCATGCCTGACCTTGTGCATTTAACAAGCAGAGGACAACTGTCACTCAGTGCGATACCCGCGTGCAATTTACACAAACACACTCGTCCCAAGGCTGCCACCCTGCGAGCACCAAGACATCTCTTACCTGTCGGGCTTGTGGTGGTTTTTAATAAGGCTGGCGTACAGCTGTCGCTCGGCTTGCAGGGCTTCAGTTAGGTGTTGCTGTTCCAACACCTGCTCCTGCAGGGCACAGCTCAGCTGTCGAACAAAACATAGCGCTCACTCTCAGGTCTCCTGGAGCACGGCAGAGCATCTCAAGAGAGAGGGATTTTTGTTAAGAAATAATATCTCAGGATGCTCTATACAGTTTGGAATATATGTCCAAGTGGCTGCCAGGATGGTGGAAGGCGAACTAGATGGACCTTGGTTTTCTTTCGCCTGGCAATTGTTATGTTCTTATGTAGGGACGCTCTCACCCACAACCTGACACAATGATCATAACACAGCGCAAAGGCAAGGTAGAATATTGTGCCTCCCAAGTCAAAAACAAACAAGCCTAATACATTGAGCCACAGCCAAGGCCATCCTGAGCCAAGTGTGGGAACATAACAGGGTTTTCAATGATGCTCTTCCCCCACCCCCCCCTCCACCACCAATTCCACAGGAGTTTGGAGCAGGTACCTGCTGCTGTTGGTCTCTCTGGGTGGGTGACTGAGTGTCTGCCATCCGTTCTCTCAGCGACAGAAGCTCCTGGCTAAGCCGCTCCACCTCCGGTAGCTCTGTCGGGTGAACCAGCTGCATCTGCAGGTCCTGGGGGGCAACGGGTCACAAAGTGGTTAATAATATTCCTTGCATTTGATACAGCGCCTTATCACGTCTTCCAGACGACCTAAAGTGCTTCACAGAATATACTGAAAAGTGAATTGACTGTGTATTTTGTGGGCGATATGCGGTTGCCAATTACTAACACAATGTCTCCAAAACAGGGGTGGATTGAATCACCAAATTATTATTTTCATTTATTTATGTATGCCTTTATTTACTTTGAAGGGATTATTACTCCCGGGAAAGCGATCCACCAATCGACTAACAACCGGGTTCCTACTTACTGCTGGTTAAACAGAGGCGTGTTTAGTAAGGAAATTTGCCAAACATTTTGCCCTGCCTGGGAATCAAACTGCAAGGGAAGCGCTCTAAGCACTGAGCTACAGGACTCCACTCTTGCGATAAATGGGCAGCAATGCAAACATTCGCATGACCAGGGTCAACGAGACGCTTCAGACCTTTCACAGTCAAATTAGACCATAACGAATGTAAGGATTCTGATTACAAATGGCAATCGTACCTGTGCAAATCTCATCTTTTATAACATTAATTATATATTTTGACAGGATACTGAAACCAGTTTAATCGTGGATCATGACAGACCTTAATAAACTCCTCTTTGACACAGATGCTCCTTGTGAGGGCTTCAATCTCCAATGCCTGTTGTCGGGACTCTCTCTCCTGGTTGGGAAGTGCAGCCTGCAGTGTGGCCAGCTCAAGCTGAGAAAGAGAGCAAATACATTCAGATACACGGCAACAGGCACCTGTCCCACAGCGTTGCCCCAAAGCCTGCAAACTTGCCCACAGCCTTGGCCTGTTGAACAGCCCCACCCCATCCTAGCTCATATCACACAGCACAAGATGCAAGTTTAATTTCTCCACCAAAGAACAGAAACTCTGATACTGCAGCTCCCTCATCATTACACCAGAGCATCAACTTTACAGTTAGCTCAGGCTGGAACTCACAAATCTCTGACCCAACTGAGCCGAAATGAACAACACACTTAGCCCCTAATGGTCAACCAGAATAACATGGTATTGGGTTCTATAGCTCTGTGCTCCCGACTGTTTGAGCACCGATTGCCGCAGTGTAGTCTGGACACTCACCCTGCTCTCTTCTCCTCTTCTCAGGGCCAACTGCAGTTCCTCTTTGATCTGCTGGCTCTCGCTCAGGGCTTCGTTGTCATGTTCGATGTCGAGCATCGCTTCGTCCTCAGCCAAAGCCAGATTGGGTGCTGCTAACAGAGAAACAAACCAACACCTGTGAATTCCTACTGGAATCTCCCATGCAAAGCACAAAGCACTAAGAGAGCTAGATCATAATGATAATCCTTATAAAAATAATCCTTGCATTTAATATAGAGCCTTATCATATCATTGAGACGTCTCAAAGTGCTTCACAGAATATACTGTAAAGTGAATTGAATGTGTATTTTGTGGCCGAAACACTGCAGCCAATCATGCACATCAGTGTCACACAGTCGTGGATTCAGTGACCAAATGTGTGTGTGTTTTTTTAAAGGGATTATAACAACCAGAAAGCGATCTGCCAATCGACTAACAAGAGTAGAGTAAGGGAGCCTGCCTAAGGTTTCACTCCTCCTGGGAATCGAACCCAAATCATCTCGTTTGGGAGGTGAGCGCACTAACCACTTTGCTATGGAACTCCACAAGCACGACTAACCCACCTGTGGCCCACAGTGCACACTCCAAGCTTTCTGGTTGGTCCAGAGGTCTCAGGGTTGATCACTTCTTCATAAGCAATTTCTTACAGAGTCTAAAATGTTGAAACATCTCAAAATGCTTCACAGGGAACAGTCAAGTCTAGTGACCCTGTATTTGTAGCAAATGCAACTACATTTTCCCCAGCAACATCTCACAAACAGCCATGAAGTGAATGACCATTTTATTTGGGGGATTGTTGGCTGAAAATCGGAAGAGAGAAACTCCCTTTTCTTTTTGAATGATCTTATGGGATCTTTAATGTCCACCTAAACAGGCAACAGAGCCTTGGTTTAAGTCTCATCCAAGGAATGGAACATACAGCAATGCAGCCCACCCACAGCACTGTATTGGAGCATTAGCTGAGACTACTCACAAGCTTCTATATATATATATGTGCATGGACAGAAGTTGGCCAGGTCATGGCAAACATAATATCAGCTGTGACCTCCTGACCCGAAGTGGCAGCCATTTTTTGTTCTGAAGTAGAATTTCATTCTTTTGACCCAAAGCACCATGTTATAACCGGGGTTGCTCAGCATGAATTTGTGCGTGACTGTGCTTTGGGAACAGATGGTTGGAAAAGGATATGTTTTTCCATAGCATTTAAAACCCTGAGGTTCCCTCCCTTCCACCGTCTCCACTGAGCCACCGCAGGTGTGATACTGAACCATACACAACAGAATAGAACAGAAAGGTTAGGGTCACCAACCTTCCTTCTCGGGGACTGTCTGCTGCTGGTCGGTCAATTCCATTGGCTCGAGCTGGATGAATCGTTGGTTCTTGCTGGGACTGTCCTGCACCAGCTCCTAAACAGCAAAAGTGATGCACATTAGGCAAACGCACTCAGAAATCATCTGTCCGTTATATCAAGCCACCAGGCACTGAGTGACCCTGCACTCCCCCCAGCCTGCCCAGGCACTGACCCTGGGACATGCCCCTCCCTGCCACCCCCCCACCACCGGGCGCTCACATTGATGAGTCGCTCCTTCTCCTGGAGCCGCTCACGGAGACGGGCTATTTCCATGGGAAGGTCCTGGGCACAGACGCTCTTCTTGGCCACTTCTCGCTCCTTCTCAGCCAGCTCCCTGCACAGTGCCTGCAGATCCCGGTCCCTCTCCGCGATGGTCCGTGTCACTCCCTCCAATGCACTCTGAGGAACACACGACAAGTAATTCTCTCCAGCAAATGAAACAAAAGGGTTTCACCTTCGGCCATCGGAGAAATTGCAATGACCAGCTTTTATTCCCTAAGTTCTGGGTCATACAGACCTGAGGGTGACAGGTTTGTACAGAGGTCCCTCATCAATGGCGATCCACCAATCGACTAGCAGCCAGGTTCGTACTTACTGCTAGGTAAACAGGTGTGTGGGGTAAGGAAACATTTCGCCCTGCCCAGGAATTGAACCCGGGTCCTTTCGCTTGCAAAGCGAGTGCTCTAACCACTATCCTACAGGAACTCCACTGCATTGAGGGTGACAATACATAGCGTGTATTATATTCGAGTGACACGCTGAGGATGATAGTATGGAAGTGAGCGAGAGAGGAGTGAAGAGCGAGTACTGTACCTTCATCTGCTGATGGCGGGCGTCGGTGGCTCTGAGCAGTTCCTGCAGCTCTCGCTCGTGCTCGGCAGCCACAGCGCTCCTGTCAGCCAGCGCCTCCTGCAGCATTCTCTCCTTCACCTGTAGTCGCAACCTGAGCTGCTCTGTCACCTCACCAGCCCCCGCGCACACCTTGTTCACGAGCGTCACAGTCAGGTCCTGGGGGAGAAGCAAAATATCAGGGTCAACATTAACCACTCAATTACTGACTATAAAATATCCTTCGCTGGTGTGTTCCGCAGTATTCAACAACTTAATAATAAAGACAATCTATGCATTTGATACACGTTGTGAGATGTCTCAAAGCGCTTCACACAATATATTGTAAAGTGGATCGACTGCGAATTTCTGTGGGCAAAACGCGACAGCCCATTGCGCACAACAGTGTGACGCAAGCAGTTGTTGAGTGACCATAATTTATTTATTTTTGGGGGGGGGAAGAGATTATTACCCGCAGAAAGCGATCCGCCAATTGACAAACTGGGTTCCTACTTACTGCTCGGTAAGCAGAGGCGTGTGGAGTGAGGAAATTCGCCTAAGGGTTCGTCCTGCCCGGGAATCAAACCCGGGTCGTCTCGCATGTGAGGCGAGCGCTCTAAACACTATGCTATGGGATTCCACATAAGAGCTGCTTGTTGCTGTTACAAAATGCCATTGTGAATTATCCTATTGCCAGATGTTCACATTATCTGTTCTCTATCAAGGTTGAAGTGAGGAGTCTGACCTCCAGCTCCCGGTTCCGGGCGTGCAGTGCTGCCTGGAGTTGAGCGATGACCGTCTCCTTCTCCTTCAGGGCTCGCCCGTGCTTCTCCTCCACCTCCTGCTTCAGCCACTGCAAGCTGCGGTATGCCATGGTGGTTTGCTCCAGCTCTAGCCCCTTCCCCTTAATCAGGCCATCCAGACTCTGGGGATGAGAAAGCCAGGGTTGGAATTACACAGTCCTTGAGCGTTCCGACAATAACCTTCAATGTGTCCCACCATTCACCGCAGAGCATAATACAGTGACAACTTCACACAGTGTTTGTGTGATATTTTTCACAATGAATGAGCCAGAGACAGCCCCTCCTTCCCCACATCGTTCTCAATGTTAAGGGACTATAGAATTGTAGATTCTTACATTGCAGAAAGAGGCCATTCGGCCCATCGAGCTTGTGCCAGCCCTTTGAAAGAGCTATCCAACTAGTCCCATTCTCCACTTTCACCCCATAGCCCTGCTAATTTTTCCTACACAAGTACAAATCTAATTCCCTTTTGAAAGCTACTATCGAATCTGCTTCTATCACCCTTTTGGGCAGTAAAGATGGACGAGATGGAAATGTGGGCCTATGAAACTTGGGGAGAATAGAGAGGAAACAGCGAGTGGAGAAGTAATTACTCTTAAGAGTGGACAGATGCTCACACTGATGGTTTCTTCATTATTGGAGAGAATACAGCGAACACGATCCAAGTCCCTCTCTTTCTCACGTAGGGCCAGGTGCAGTTGTCGGATTTCACCCTCCTTCTCTTCCAAGGTGCTGAACTTGTCATCAATAGCCCGCTGCAAAGGATCAGGAAAAAAATTAGTCTGTAGCTCAGTACGGGACAGGAAGCTCCATTTAAGATAGCTATGATGTCTTCAGAGAGAATAACTCACTGTCTACGTCAAAGGCTTAACTGGTGGTCTTGCTGGTCATTTGAAATAGTTTGCCAATGAAAATAAACTGTTCAATAATAATAAGCCTTGCACTCAATAGAAAGCCCTTAACGTCAAAATACCTAAAACTCTTCACACGTTGACTGCTGTAAAGTGGAGTGGCCTTTATTTGTAGCTAACGAGGCAGTTATTTGAACACATCAAGTCTCACAAACAGCTGTGAAATAGATTTTATATGAGAGGAGGGGTTGTTGGCCAAGACATTCTCTTCTACTTTTGAGCAGCATCAATGCGATCTATAACCTCCACCTGCACAGACGGGTCCTCAGATTAACGTGTAACCCGAAGAACATAGGCCGACGCTCTCACCAAAGTAATTGTCCTGCCACGAATCTCACCACGCTGTTTACAAATCCTTACAAATGTTACAGAGTGTTTGCAGCTAGAATCTATCCTCAGTGAGTGTCAGTGGGCTGTTTGATCACAGACAAACAATCCAGTCCTCACCCAACATCCACAAAACTCTATGTAATAAAGTAATTTTGGGGGATGGGCTCTGGATAAGGTTTCAACAGCTGGAACCTCGTCTGAGATCAGCTAACAGGACAGACAGGAGATTCAAACCTGCAAATTACTATCTGTACTGCTCAGTGTCTTTACCTACTGGCATGTATTATTAAGTGAGTCGGAAGAGTGAATGGAGAGTCACTCTCATCATTTTCATATAAAGTGACAAAAAGACACAGTTTGTATCCTACCTCCAAGGCTTTGTCCCGCTCTTTGATGCGTTCACGGAGCTTGTCGACAAGAGGGTCTCTTTCTTTAGTGCTTTGCTGGCAGTCAAAGAGCTCGATATATTGCTACGAATATACAAAGGGAGAGTTTTGAAACACCGAGAGTTTGTACAGAATCTTCCCCTCCAAAGCTAGGCTCTGGCGAACACCCAACCTTGCTCGTCATAACACAGGGTATTGGAACTCCATTCCAGTTGGGTGGTGGGTGAGCACATAGTCCTTTTGGAACTTTGCCTCTCCCCATCCCTTGTCTCCTTTAAGGCCCGTCTCAAGACCCTCCTCTTCGACATCGACTTCGGTCACCCTGCTACCCCTACCCTCCCTGCCCTCCACACCTCCTGATCCCGACCCCCAGCTCGGGTGCAAAACCCTGACTGTCCAACGCCTTCGGACATCCTCCCAAAGTGAAAGGCACCATTTAAGTGTAATTTGTTCTTGTTGTTGTATTTGAAGTATACAAGCGACTGTGCAGCACACCTGCTCACACAACTTTATGTAACGGAAGTGTTCACGGGCCGAACAAATACCGGCACGGCAGAAAATATGAATGGGAAGGGTTGAGGCAGCCCTGATACCTGTAGGAAGTGCTCCTTGTCTCTTAAGTTCTCCTTCAGGCACTCAATATTCTGCTCCTGGATATTCAGCTCCCGCTCGTGCTCAGTCTCCAGAGCCTTATATTGACGTTCCTTTTCTTGGAGTTCTTGCCGGATCTGCTGTATGGTGTTCCGCAACTCCTGAAAACAACGAGGAAGAACCCAAAATTCTAACTATAAGTAATAACAACAACAACAAAATTACTTTTGTGTAGCACCTCTCACATTGGGAGGACGTCCCAAGGTGCTGATAATCCTTGTCTGCAATGTTGAAATGTCTTATTGTGCTTTACAGTAATTACTGTTAGGTGTAGTGCCTGTGTTTGTCAGCCTGGCTCAGTTGGTAGCACATGCACTTCAGAGTCAGAAGGTTGTGGATTCAAGCCCCATGTCAGGACTTTAAACTCACATGATATAAGCTGACACTCTATTCGTGTTGGGGGTGTGTGCTACATTTTTTGAGGTGTCACACTTTGGATGAAAGGTTCAACCAAGATCCCCTCTACCCATTCAGGTGGATGTTAAAGATCCCATGACACTATTCGAAAAGAGTGTTGGCTAAGAATCCGCAGATAAAAATTGAAATGGTTATTCACTTCATGACTGTTTGTGGGACTTCGCTGTGTGCCAATTGGCTAACACTCTCACCTACAAAACAATTAGTACACCTTACACAGCAACTGCTGTGAAGCAATTTAAGATGTTCCCTGATGTGAAAGGCAGTTCATCAAATGCAAAGAATATTTTATTAATAATCGTAGGCAAAAGCAGCGGCCAATTTGCACACAGTAATGTCTCCCAAACAAGCATGAAGTGAGTGACCAATTTTCTTCTGACCTTTGGCCAGGACACCAAGAGAACATAGGAACAGGAGTAGGCCATTCAGTCCCTCAAACCTGTTCCGTCATTCTCGTAGATCGTGGCTGATCTGTACTTCAACTCCAATTACCTGCCTTTGTCCCATATCTCTTGATACCCTTACCCAACAAAAATCTTTCCAACCCAGTCTTGAAAATTTGAACCCACAGCGTTTTAGGGAAGAGAATTCCAGATTAAGTTGTGTGAAAAAATTGACAGAGGGAAGGAATTTCTGCTTACCTGATTGAGGTTGACGGCCGCCACCTTCTGCTCTTTGGTTTCCTGAAGTTCAGCCTGGATCAGGCCCTGGCAGCGTTGGGCTTCAGCCAGCTCATAGCCCTTCTGCCTCACCAACCTCTGCTGACGCTGCAGTGATAGCTGATTGGAAAAGGAAGCGCTCTGTAGCTCCAGGAGCTCAGCTTGAAGCGTTCCTGGCTTACCCTCCGCACCCTGACAGGCAGCACAGCGCTGAAATACAGAAAGGACCCCGTGAATGCAAAGCAAAGTCAGACAATGATCAAGGAATGCAGGGAACAAAGCCCACCCCCCGCAATAATAACAACAATCTTTGCATTTGACATAGTACCTTAACACGTCATCGAGATGCCTAAAAGGATTTTGCTTCACAGGATATACCATCAAGTGAATTGACTGTGTATTTTGTGGACGACACTCAACAGCCATTGGGCACAGCTGTGTCCCACAAACAGTCGTGGCATCAAATTTTATGGATCCAAAACACCATGTTATAATGGTGGCTAAATTATTATTTTTTTTTAAGTGATTATTAACTCCGGAAAAGCCAATGTACATGGAAGAGGGTAAGTCACCCATTAATAATAAATAATAATCCTTGCATTCAATATAGCCCTTTTTGTGTCTCCTAGACGTCTCAAAGCGCTTTACAGAATATAATGTAAAGTGAATTCACTGTATATATTTGTGGGCCCCTCCACAACCCCCCCCCCCCCTTCATTAGAGAGTGAGGAGTGAGTCTGCTGTTAACAGAGATCTCCTATTGATGCATGGTGTACTTTCAGCTTCCAGAGTAGAGAGCACACGTGCATGTGCAGGAAGCCAGCTAGTCCACACTGGAAGGGATGTCAGCAGTAATCTGCTGACCCAGAAGTAGGTCATGCAGCCATTTATTTTGTGCATCAGTTAAGTATCAAATTTTATGGATCCAAAACACCATGTTATAATGGGTAGGGGGGATGGGGTTGGGGTATGGGTGGGGAGATGGGGTTGGTGGGGGGGGGGGGGGTTGTCTCCCTATACAAAAATGCCTCATCGCCCAGGACCATTATCACCTTCACAGGTTCCATACCTTTAGGCTTTCAAGCTGGCTTCTGTGGAGCATCTCCCTCAGCTTTGTGAGTGTCTCGTTCTGGCTATCGATGACGTGATAAAGGTCTTCAGCCTTGAGGGGAAGACAACAAGTGACAAAAAAAAATGCTGACATTCCAAGTCATCATTTCGGCCTAAAATGCAGGGTGGGCTAATAGCCCATGGATTAACCTCCATCCCTCAGTCTTGCTCCCTCCCTTCCCTCCCTCCCCAGCTTCAGGTCGGGACTGAAGACCTTCCTGTTCGACCGTACCTACAGTCACCTCTCCCTGGCTCGGCATCATGCTCTGCCACTGCCTCAATACTCTCTTCATTACACATGGTTGGTTTCTCCTGCCAGCCCTTGTTCCTCCTCCGACTCATAAATTTCTACCGAAAAATCCTTTCCAACACTCGCCCCCCCGCTGCTGTCCCCTTATCCTGAGCACTGACCTCCTCGTCCTTGTTCTTTCGCGTCTCACTTAGTGCCTGGACTGATTGCTCCTGTTTCTGTGCCACTTGACGCACATCCTTCAGCTCACATTCCATCTCACTCAGCTTCTCCTGCAGCACCTGGGAAGCAACAGGACGTCATGATCACTCGTTCAAAAGCAGCAAGCAGAGACAGCTTTCTGTATCCAACAACCAACATTAAGCAAGGTATGGCAACAGGGAGCGGGGTGAGGTGAGGAGTGGGTAGGTTCACCATGGATTTTACCACTTATCGCTACTCTTTAAAGTCCAACCAAACAGGCAGCCAGCACTTCAACTTATTATCTTATCCAAAGATCACGACTCCGATGCTGCAGTGCTGCCCCCAGCACTGTACTGGAGTATCAGCCCGATCGCTTGCTACCAACTGAGCCAGGCTGGTGTCCCGCGAGAGATATTTTTCCTTTCCGGCTTTTTAAAAAAAACATTCTAAAACTTTCGGTTACAAGGTAAATGTATCCTTTCTCTTTAAAAATAAAATTCTGAAGCAGGAGCGCACTTGTGCTGACATTGTTCCTCCCGCCACCCTGGGTCATGCTGTTCCTGGGTTCTTACCTTGTTGATGGCCTCAGTCTCCTGGATCCTGACCTGCAACCCTTGGGTCTGAGCCTGGGCTTCGTGCAGCTCAGTGCCACACTGGTCGGCTGCACACTCATAGTGTCTCAGCTGCTGCTGCTGCTTAGCGATCAGGTTCTGGGAAAGAATAAAAGTGGATCTGCAGTGAATCCGATGGACGGCCATTATCTCTCAAGAGACTACATACGCACGCCACAGATACGTTTGCATTCAGTTTCCATCCTCCCACAACAGCTTGCATTTGCAATGACAACAACAAATTACATTTGTTTAGTGCCTTTCACTTCAGGAGGACATCGCAAAGCGCTGGACAGTCAGGGATTTGGACCCAAGATGGGGATTAGGAGGTCATGCGGCGGTAGGAGGATGACTGAAGGCACGGTCGAACAGGAGGAGGCTCTTGAGACGGTAATAGTAATAGGTAATATGTGCCTTTTAGGTAGGAAAACATCTCAATAGAGTACTTTATTTGATACTAGCTGTACCCGTTCCAGCTACGCTTGCAACCAAAGGATCCAATATGGAATGTAGATTTCAGTATTGTTATACTTTATATTTTATTATTACATTAATATACTTTATATTGTGTTATTATACTTTATATTGTGTTATTATACTTTATATTATCATATTTTATATTAGATTATTATATTTTATATTATACTTTATATAACGGTAGATCCCCCCCCAAAAAATGCCTGTGGTTTTCTCTGTTGTTACTTTGTTGCAGAATATATTAGTACAGATGTATCTCTCCAGAACGGTTTGTGATTTCCTCTGGCGCTACTTTGTAGAAGAATACCATGCATACCTCATATTGCAGGGCCTAATTAAAGCATTTTAAAAACATATCTCATCAACGATAGGAGATCCCTGAGAGAGAGAAAATATGCCCATGGCACACCCACTTGCAAGACCTTTCCGATGAGGTATAAATCATGTCTCTAAATCAATCGGTTATTGCGTTATTGACGTTGTCGTTTTATTAGTATAGATTACTGCTGCTTGTTGCATTTGAACCCAGAAGGGAGATGACCAATGTCGCAGTCGGCGGTCAATTTTTAAAAGTGTTTCAAGCACGGGGAGGTGCAAGGCAGAAGGATTTAGGGAGAGTTCCAGAGGGATTTAGTCAGAGTTCCAGACAGCAGACGCAAACTTGCTGTTGATGCCTGCCCCCATCTCCCACCCCGTTCGGGCTTCACACATGATCTCTGTGAATCACTTTCAGCTGTAGATGAAATGAACTGTATGAGTGCAAGTCATTGTTGTTGCAGACAATAACTGTTTTTCAGACTATTACAGTGGGCACAGCACAAGCATTTCACACTGAAATCAACGTCATGTGCTCCTGTGCAGTTGAGAACTATCTTTCCATGAGGATTAATCAGAACCTGTGCACAGACACTGCTCTTTGTCTGCAATTCTAAGGTTCTCCAAACTCTGAAAGCTGGACAGGCCGGACAGGCCAACACAGTGGATGTGCTCAGTGGACAAAATACTTTCCAATACATTGACAATCATTCGAATAATGGAAGCTCACGTCACTGCCAGTTTACCTAAGCTCATTACCAGGCATTCAGTTGTAACACTGTCCATTATTACGCCAGCCTCATTACACACATCAGTTATACATCACTCTCATCATTCAACTGGGGCCTCCCTTGGAGCTGAACTGGCTCCAGGGTGACATGTTTGGCAAAGGAATATCAGAATTCAGCCAATCTTTTGTGGCAGACAGAGTAATCTAGTTCCTGAGCTAGGGGGGTCCACAGTACTGCCTGGATCATCGGTAGGATTTGAAGGGCAGACCTGGGGGAAGGGTCTCTTCCACTCAGCACCCATTAACCCTGCAAGCCAAAGCCCAAACAAGTAGGCTGATACGAGCTGAAACAAGCAGTGAGAAAGCTTACCAGACAATGGCAAGCCATGTAGTTTTAGGAGTACCCTTACACACACTCTGGGGTCCTCAAACCTCAGCTCTTGCTAACTTACACCTAATACTCTGCGGAATTAGATGCATCCTTCTAAGGAGAGAATTCCATTTGAATAAATATCTCTGGAATTTCTATGTGTAGGTGGGATGCATCCTCATCCTCACCTACAAGGCCATTCACGGCCTTGCTCCCTCCTACCTCTCCAACCTACTATCTCTCCAACCCTACCTACCTGCCCGTACCCTCCGTTCCTCTGGCTCTGGTCTGCTCCACGTCCCCCGCCCAAACCGCCCTACCATCGGTGGTCGGGCCTTCAGCCTCTCAGCCCCCAGGCTCTGGAACTCCATCCCCCAGTGCCTTCGCCTTGCTTCCTCCCTTTCCTCCTTCAAGGCCGGTCTCAAAACCTTTCTCTTTGACCGTGCCTTCAGCTCCCCTCTCGACTCTCTTCCCCCTCCTCGCTCCCTCCCTTCCCTCCCCTCCCCCTGACCATTTCCCCCCTCCTTGCTCCCTCCCCCTGACCATTTCCCCCCTCCTCGCTCCCTCCCTTCCCTCCCCTCACCCTGACCATTTCCCCCCTCCTCGCTCCCTCCCTTCCCTCCCCTCACCCTGACCATTTCCCCCCTGCTCGGGTCATGACCCAACTGTGCAGCGCCTTGGGACGTCCTCCTGACGTGAAAGGCCCTTTATAAATGGAATCTTGTTGTTGTTGTTGTTGTTGTTGTTTCTATGTGTAGGTGGGATGCATGGAACTCTCAGTTGGTTTGGATACTCTTAGGCATGGTGACGGGTTTCTGCATGTTGTCAGACCTGGCTGACCAAACCAAACCTCTCATTGCACTGCACTGTTACACACCCTTTCTTATCAGAACAACCTCAGTGTCAAAATTCATTCTTTTGAAACAGGGTTTAGGACCGAGGTTCTGAATTTACCACATCACATTCACCTACAAATATAGTTACAAACCTCTATAGTAAATGCTGAGTTCTTTGAGACTTGTTTTCATGAAAGATACTATATCAGATGCAAGGATTATTATACAGTATTACATTTAAGCCGATTTATGGGCTGTTCAACATAACCTCATTATAACATATAAAAAATCATGTTACAATGAGGGTGAACTGTAATCCTAAAACGGTCCCTTTTTTTTATAAACACAAGCAGTCCAAAATGCTTCCCTCACCCTCTTCTCACTCAAGGTGCAACTTATAAATACCCTTGGTGTTAAATCACTACTGGATCTATTTGCCAACACAACCAAATATTTTACTGAATGTAAACTAAAGGTACGGGAAGAGATGACTCTTGCAATTCCATTATTCCCTGTGTCCCTTTCAATTATCTTTGTGTATGTTTGGGTCAAAATCAATAATCCTTTTTTTAAAAAAAAACAAATCCAGTTCCGTGCATCTGCCTATGTTTCCACAAACAGGCAAACGTCCATCTCGAGGCTGAATGACTCCTTCCCAAAGGGAAAGATCAAAAATCATAAATTTTGGGAACTGGTTGATGTGGCAGCTTTAGAAGCAACCCTTTCGCCCAAGGACCTTGGCTGAGACTCAACACCAGCTGGACTCACATGGGGAAAGTTTGCTCACTGCCAACCTCAAAGCCAATCTGTGGAGTCCCGTAGTATAGTGGTTAGAGCATTCGCTCACAATCAAAAGGACCCAAGTTCAATTCCTAGGCAGGGTGAAACCTTAGGCAACTTTCCTTACTCTATATGCCTGTTTTCCATGACTGTTTGTAGGTCTTTGCTGCAGCGTTTCATCCACAAAATAGACAATCCACTTTGCAGTATCCACTCTGTGCTGAGCCAGTGCTACACCTTGGCCTGTCTTATGCTGAATGCTGGGATTGGAAGCAGAAAGCACAGGTACCCCATTCCCCAGCACTGACATCTGATGAGTACAAAGTTCAGGGGCAAAATCAAACTATTAGTCAATGATCACTGAGATGACTGTCAGTTTCAGTCGTTAATGAGTCAAGGACATATAGAGCTAAGTTTAAACGAGAGATAGAAGCCGATCTGTCATTTTTTCCCAGTAACTCTTAAATCATGGAGGAAAGTAAATGAGAGCTTAGAGGAAATGAGAAACTAATGCAGGTAAAGATGGGGATGAAGCTGGACACTTAACCCAATGAAAAGGATAACAGAATCGCCTCTAAACCTTTCAATAGCTGTCGATATTCAAGGGTACACAAGTGCATTTGAACATTGGCCTATTAGCTCCACTCACATTTTAGAGTCCCTTTTCTTCTGGTCTACTTGCTGATGGCAACATATTTGACGACTACAATTCAGATGCAAAGTATTGACCTCAGCAATATTATTGCAAACTGATGTTTTTCTTATCAGAACATGTTGCTTGCTGTCTCCAAAAGAATGTTTGCAAGGAATGAACTTTCAGCAACAAGTTAGAAAGGATGGGGAGATCTGGATCGGGCCTCCTTGGTACAAACATTAGGAAATGTTGGGGGGTGGGGAGGTTGATTTCCAAGAGATTTTGACTTGACTATACCGTAGACAAGCACACACTCATTGTCAGGAGCCAGGGCATAGTGGCACAACGGAAATAATCCTTGCATTTGATGAATGTCTTATTACATTGTTGAAACATCTCAAAGCACCTCACAGGATTTTACTGTAAACTTTAGTGACTATTAGTCAAAAGCTTTTTGTTTGTTTTTTGTTCAGCCAGGTATCTGACAATTACAGAAATCTATCATTGTGCTAAAGAGTTCCGTGCATGCTACCTGCACATGGAAATTCCCTTGTTTGAAATAGAATGTGCACTCTCTCCGGAGGGACACATGCTCATGTTTACATTACACTTACATAATTCTGGAGAATATTAAGTAAAGCTTGGCAAGAGCGAGGCTCAGGACCCCAGAATGTGTGTCGGGATACTGCTGGGAGTTTAGCTAAACTAAAACTACACAGATTGCCACTTCCTGGCAAGCTTCCCGTTGCTTGTCCCGTGAGGTGAATACGGCAGCCAATTTGCAATGTAGCAATGTTCAACAAACCGCCATGAAGTGATTGCATCTGGGGGACTGTAGGGCAGGACAGGACACCGGGTTGGGAGAAACAGCTGTGCTTCTTTTCAAATAGTGCCGTGGAATTATTATCACCCAAACAGTCAGTTTGATGTCTCATCCAAAGTACAGCACCGTAGACAATGTTTCCCCCAGTACTGCACTGGAGAGTAACACATGTCTCGCTCAGTGACGACTCTCTCGCCTCCGAGTCAGATGGTTGTGGGTTCAAGCGTCAGGACTTGGAATCACATTATCTAAACTGACTCCTTGTGCACTTGTGTACCCTTGAATATCGACAGCTATCGAAAGGTTTAGAGGCGATTCTGTTATCCTTTTCATTGGGTTAAGTGTCCAGCTTCATCCCCATCTCTACCTGCATTAGTTTCTCATTTCCTCTAAGGTCTCATTTACTTTCCTCCATGATTTAAGAGTACTGGGAAAAAATGACAGATCGGCTTCTATCTCTTGTTTAAACTTAGCTCCATATGTCCTTGACTTATTCACCACTGAAACTGACAGTCATCTCAGTGATCATTGACTAATAGTTTGATTTTGCCCCTGAACTTTGTACTCATCAGATGTCAGTGCTGGGGAATGGGGTACCTGTGCTTTCTGCTTCCAATCCTAGCATTCAGCATAAGACAGGCCAAGGTGGTGCTGGAGGTGTTAAACTGAGGTCCCTCCCGCCTGTTCAGGTGGATGATAAAGATCCTACGGCACTATTCGAAAATAGAAGGGTGTCCTGGCCGACAAATCCCCCTAATAAAATCGGTCACTCATCCATGGCTCTTCATGGGACATTCTTGTGCCTAATTATCTGCTCACTAAACACACAGTACAATCCACTTTACAGTACATCCTGTGAAGCACTTTGCGCTCAACGACGTGATAAGGCTATGTATCAAAGGCAATGATTATCATTAATAATTATGAGACTACGTGAGCTCCTAGTCTGGGGCTCGAAGCCATAACCTTCTAACTCAGAGGCCAGAGCGCTGGCAATAGGGTGTCGGGTTGGGGGTGGGTGGGGTGTAAGTAAGTACCTGGGTGCTAATGGGAATGTACTCATCCAGGAAGTCCTGGAGGAGGTTCTCGAAGTCCGCCACCTCCTCCAAACCCAGGGGCAGGTGGCAGTGTGGCCAGGGCCAGTGCCAGCCCAAGGGGTTGGGATCGTCTGCTCCGTCACTCGCCAGGCGTGGGGTTGTGGGTTGGCGCACAGCGAGCGGCAGACGGCTGCCCCGTGGGCTCTGAACCGGGTGATATTCAACGGCCCTGGCCAACCTCAGCACTGAGTCCAGCTGGGGGCCGGGGCCGGGGCGGTGCTGCTCGGCCACATGTTGCCGCTCCTCATCCTCTGTCGTAGACACCTCCACCACAAGTCCCGGCGATGGCTCCGCGGAGGCTCTGAGTGATTCCGCGGAGGAGGAGGGAGAGGCGGCAGCGGGAGCGGGGGAGACGGCCTTGGATGTCTCCTCCAGGCTGTCAGCCGACAACGATACCGAAACCCCGGTGGGCGGGGTGGCCTCGCAAGCGGGTGGCTCTTCCTCAACGCCACCACCGTCATTGGTATTGGTGCCTCCACTGTTGGTGATGCTGGTGCTGTGCGTGCAGGCGGAGTGTTCGCTCACCAGGCCCCTGGCGGACAGCCTGCGTGGCACACGGCAAACAGCCTCGTAATCGGCATCAGGCACGCGCAGAGCGGCACAGCTGCGGCATCTGCGAGACCTGCTGCAGCCTCCGAGGCCCTCGTGTTGTTGCTGTTGCTGTTGCTGCTGTTGTTGTTGTTGTTGTTCGGGCGCTGCCTCAGCCCCCTGCTCGCTCCAGCACTCGAAGCCCGAGTAAGTGAAGTCCTCCTGAAGGAGGGCATTGTAGCGGACGTCGGGGAGCAGGCTGGAGCTATGCACTGTCCTCTCCGCATCTTCCTCCTCTACCTTCGCCTCCTCCATCAGTAACTCCCTCTCCTCCTCCTTCTCCGCTTCCTCTTTGCTGACAACGCCCTCCGCCTCCTCGTTGCTCCTGCGGTACAGGCTGGCCAGGCAGTGCTTGACCCTCTCCCTCTCGGCCAGCAGCCGCTGCAGCCTCTCCACGGAGAGCGCCTCCACTCGGGCGATGACGGTGTCGAAGCGGTAGACGCGGTCCAGCATGAAGGCGCACTTGCCGCAAGCGAACTCGCCCTTGCCGTCCCGACACAGCTCCCGGCCCAACACGTGGGACAGTATCACCTGCAGGTTGAGTTTGGATGCGGTGTGGAAGATCCACCGGCGCTGGTTCCCGCACAGCTCCCTCGCACAGATCCTGCACGCTTCCCTCATCTTTGCGTTTCGCCCGCAGTCGAAAAATAATAATGAATTAAATCCCACTTTGAAGTGTTATCGACCGGCCGATTGGTGGATGGCTCTCCGGCGGGTGAGAATCGCTCCAAAAATAGTAACAGCTCGGTCACCCGATCCGAGGTTGCGGGACGCTCTGCCGCCCGCAAGTCGCCTGTTGCGTTTTTGTCCGCAAAACTAAACTACGCAACGGTGTCACGTGAAGCTCGTCCCGAAGACGTGATAAGGCGTAATGTCAAATGCAAGGACTATTGCTATTAGGAGGTCTTGGGTGTCCAGGAATCGGGGTGGGGGGGTGGGGGGGGGTCCAGAGTCAGACAAAAATCAACGAGAGGCGAAAACCAGTGTGCGTTAAAAAAAAAGGTTGCAAAAAATTCAACGTTGCATCATTTACTTACTCAGACACACACACACACACAGAGACACACACACAGACACACACACAGAGGGGTGTTTTCTTAATGCATCAAATCCAGTCTCGCATCAAACTTAAAGCCAACGTGTGAACAAGTGGCCAATGTATTGCACAAATTTCCAACGTTGTGCTCAGATCCGGACTCCATACACAAATAAATAAATGTACCAGAATTGGGTCAAAGTTCCTCCCTTCAGATCCACGTTTCTCACACCGGTCCCTATATATTTTTTTTTCTCTCTCTCTCTCTCTCTCTGGGATTTAATGTCCAGCCATTTCAGTGCGAGGCAAAGCACCAACATCTTTCCCTAAACGGCCCATCATCATCCACAGAGGAACCGCTATTTCCTCCCATCGAATCTCACCACCGATTGCAGCTGCAATCAAAAGCGATCACACCGCCCATTCTCCCCCACCCTCACCCTCACCCCCCCACCCTCACCCCACACCCCTCACCCTCACCCTCACCCCCACCCTCACCCCACACACACCCCCCCACACCCTCACCTCCACACCCCCCACCCTCACCACCCCCCCACCCTCACCCTCACCACACCCCCACCCTCACCTCCACACCCTCACCACACCCCCACTCCTCACCTCCACACCCTCACCCCCACCCCACACCCCCACCTCCACACCCCTCACCACACCTCCACCCCACACTCTCACCTCCACACCCTCACCCCCCACACACCCCCACCCCACACCCTCACCCCCACCTCCACACCCCTCACCCTCACCTCCCCACCCTCACCACACACCCCCACCCCACACCTTCACCCACACCCCACACCCCCACCGCTGCGCTGCGTTGCGTTATACAACGGGTTATAATCAGCTGATTGCAGAGGGCAACAGTCTGTGTCTGTCTGTGTGTCTGTCTGTGGTCTTTAGACCATCTCCTGAATATTAAGAAGAAAAATCGATCGGGTTTGGTTTGCTTTGGTTGCAACGCATCCTCCACAACCCCCCCTCACCCCCCCACCCTCACCCCCCACCCCCTCACCCCCTCACCCCCCCCCCCACCCCCCACCTCACCCCCACCGCCCCCCAAAACCAGCGATCAGGTTGAAGATCCTCAGATGTATTCTGTTGCAGAGTCCCGATTTGCAGAATATCGCTGCACAGCAGTGTCGCGGCCGCGATTCGTGTTCTCTCTCCCGGTCTCTGTAAGTCACGGCTGTCACGATCGGGGATGGGATGGGACCGGACCCCCCGCCCGGACAGACAGACAGACAGACAGACTGAGGTTCCTTTTCACAGTCGGTCAGTCAGTCAGTCAGTCCCACACACAAAAAAATATCGACCGCTCCTTCTGGTTCGTAGGCATTTTTTTCCGCTGACTTCTTCTCTCTTCCCCCCAACACCCCCCACACACCCAAAAAAAAATCTCGGTATATAGTGTACGTTTCCTTCTCTCTTTCTCTCTCTCTCTCTCTCTCACACACACACACAGACAGATCTGTTCTCCTGTTGATCAGAAGGTGTGTGTGTGTGGGGGGAGAGAGAGAAGCCCTTTAAACAGCGGATACACACACACACACACACAGTCTGGTATCCAACAAAGCAGCGACCAGAAAGCCCCGAGAAAGGGAGGAGGAGGATGGGGAGGTGGTGAGAGGAAGAGAAGGAAGTGGTGGGAGGGAGGAGGAGGAGGAGGAGGTGGTGAGAGGAAGAGAAGGAAGTGGTGGGAGGGAGGAGGAGGAGGGGGAGGTGGTGGTAGGAGGAGGAGGTGGTGGGAGGAGGAGGAGGGGGGAGGTGGTGGTGGGAGGGAGGAGGAGGGGGAGGTGGTGGGAGGAGGAGGAGGTGGTGAGAGGAAGAGAAGGTGGTGGTGGGAGGGAGGAGGAGGAGGTGGTGGGAGGAGGGGGAGGTGGTGGGAGGGAGGAGGAGGAGGGGGAGGTGGTGAGAGGGAGGAGGAGGGGGAGGTGGTGAGAGGGAGGAGGAGGGGGAGGTGGTGGGAGGGAGGAGGAGGAGGGGGAGGTGGTGAGAGGGAGGAGGAGGGGGAGGTGGTGAGAGGGAGGAGGAGGGGGAGGTGGTGGGAGGGGGAGGTCGGTGCTCGCCGTTTGCTTTCAGTAAATCACGGCCCCGGTTTAGGTGGAAATCCCGGGTTTGTTGAGACGTTGTTTCCCCCCCGGGGAGAGGGGAGAGAGAGGCCGAGAGGAGCCGCGGAGGGGGAGAGGGCGGTGAGGAGCCGCGGAGGGGGAGAGGGCGGTGAGGAGCCGCGGAGGGGGAGAGGGCGGTGATGTGGCGACAATGTAACCAGAAACTGATACAGTCACTGAAGCCGCGGGATTCCGACCCAACCATGTGCTGTGGGGGGGGGGAGAGCGAGGGGGGGGTGTCCCAGACTAACCCCCTCCCCCCCCCTCCCCCCCCCACACACACACACACACACACATATCGCTCTCACAACGTGTTATCGCTCAAACACACATTTTCTTGTCGCCTCAAGAGGTTGAGAGTGTTTTTTCCCGCCGGACTGAATGGAACCCCCCCCGTGTGTGTGGAGTAGTGGCACAGTCCCTGGTCCGGGCAGCGCCTGGAGGGCAATGGATCATTTGTTGCCCCTCTCGTCGTCACCCCCCGACCCCCCTCGTCACCCCCGACCCCCCCCGACCCCCCCCTCGTCCCCCCGACCCCCCCCCTCGTCCCCCCCCCGACCCCCCCTCGTCACCCCCCGACCCCCCCTCGTCACCCCCCGACCCCCCCCTCGTCACCCCCCGAACCCCCTCGTCACCCCCCGACCCCCCTCGTCACCCTCCCGACCCCCCCCTCGTCCCCCCCGACCCCCCCCCTCGTCCCCCCCGACCCCCCCCCTCGTCCCCCCCGACCCCCCCCTCGTCCCCCCCCGACCCCCCCGACCCCCCCCCGACCCCCCCCCTCGTCCCCCCCGACCCCCCCCTCGTCCCCCCCGACCCCCCCCTCGTCCCCCCCGACCGCCCCTCGTCACCCCCCACTGCCCCCCCTCTCCCCCCCCCCCCACCCGGTCCCCCCCACCGTGGCTCTGCCTCACACGGGCATCACCTGCGGGTGTTTCACGCTGTGCCAGTCTGGGGGGGGGGGTGGGGGGGTGGGGGAGGTTACTGATACCCTATTAACTTATTTACAAATAAAAATCTACTTGATTAAGGCACATCCCCCCCCCCCACCACCACCTCCTTCCCCGATCGAAGACCTTCCCCGGTAATAATAATCCTAATAAATTACAATAATAATAAAGTAATAATAATAACAATTGCATTTGATGTCTTCGAGACGTCTCAAAGCGCTTCACAGAAATATACTGTGAAGTGAATTGACTGTATATCCTTAACTGCGCTTACGGTCACCTCCTCCCTCCCCACTGCCACGATGAACCGCTGCGAGACGTTGCCTTGCGCGAAGGGTGTTACATAAATGCAAGTTGTTGTTGTTGCTGGAATCCTATTGCCTTGCAAGTTTCAAATATGATATCAGCTTCAAATTTCCTGCTTATTATTAATCCGTTTCCCGGCTTTTATAACCCCCTCTTCAGTTAACTCGGCTGGAATTTTTAGCTCCGTTCGCATCATTACTGTACTTCCTCCGCCCTCCTCCCCCTTGTAGAGCTTTAAACCGTTGCACCGTTTCACGGTGTAGAAATGTGCTTCGCGGCGATTCAGGTTAGAATAGAAACTCGGAGAAAAAAACGAAAAGTTACCAATACAGTGTAACTGTTCAAGGCTTAAGAACCATTAATATTTTACATTGAATCCATTAACAGTACTGAATGTTACAATGTTTGAGACACTTTATATTTTAATGCTTCTGGTAACTGTTCTCAAGGGTTGTGATGAGCTTTACCTTTTTATTGACTTTATTAAAATATTAAAACCTCAGTAATAACAATAATCCTTGCACTTGATATAGTACCTTATCACACAAAGTAATGTGGCTGTGTGAATTATGTTGGGAAATCCGTGTTCTTGGCCAATTTCAAAGTGTGCAAAAGCCTTGTACTGTTCAAAATACGTTTCAGATCTGCTGTCAGTATGTTTGAGAAACACCCAGTCCCAATGAAGGAAATTATTCTTTTCCAGTTTGTAAAATAGGAACAGGAGGAGGCCATTCAGTCCATCGAGACGGTTGCACTAGTCTTGGTTGAACCTGCGATTTGGTGGAATGCGATTTCGCTGTCTTCATAGAAAAACAGCAACGGGAATTCTTTGACGTAGAAAATTATCAGCCATAATTCTTTATTTTTCACTTATTTTCCAACTTGTCCCTCTCCCTCTTACAGTTTGTACTGCGGGAACGTTCTGCAGGCACACATAGCTTTTGTGCTTCTTACCCGAGTAGCTACCTGTCATATTACGAATGAGCCTGTTTCTCATGCATGAGCTTGCAGTCATCGGTCATGTACGAGCCTAGACAGTAAATGTTGCTCGCTATTCATCAACAGAGAGTATCGCAGCCCGGTCCAGAGTGCTTCTCACCAAACAAGTGCTCTAATAACTGCTAAAATGGGATAGCCACCAGGAAAGCTGTGGTCGCTGCTAATGTGCCCTAGTCCAGGAGCGCTAAGGTAGGCCACTCATGCCTCACCTGCTGGGACTGCTGACTCAGCAAAGACCAGGAATAGCGCAGGAATCGTGATGACCTTTTGGTGTGAATTGCCTCATGCTCCAAGTCATTTGTGCAGCCATTTACCCTGTAACTATGACATTTAGTTAAATGTTACCAGCTGATAACATGCATCAGGTGGTTGTGCAGTAATACAGCCTTTTGGGCGAGGAAAATATAATTTTTGGAACGAGGCAACGACTGAACAATGTTATGACCGGGTCCATTTACAGGGGTGTGATGGTTTCTGCTTACAACTGCAGAGTTGTTCCATTTAAACCATTTTTAAAAAAAAATGTTTTGGTCATGCTTTGAAATTCATTACTATTGCTTAGGAGTTTCCGAACCGAACTACTGAGAATTCCATATATGTATGGAAATATCTGATTGCGTTGTCCAGAGTGCACACGCTCTATCCAGAGGCATGCACCCAGAAGACATATGGCACTGGTTCATAAGATTCAAAGCTTGGTTCCCCAGAGTGTGGGTTGGGCTATGATTGGATCTTAACCAGCTTGCCGTTACGGACATTGGCAAACTTCTCGCTTTTTGTCCAGCTTGGACCACACTGTGGCTTTGACTCGCTGGGTCAAAAGGAACAGGGCGGGAAGGATCCCAGCCTCTCCCAGTCAAACTGGCAAATGAAAATCTTTCATTTCAGCTGCACTTGTAAATATGTTGAAAACCCATGTGAAGACACTCTGAACATCAGAATGCCTAACGAACTTTTAATCTTCGTCCCCAGTCATTGTCCTACCGCCGTGGATAAGTTGTGAACAGAAGGTCAAGTTTTGCCAATGCTGACCTGAAACCGATCACTAGGATGTGCACATGAATGGCCTGGTTATGA